TGTCTGTGTCGTGTCTGTGTGTCTGTGTGTCTGTGTGTCTGTGTGTCTGTGTGTCTGTGTGTCTGTGTGTCTGTGTGTCTGTGTGTCTGTGTGTCTGTGTGTCTGTGTGTCTGTGTGTCTGTGTGTCTGTGTGTCTGTTGTCTGTGTGTCTGTGTGTCTGTGTGTCTGTGTGTCTGTGTGTCTGTGTGTCTGTGTGTCTGTGTGTCTCTGTGTCTCTGTGTCTGTGTGTCTGTGTGTCTGTGTGTCTGTGTGTCTGTGTGTCTCTGTGTCTCTGTGTCTCTGTGTCTCTGTGTGTCTGTGTGTCTGTGTGTCTGTGTGTCTGTGTGTCTGTGTGTCTGTGTGTCTGTGTGTCTGTGTGTCTGTGTGTCTGTGTGTCTGTGTGTCTGTGTGTCTGTGTGTCTGTGTGTCTGTGTGTCTGTGTGTCTGGTGTGTCTGCGTGTCTGCGTGTCTGCGTGTCTGCGTGTCTGCGTGTCTGCGTGTCTGCGTGTCTGCGTGTCTGCGTGTCTGCGTGTCTGCGTGTCTGCGTGTCTGCGTGTCTGCGTGTCTGCGTGTCTGCGTGTCTGCGTGTCTGCGTGTCTGCGTGTGTGCGTGTCTGCGTGTCTGTCTGCGTGTCTGCGTGTCTGCGTGTCTGCGTGTCTGCGTGTCTGCGTGTCTGCGTGTCTGCGTGTCTGCGTGTCTGCGTGTCTGCGTGTCTGCGTGTCTGCGTGTCTGCGTGTCTGCGTGTCTGCGTGTCTGCGTGTCTGCGTGTCTGCGTGTCTGCGTGTCTGCGTGTCTGCGTGTCTGTGTGTCTGTCTGTCTGTCTTTCTGTCTGTCTTTCTGTCTTTCTGTCTTTCTGTCTTTCTGTCTTTCTGTTTGTCTGTCTGTCTGTCTTTGTGTGTCTGTGTGTCTGCGTATCTGCGTGTCTGTTTGTCTGTGTGTCTGCGTGTCTGGGTTTCTGCGTGTCTGCGTGTGTCTGTGTGTCTGTGTGTGTGTGTCTGTATGTGTGTCTGTCTGCCTCTCTGTCTGTCTATCTGTCTGTATGGCTGGCTGGCCGGCCGGTTCTGGCTGGGTGGCTGGCTGGCTGGCTGGCTGTCTGTCTGTCTGTCTGTCTGTCTGTTTCGCCGATTTCCCCGAAACTTTGGTTTTACTGTTGGTGTCCGTTCAAAGACACAAAAAAGGGTACCATCTCACAACAAGTCTCAGACCCATTTGCGCGCAAACAAAAACCTCCATTTGCAAAGTGCTCTAAAAAAAGTAACAATACTTCCGGTAGTGCTAGAACCCCTTTAAACTCAACAGTGGGAAATCAACAGTATTTTGAGCAAATGGAAGCAAACACCTTGCAGCCACTGGGCGGTTCTCAGATCCCCCTGTTAAAGGTGACTAACTCTTGGTGTCTCAAGTGGACACCCAACCACTAAAAAACTAAAAGCAACTAAACACAAACAAAAAACACCCAAGAACATACAAAAACAACTACAAACAACTAAATAGCAAGCGCAAACAGCTAGAAAAAAAACTAAAAAGCTAGGTTGACCCGGAGTATTCACTGGGAACCACCCAGCAATGTTTTCTTTCACCTTTTGTGTGGGCGCCTGTACGAGCTGGTCGTATAAGTCCTTCTGGGCAGCCGAGGGCAGTATTGCTGTGGCCTCGCTCGGGCCGAAATGGGCGGCTCGTCTTTTTGTTTAGGGTACCTGGAGTTTTCATGACCGTAAAAATGTGACGGGTGCGAAAAAAGGCGCTGTGACACAAAAAGGTCAGATGCGTCTCCTTCCTGCTTACCAGTGTAAATGGACATGGGGTGTGACGTAATTACGGCAAATGGATAGCGCCATGAGTTGCGAGTTTTAAATGAGTGCAACCAAAAAGACAACTGCAAGAGTCTGGCTTTGGGCACGGACGGGACTCATGCATGTGTTCTGTGGTTATGACATGTAATATTGCGCACTTAGTACGGCAATAGCCGGTCAAAGGCCCGTTTCAAGCTGTTGCTTGCCTAGAGGTGGCTCAAAACAAACACACATTGCGAAAGCGAGTTCCGTCAAAGGGATGTGATGTATGCAATTCACCTGCGTTAAACCCATGTATCCTTTTGCAGAGCGTGACTCCCAGAAAGCATTTCAGAGCCAAGGCCTAAAGGACTCTCACAAGCGCTTGCTTTCTTCAAGTGGCTGTCGAATAAACAAATTGGTGGGTGCCAGGCCTCGAAAAAGTACACTTGCCGCCTGCAAGCAGGAAGCTTAGGTTTGTGTCGGGAGCGCTCTCTCACTACTTCCTTACTGGGACCTACTTGTCCCCTTCTTGGTGCCAGCCTGCACAACAGTGTCCGTATGTTGAGCAAATGCTTACAGGCAAGCGCGTGGGCTTTGGGCAAATGTAGCCGATGAATACACCTAATCAAGATGTTGCTTGATAGATACAAGCTGTGGTACATGGAGGAAGATGTTTGCTTAAGGCAACCCAATTTGGCCAACATCCTTGCGGTGTGTTTTCCCTTTCTTGCAAAACATATCTGCTTGCCGCAATCTACCCCAAAAAAAGGTCACATTGTTGTGACCATGAAAAAACGCCGTTTCGCAAAATAATGCCATTTTGATACTTTGACCCCAATATTGAAGGTACAATGGAGACCCCAGATAGAACTTGCTGCAGGCTGGGGGAAGTAATCATTTATCCTACAAAGTTGTAAGCTTCAAGATCGAACCCTGCATTTATTATTCTTCCATAGTTTGGACCCCCTTAGAAGCGCAAAGGATCAAAGGGGCAAACGGCAGACTGGGAGTCCGGGCATGATCCAGAAATCAACCTTCACCAGGGAAACAACAATCTTGATCGTTCCTAAGCAGAAAACACTCAGTTGAACCATAGAGCACGTTGGTGCATTCAACCCTACAGGAGGCTTCAGCTGAACCATTGGAGCGAGAGAAGCCAAGCTTGGCTTCGCCCGAAATGGGTTTGGCAAGTGGCTTGGAGCCCGAGCCCGGTGGCCATCGCAAAAGAATTGGTTCAAATCCAAATCCAAACCAAGCCACCCACACATCCATCCATCCATCCATCCATCCATCCATCCATCCATCCATCCATCCATCCATCCATCCATCCATCCATCCATCCATCCATCCATCCATCCATCCCATCCATCCATCCATCCATCCATCCATCCACCCACCCATGTGCCAACTGAGTCATCAAACGCCGCGACGGCGACGACTCGATTCGCCGCGGCGCCAGCGGCAGCAGCGCCACCGCCAGCTCCCGCCGGAGCCGCCGCAGCGGGAGGCCCTGGCGCAGCACCGAGGGCTGCGGCACCTGTCGGCGCAAGCGCAAGAGCCGAACGGCGGCGGCGCGGAAAAACCCGAAAAAGGTCGGCGCGCCCGTCTTTGGTGAGTTCCAAAAAAAAGGGGGGTGGTTTGAGGGTCCAGGTGCCCGTCTTTGTTTGGGGGTTGGGTTTCTAAGGTGGGGGAAATTTGCTTGGGGGTTGGGTGTCTAAGGTGATGTTTGGGGGCTTTGGAGAGGTCGCGTTTGGTCTAAGGTGAGTTTGCCCAAACAAAGAAGCTGCCTGAGTCCTCAAACTACCCGACTAAAAATAGGGTATTACTACCCAAACTTGCGCTTGGTGAACTGTCAAAGGGGGTTTGGGAGCTTTGGGGGGTTGGGTTTGTCAGGTTGTTTTGGGGGCTGTAAACAAGATTTGCAGATTTGTGGGTCTAGCTTCGCGTTGTAGGGTTCAAGCTTGTCCTTTCAGTTTGGGGTTGGTTTAGGGTTGGTTTAAGGTGGTTTGCGAAGGAACCTGGTTTCCTTTTAGCAAATCCCCAACAGTGCATTCCCAAAAATGGGGATGGTGGTTCAAAAGGGAAACCAAAAGGAAACCGGAAGCCATTTTGGGAATCCCCCAAAAGAAGACAAACCCTCGTGAACCGACCTGTTGGTCCTTGGAGGAAACCAGAGGGGTCCAAGGGGTGACTGTGCTCAACCCGCTCAGTTATAACCATAGCTGGGATACTTGGGTGGTTGTTTTTGAGAGTCGCCCCCCCCCCCTCCGACGAAAGCATGTGTTCCCTCAAAAAAGACAGGCCCATTTGGGGATATCGTTCTGCCCACGCTTGAGTATGAGTATGGGCAAACTATCCTCATGTCCAACAGAAGGGACCCTCCTCCCCGAAAAAAAAAAAAAAAAAAAAAAAAAAAAAAAAAAAAAAAAAAAAAACTGACCTTCACTTTGACGTCGCAACACCCAAACAAGCAGTCGCTATAATTTGCCCAATATGGGTATAAGTTTGATGGGCCTGGCTTCAACTGTTGAGATTCACTCCATCTCTTAAGGCTCAAAGTTAATCCAAACCCAAAATGGCGAGGCTTCCCTGAACAATCTCACACTTGTTTCCACCACCAACAATTCGGGCGCAGCAAAAAACGTCGACGACTCAACCGACCGCCATGTTTTTTGTTTTTTAACGAAAACATATTAATAAAACAAAACACCCTTTATTATTATCATCAACAAAAAACAAACTTGCGGCGGCTTCCAGCTCCGAGGCTCCCGGCCATGTAGCCCAAGAGGCTCTGGGCCGCTTCCGAGAGCTTTTGCCCAGGCACCTACGTGAGTCAAAACCAATGTGCTGGTGGCCACTTGGGGGTCACTTGGGTGAAAAAGATATGGTAACCCAAAACCTGGACCAAAACGAATATGGACCAAAGGTTCAAAAACAAATTTGGACCTTTTTACCAGGTTTGTCCTTTAACAAAGATGAATTCTTGTAGGTACATGTTTAAGGACAAAAACTGGTAACAGAAACATGGAAACCAAAATCTGCGGATGACCCCCTGGTGGCTGAATTTTCACCCACCTGGCCATGGCTCAAAATCCAAATCGTACCCCCAGTGAACGGGACCCAATCCCCCAATAAAATAGGATCTAAAATGGGCGGTGAATTCACCTAGCCCAAAATGGGATCCCATTGGTTTTGACCCACTGCCTGGTGATTTCCAGTGAAATTCGGCCCCCCAGTCCTATTTTGAGACACGAAATCATACCCAAGCTTCCACAAACGACAGCTTCTCCCTTTGCATAGAGGGAGGTTGCTTCTCGAAATGTCTGCGCGCTTCCATGTTTGTTTGGTGCGACAAATGATTTGGGGATGGAGTTGGAGCCCCGCAATGACTTGTCCTTCAGTCTTCCTGAAACTCCGAAAGGCCTCGCGGACTTCATGCTTGAGACGGATCGGGCCGACCCCCTGCAAAAAATCACAACTGCCTAGTTGAAATCGAAAGAAATCCAAAAGGATGTGTCTCAAACTAAGGTGGTTTCCTTCTGGCTTCCCTTTGAACCAACCCATTATACGGGTACCCTCAAAAAAATACACCCCTTGGCCGAGAAAGCCAATGCTTTATGAAGGTTTTGGGAAAGCAAGGGATGTGAAGGGGAACAAAACAAAAACATGTTGCTGAGTCCCCATGAAAAAAAACAAAAACACGCATATTTCACAAACCAATCGGACATCCCCAGCAATGGACCTTTATAATGGGTGAGCTTGTTTACAACTTACCCAGAAGTATCAAGTCCGCACACGCGGGAGGTGAAGTGGTGAAATGTCCCATTGTCTTCACTTAAAATGGGGCCAGGGCATGCTTGTTCAACCATATGCCCAAACCTGGCGCGACGTCCAAAACTGAGACAACGTGTGCTTTGCATTGCACTTGTTTGATCTGGCACGCGGCTTGGGGTACCTGATGCGTGGGTCTTGGCCCTGCCTCCAAGCGGAGTGGTAAACAGGGGGTCTGGAAAACAAATGAGTCCAAGAGCGTGTGAAACGACCAAACATGGCTCCGGAAAAAAGAAGAAAAAAAAGGAAAAAACAAAACATTAAAAAAAAGCTTTGAGGGAGTTGGAGACCAACAGGGACACGATCAGACACAGAAAGCTTCGGCCATAATCAAACTTCGCAATACTTCACAGAAGCAGGGCTTGCAGTTTGCTTCAACATTAAGACATCAGCGAGGTCTGTTGCGACCTATTCATGTGGGTAGGGTCAACATTCAACCAAGGGGTAATCCGCAGGTTTTGGACCGCAGGTTCTGGACCCCAGGGTTCCATTTGCCTTGGGGGTTGCCCTAGCTTTGACAACCGCAGCCATGGAGCGCACTAGGAGCGAGTTAAACTGCAACGAGCCATATCTGACTGTGGATGGACGAAATCCTGCAACACCGTTCTGGAATGCTGATTCCCCTTTAAATACCAAACAATGTCATGGTTTCGAAGTGGTGCAGGATTTTGTTCATTCATAGCACAATTGGAAACTATGAGCTATTTGCGAATTTGCGAATTTGCGCGGTTTCGCAAACCCATCGCCCTACATCTCACCTCGCCGCTTGGCAAGGCTCGCCAAGCAAACGCCCCTGCCTCAATCTCTGCTGGGTCGCAGCCATAGTCCAAGAGGACCCGAACCACCTGGCGGTTTTTCGCTCTTGTGGACTTGCCCCCGTGAAAAGTGGGATGATACCATACACCGAATCACCCGAAACAGGATTCATCTGCAAGTGGGTGTTGTTTGGGATTCCATGACCATTTGGAAGGAGTCTGTGCGCGCACGTGCGTGTGTGTGTGTGTGTGACAATTGGACGCCACTACCCGGCCAAATTGCGCCAACTGGTTTCGCTGCGAAGAGCCCTGGTTCCCAGGTGTATACCCAGCAAAGTCCACGGCAAATGCTAAGACTGTGTGCGGCATTTGCAGCCAGAATTGCCGGTCTTTGCATGTTATTTGATCAAACACGTATGATCATCTATATCTGTGATGTACCCGCAGCATTCTGGTGTGCCCACATTATTTGTGCACCGATTGTGTTGGTGGCTATGATGGTACCCAACTCTGGTGCGTGCATGGTTACAGCATCACCTGTTCAAGGAAAACCTGTTGCGACCAACACTCAGAAAGATCACTGTTGGGACTCAGAAGGCCGGCAGAAAATGAAGATGACCATCGGAAAGCGTGTCTCTCTGCTGATGCCATCGCTTGTTGAGTGATTTCGAGGCTTGCAGTCTTCTCATGGGTCAGCCATGTCCGTTGCACTTGATCTAACACGTACAAAGGACACATCTTGAGAAAACAATAAATACACAAACAAACTCGAGGAACAACATAACAACTCGAGATTTTTTTTTTTAAAAAAAAAAAAAAAAAAAAAAAAAAAAAAAAAAAAAAAAAACATTTCCAGAGCTCTGTCAAGGAAACTCAACAGACAACCAAAGCCTGGCATGGGGGGTTCCCAGATGGCTTCATGGGAATCACTCTCAAATGATTGGTAGATGTACATCTCAATCAAAATCATGTCTACCAAGGGGAGTAAAATCATCACCCAGTTATTAGTGAGCCCGGCCCTGAAAGGCTTCAACTGGTTGAATCAGGTTCATCTCTAGGGAAACAACCAAAGGCTCCCCCCACCCAGGAAAGGTTCATAAATTCAAACCAAGGCTTTTCTGAAACTCACTTGCTTGTGTTGGGGGCCTTCTCCCGCTTCTTTCCCCCCCTTCTCCTTCTTCCCCAATAGATTGCTGCGTCGAAGACACACTTTGTTGGGCTGCGGGGGGCCTTTGCATGTTGCATCCTCCAGTTGCTTGGGGGCCACTGCGTTGCGAGCATGCCAACCAGAAGCACACTTCTGCAGCCGGATGCGGCTGGGGATCAAACACTTCACATCGCACGCCTCCAGGCGGCCGCATCTTGCGGCAATGGCCAAGGGCGGCCCCAGGGGCCCTTTGGAGGAGCGAGGGCCTCAAGACCGTCGCGCTCGAGAGCTCATTGGTCGGGGGTACACCCCTGCAACCCACAAAACCCCCCTAAGTAACTAGAGGAGTCTCTTTTTTCTGGGCCCCTTTCCAGGCTATATGTAATTGGAACCCAAAAAGAAGGTGCTTTGAAGGAGATGCCTCTCAAAACTGTGAGGTTTTTGGGGTTGCACTTGTACATTCTGCGAGGCAGGGAAATGCTCGTCACTCTACCAAGACCCCAAAGACTGCTTATTGGAGAGCAAGCAGGAAATTGGTTTCTTCCGATTGTTTCAGTTTCGCAACATAGGGGTGCCCCAAAATGTGTTGTTTCCGTTTGGTTTCCCCTTAAATACAGGGTGAAGTCTTTCACGGCACAGCCTCTTATGCGCCGGGCCTATAGAAAAAGACGCAAAAGAAATGCCAGGAAAGAAACTGACACGGGTCAAAAGATGTGCCTTGACTTCTGGTGTGCGAGCTGCTTCATTGCCGTCAAACAAATAGTCCTGCGAACCAACGCACTTCGATCCAGTTCCCTCAAGGAGTCGTAGGCAACCGGGACACCATCCATGGTGCAACCTAGAGGAAAAGAAAACCGACCGGGTTACCTACCTGTTGTGGCTTGCCTGGAAGCAGTGGGAGGAAACCACAAGTGGTGTCAAGGGCCAGCACCATGGCGCACAGGCGCCGGGAATGGATCCGTCGCCTTTGGCCCCCTCTTAAATGGAGGCCAACAGGAAAACCTTTTTGGAGTCCCCCTATTTTGACACATACCCACTTGCATTCCCTTGTGCGGTCGCCGGCTTACCTCAAATGGCAACGTTTTCGGCTTCATGATAGCGGCAAAACCCTTCAGGACAAAGAATATGCAGCTTTGGTGGATATGAAAGTGCTGCTTCCGCGCCAAAAAGCAGCCGAACAACTGCTAACCCAACATCCGCCTCCTGCCCAGATTGGACCGCTTCCGATGGATCCTGCTTCCAAAATATCCTTCACCACCCCGCACCAAGTCGTCAGCAATCCAAAGAAGCGAACAATGGATGGACAAAACCCATTTCGCACCACCTAACAAACCCTATGACTCCCCCTCAAACACCAGCAAGAATAATTTCCACGGTTTCAAAGTGGTGCGAACGGACTTCGTCCTCAGGTCCTTAGGTGTCTACTCACAAATACGGGGGATCTCCTGGCCACTGTGTGCGTTTGGGTCAAGGTTTGGTAGGAAAAATCTCAGGCTTTTAGGATGGCCGGTTTCTGCTTGGCCGTGTAGAACCCTCGCTAAACATACAGCCTCAACAAAAAGCCACACCCAGAAATAAGGATTCTCAGATTTGGGCGCATAGGTGTCCTTTCTGGTTTCAACTTTGTGAAAAGTGATGGCCTGACTGGCTTCGGTGTTTCTGTGAAGCGAAGCCGCGCAAAAAACTAAACAGGTTTCAAAGTTTCCCATATTCGGCTCTCAAACACACCTACATGGTGTTTCATTTTGGGCCGACTTTCGTGGGAAGCCCCCCAAAAAAACCATTTGCTGTGGCTTCCTTTACAGGAATCTCGGAATCCCCTTCCGGTCGCTTCTCGAGGCCCGGACTTGGTGATGCCCTATCGCAGCAAGAAAAGCACAAACCGGTGGAGCCCACTTTGCAGGCTTTCTCTCCGAGCCAACTTCCTCGAGCTCCCTCCATTACCCTAGGGAAAATGAGCAAAAAGTGTCCAGTAGCCCTGGAACAAACTTCTAAAATGGAAGGCTTAGGTGCCGGCAGCCTCGCTCCAAGAGCAGCTCCACCATCTCCTGGGAGCATTGGTGCTCCACAGCCTGAGTCGTTCGTCGAATCCACGGAGCGACCATTTTCCTTGATATGGAAAGGGTTTCTGGGCTGCCCGTGTGGAAAAAACCCTGCTAAACGTGAAGTTCACTTGCGGGTAAAGAATCGGACACCCAACCACTAGACCCTAAAAAGGTAAAACAAATGAGGGGTTGGCTGGGAACCACCAAGGCATGATGGAACTTGACGTCGGGGGGTCCTGGCTTGGACCAGTTTCCCTTTAAGGGACCGGGTCCATATCGAGCGTCAGGTTCGATGTTGGTGGGTGGGAGGGTATATTTGTGGCTCGGCTTTTTTTTGGAGTTGGTAGCCCTCTGTTGCGTGCTTTTGAAGGGAAACCAGTGCGGGGGAAAAAAAAAACAAACAAAACACCCGTACAGTGGTAAGCAAATCAAAAGACGGATGTCCACACCTACTTCTGGTGACTGTCCTTAACCTTCATCTACCCGGGTTTTGATTGCGGCTCACCTACCTCGCCGTCCGAGTTCCCAGCCACTGCCAGCACAGAGTTGCCCTGCCGGTCCGCAGCCGTCAGATCTGCGCGGTCCTGGCGACCGACATCGGTCCAAGAGGCTGAGGGAGGCATCGTCCATTCCACAAAACTCGGTTGGTTTCTGCTCCCCTGCTAAAAGCTTAACTTTTAGTCGTTTAATGGAAAACCAATTAGTTGGCAACAGTTAAAGTCCTAACATCCAAGCAAAATGCACCAAAGAAAATCAAACCATGGTTTTCCCTTGGGTTTCTGAACGGCGCGACATGGATTCCGTAACCATCCACTATCTCAGTTGCCTAGTTCGGCAGAGATAAAGGAGAAAACTTTTCAGGAAAACCAAAAGGTTAAAAGGTCGGCCTGGCAGATAAGTTTTGGGTGTCTGGGTTGCGGTGGGCAAAAGTTCAATAACATTTTGCTTTTGATGGGCTAGGGTCACACGAAAGACCAGCCAAGGTGTGTCTCATAACTTTTAGGGCAATTGGTGGAGTCATAAATTGGATTATGACTTGGCCAAGTCTGTCTCAAAATTAGGGCAATCCTTACTCTGGATGGACCACATATATTTATCCCAGTCGGGATGGATGGTTTATCGCCATGTTTCGTGGCTTTTGTTCATCCCAACTGGTGCAGGATTTTGTCCACCCACAGTATGTCCAAGCCGCTCCCAAAAAGGAAAAGGACAAAACGAGGCTGGCAAAGGAGGTGCGCATTCTAAGCGGGCGTATGTCGCAAACAATTAAACCGACGAGGACACCTCTAATTGGGTGACGGGGGTCCGCCTCATTTTGGGTCCCCAAACAGCGCACCCTCAAAGACTCACTTCCTGAAGAGATTTAATTTGGCGAAACAGTCTAAACTTTCTGGTTGCCACCAGATTCGTCTGAGGAACTCACGAAGTGACAAAAAGACCTCACTACTACCACGTCCTTACGGCACTCCTGCTAGCTCCATAGCTCTTAACAGGCAAATTGGGATACCTCAGCTCCGCAACGGCTCGCTTCCAAGCACCAGCAAGTTCAAACTGGTTGGGCAAACACATGATTCACATGATGTGCCATTGCCTAGGAAACCCGCTAATTTGGCTTTGCCCGTGGTTTACAACCAGATCGAGTTGGGTGCCCTCCAAAAAAACGACACCCCAACTTGTGGCGCTTCAACCAGCCCAACCCCCTCGCCCTATCGCTTGACTCCCGACTCCGAAACGCTGTGTCACCGGGCCATCAAGACGCGCTTCGCCAGGAAGAGGTCGTTCCGCGGCAGCGCGTGCTTCATGAGCCAGTCCTGTCGGTGGATGGCCATATTGCAAGTAAACCTGCCACACTCAACCGCAAAAACCATGGTAAACTACGGGAAAAATCGGGTGGCTCCGGTAATTCATTGCAACATTTAGGGCATCGATCCGCCGGCGAATGCCCCAGCCATATCGCAAGTAAACCAACAATCCAGCTTGAATATACGGGGGTTCCTTGTTCCCTGGCAGTACTTAGGGCATCCACCGTAACACTCCCCTGCCGAAACAGGTTAGTTTTCAGGTTAGTGGGAAAGCCGTCATTAACTGAATAGCATTCAAGCGTAGTGTATAAATGGATCGCTATAAAATGTCCACGCCGGGAAACAGTTGAGATTAGTGATTGCGTCCACTCCACCTGGTGCAGGATTTTGCCCATCAGTGACCTGCCATTTTCCTCGTCTTTTTGCTGGGTGGCTCCCTCAATTACCTGCGCAGAGTTTGCGGCCGCGCAGGGGGCGCGCCATGGGTCCATTTTTTGTTTTATACCGGCAGTTTTCAGTGGGAACAATGTGAGTAACAACACATTGGCCTACCCAAGAAATGGGTACAGTTCGCATGGGGATTTCCCGGGGAGCTGGTTTTTCGGTTGGTCTGTAAACAAAAACCCGCCGCTTTTGGCGCTGGCCCTTCAATTCTTGGAAACACCTGGGTCCAGGTGAATCTCTCCAGTGCAGCGCAACAAGGCTGAGGCTGAGTAGGGTAGTGTTCCAAATCCCGATCCTCCACATCCATGACTGTTGGAAGGAGGGTAGTGAGGAATCCAAACAAAAACCTGAAAGAGGGTGCCTGTGAACAACTGGGGAAGGGAGGGAGGGAGGGAGGGAGGAGGGAGGGAGGGAGAAAGCCCGAATAGGCCACAAATGAGGCTTTCTTAAGGACTTAGCAAGAGCTAGTTTGGGATCTCTTTCCCCTTTCCTGTTAAAATCACGTCGACAGAGGTCTTCAAAATGGGTGTAAGTGCAAGGCTCCGTGTCTGTCACACTCTCCGAACGCCTGCGTCAGCACCATCGGCGAGGGCAGGTTCGCCCTCTTCGGCAGCGGGACCTGGACACAAGCTCCTTGAAAGTTGCCTGCTCGCAAAGGGAAGAACCTCAGAACTCTCTCCTGCAGATTAGCACGGAACCCCATACCATCCTCTCATGTCTGAGCGGAACCTGCGTTTTGGGTACTCCACTTGTTGGGTTTCGTCTCACTTCCTGAGTGGACTGGCCAACAAAAAGCCTAACTTGCTGTTTACCAGCAAAATGGTCCAAAAAGTGCCGAGTCCATGATCTCCAGAATTTGCGACTGGAGGGCTCCGAGCTGGAAAACAAAGCGGTTTCGGGCACAGGAATCCGCGCGTACACTTGCTGCTTCATAGGGGTATATGCAAGCCACCAGGAAAACCCAAAGGTTTCCTTGGCGGATGGATGGGGATAGTGGGTTGGGGGTCCTTCCCTCTTGGCACGACTTGGGAAGTGCTCATTGAACTGCACACGTGTCCATCATTCATGTATCACCCAACCACTAAACCCCAAGACCCCAAAATCTAAGGGGATGGCTGGGAACCACTAAGTAAACATGGGCATTCAGTTGGATTGCACGATAATGCTTCGAGTAACCTGGGCCCATTGCCTCCTGCTCATTTCAACACATGTTCCGCTGTCTTACAACCGTCTGTTGATTGAGGTGGTATTCACAACGTGTCGAATTCTCAAGCATCGTCCACTCGCCTTCAACTCGTGCCAAGATCATTTGCCAACTGCATAAATCAATGGAACACCACCAGAATCAAAGCCTTCAAGTTCCCTATAATTGTTGTTTTGCATCGGTTAGGGGTGGTTTCCATTTGCCTGAACAAGAACCTAAGGTACATACCAATCCAAACCACCAATTAGGGGTTGCCTGTGACTCCTCTTTGTTGCAAAACGTAATTAGCCCTGAAAGGAAAAGACATTGGGGCAGCAAGTAGTGATTTGGCATTGGGCAATCTAACTTTTGATGTGTCCTGCCTTTAATTTATTCAGGGCCCTTTGGGACCCGATATTAGTAAACCTCGGGTTGATTCCAAGCATTTGCTTTGTCCGTTGTCTTTCGAAACCACGATCTGTGATCGGAAGGTAATTACTCCTAGGCGTACAAAACACAATTCAGCAGTCCTCATATTTTGAGTCTGCCCAGAAGGACACTTGGGTGACTTGCTCCCCCCTACGAAGGCACAGCTAGAAAACCCAACTCACTCCATGTTCCCCGGCACAAGCAGGTGGCGCTTCAGGCAGCGTCAAGGTGGTGACTCGATCCTGGCCGCATCGAACGTGCACTCATCGCTCACCGCAACAAGGCTGATTTGTTTTTTTTTTGCGAAATGTTGAACTTCAGTGGGATATGACATCAACACACCTCTAAACTCTAAACACCTCTAAAGCTGGGAGCCGCGTAGGCGGTAAGAACACCACAAGTTGGAACCACAAGCCATCGGGCAAAAGGAATTAAGATTGACCTTCAGAAACCCAAATGAACATGCAACATCACCGAACCCAACAAACCATCAGTTGTAAAAGCTCGTTTCCAGATTGGATCTCCCTTTGTTTTCTGAGCTTCATGCTGATTTGTTTTACAAGGTCGTCCTCGTTCCTTACTCGCGGCTTGTAGCGAATCAACCTAGTAAGGATGTTCTTCTTCGAACCCGCCTGAAACAGACTGTGGGTTATGTCAAGCCAATTGTACCCAGTGTATTTCTGGAGATTCCGTTTTCACTCCTGTGATGCATACTAAGGAAAGACCTTCCAACGGTGGCCTTCCTTTTGGCTTCAACGTATCACAGAGTCGGACGCAGTGCCTCATTGTTTTTGCCTTCTTTACATAAACAGAAACATATATCTTCCAAAAAACAGTTTGCACAAATGTACATGTGCATATAGACACCTAATACATATACATATAAATAAATATATATATATATATGCATCATAGACTCTTACACGCTCATAGCCTCAGCCTTCTTGCTTCTTGCCCGCCAGCTCGCGGCGCTTTTTTGGGACTCGCCGTCCCAGGCTTCGTCCATCCGCAGCACCGCTCGGGCCAAAGCCCGCAGCTCCTCGAACCCGTCCGTCGCCAAAAGCCGGACCGCGGGCGCCAGGCCTAAAGGACAAGGAGCCGGGCAAGGGCCATGGTGAAGATGTAAATGTATCGTCCTGTAGCTATATAGCTATACAAAAAATGCGTGCATAAGGTAATGTAGTGTGATGCCACAGAATGAAAATGATGTAATGCGACATGATTTATATGTAATTTATCTAATGCGATACATTAGACCAAAACTTAGCCTCTATCTCCGTGGAGGTTAAAACCGGCCAATAGTCATGTAGCAAACCACGTCACTCTTCATGTAAGTATTCAGTGTTCATGTAAACAAAAACAGGCCTTGAAGAAACACGTAAAAGATCATGTAAACAATGTGTGCCTCAGTGTTGGAAGCTGGAAGCTTCATCATTTGCCATGTAACAGGCCTGAACAGAGATAAAAGGCGCATAATCAGACAAGCCAATGGCAAAACATTGGCAAGAAGAAGGTAAGGCTCCAATGCGCCCCTCCCATCTCCATAACAAGCGCCCAAGGTGCTGATTGCATGACCTTTGTTAAATCCTTAGCAGCTACCATAGAAATGTCAGGAGGCCAAACATCTTGAGTCTTAAACACGTGGTTGGTAAGCCTAAGCATGCGTGAGCAGAAGCAAGAGCAGCTCCTGAGCATGCAGTTGCAATCTTCGGAATGGTTCCTAGGTACGCAGCTCCAATGTCTCCAAACGGTTCAGAACGGCTGCAATCCGCCCTCCTGAGCGGTTCAGCACGGTTCAGGGCACGCTGCTTGCAATTCTTCCTGAACGGTTCAGAACGGTTCAGGGTATGCTGCTGCAATCCCTCCTGAACCAGAACGGTTCATAGTATGATGCTGCAATCCCTCCTGAACGGTTCAGAACGGTTCCTGGGAAGCTTGAGTGACGAACGGTTCAGAATAGTTCAGAACGGTTCTGAACTATACGCCTGCTCTGTGCGCTGCTTGCTAAACGGGCTCCAGAACGGTTCAGAACGGTTCAGGGGCATGGGTTCCAATGCACCCCGGAACGGCTCAGAACGGTTCAGGGGCACGCGTTCCAATGCCTCCGCGGTTCAGAACGGCTCAGGGGCATGCAGTTTGGTTGCCACCGTTCCTCGGAACGGTTCGTGAGCACGCGGCTGGCGGTTCCTTAGTCCTAGGTAAAAGGTCAGGCCGGCATCGGAACATCGGAACATCAAAGCACAAAAAGGCAAAGAGTTGTCTGAAATTTACGCGAAAACTTACGCAAACATTTACGCAGAAAAAGGCTGGCTGAACCGTTCTGAACCGTTCAGGGGACACATTTTGAGCATGGAGGTCCGTCCGCAGAACTTGCGTGCACATGTGACAGCATCGATCGCTCCTCTTTTCCGGCCTTTGCTCAACTGGATTTCTGGGATCGGTTCTTGGATTCCCTGGGTCTTGCGGACTAACGAGGCGAAGCCGCGGCAGAGAAAAAAATCAACGCCCGACAGGTACCACAACGCGGCAAGCAAAGCTGCAAGAAGGCAAGGCTTGAAATCGTCCTTTGCAACTCCTGACTGGTTGGATCAGTGGCCACGCGGAGACAACCGCGTGAAGAGTCGTGTGCGCATGTGTGTTTGTGTGTGTGGGTGGTGTCTGTGTGCCTGTGCGCCAGGTGCATGTTAGGAATATAAGACGTTAATCTTGATGTTCTTCAAGATTGACCCTCGCAAGGTCGCCCAACAATAAGCTGACTAAGTCTTGATTGTTGGAAAGAGCCCTCAAATATTCTTAATGTTGTTCACGCAGCTGACATAACCAATGACCGGACATACCGGACGTTCTATGACAAGACGCGGTGTTCCTAGTCCTCGGTTCCTACAGCATCTCCTTTCTCATGATCACTAAACACACAGTGGGGGTTCTGGCTGCCGGGTGTTAGCATGGCAACGCAACCCAAGCGCAAGCATGGGCGCACGTGCTTTTGCGTCCGGAGCTGGCTTTGCCAACGACACACATGCTCGCGAGCAAAGAAACATGTGGATCGCAGCTACCAGTACGCATGAACATTCATGTCAAAGATGTCGCGGCTCTTCCAATGGTTTATGACTCATGATGCTTTGCCTTCCTTCAGTGATATGAGCAGGTGAAATTCGCGAAGGGGAAGATGGTCCAAACCGAACGTCAGGTTCCAGCTGTTAATAGATGTTCATTTCTCAAAGCACCCCTCTGGCTTTCTTTGTCCCATGGAAACTCCCAGGTGGAGGTGAAGCCAGTTCGTCGCTGCTTTGATTTTGAGCATCTGGAAAACCATGGACATCCACTGCTCGAGGCGCTATAATTTTCACATGTCGGGGGAGCCCAAAGGAAATCAATCTGGGGGGCCCCGGCCTACCGTCATTTGGCTGTGGGTCAAAAATAGGCCAACCCCAAAATGGACCCTAGTAAATGAAAACGCGGACGAAAACCTGCGGTCCGATTCCTGGTTTGATTTTTGAGGGACACTAAGTCCAGCTCTCGCATGGTCACTCAAGATCGGGCAAGCGAAAATGAATTACAACTATTTACCTCACTATGTACCACATTATTTACGGACTCTTTCCATTAAGGGCCAGGCCAACCAGAAAGCTTGATTTATTTACGTGATTGGTTACGTTTTTATTTTCGGGTACGTCGAAAACGACAAACCCCCCTATTTGTAGAGGCTAAGTTTTGGTTTAAGCGATACAATCTAATGTTTTGTAGTGCAATGCAATGTACCTCAATTACTCACTCACTCAATCACTCACTCACTCACTCACTCACTCACTCACTCACTCACTCACTCACTCACTCACTCACTCACTCACTCACTCAATCACTGACTCACTCACGGACTCACTCACGGACTCACTGACTCACTCACTGACTCACTCACTCAGACTCACTCACTGACTCACCGACTCACCGACTCACCGACTCACCGACTCACTGACTCAGTGACTCACTGACTGACTGACTCAGTGACTCACTGACTCACTGACTTACTGACTCACTGACTCACTGACTCACTGTCTCCCTCTAACTCTCTATGAGCACACTCTTTTAAACTAAGTGTTCATATTCTTGTTTATATTGTTTTTTACTTTGGCTCTTAGGCAAATTATTCTGCTCACCAAGTTCAGGGTTCCATACATTGTCCTGTAAGCCACCAGTTGGGGATGGATGAAACCTTGTGAACATTGGAATAAACCACCAACCAGTGCGTTCACACACCAAAAATGAAACCGCCTTTTTGGGTCACCCAGTCTCTGTGCATGACAGGCGACTCTTAAAGGAGAGCATCAGCAGCATACCGCCGTGCTGCGCTGGACGAATCCGGTCTTGCCATTGCGCCACCCGTTGCAGTTCACCTCGGGCAACGGGGGCCAACCTCCAGATTTTGCTCGAAAAGAACATGCATGTCAGATTCTGATCCATATAGCTGTGGGTCCAAAATGCAAAATGGGTGCCCAAAATGGAACCCTACTAAATGGACACATGGACTAAAATCGGCGGACCCGCGGCTTAATTTTGACCCATACCCATATCTGATACATGCTCGTATGCAGAACGATTTCAACAGAGATCCCATCGGGGCAAGGTCAACTGTCATCCCCTTCACCTGGGATATGAGGGGCAAGCCCACAAAGTGATCGTTTTCCAGGAACAATTCAAGGAACAATAAACCCTAACCCCTAAAACCAAAACCCACCCCAAACCCTAAACGCTAAGAAGCCCTAAACCCTGAAACCAAAACACTAAGCCCCTAAACCCTAAACCCTAAACCCTACATCTGGCAAGAGCACATCCTGGTTGGTCCCTTTGGGGCTCGAAACGGCAGCCATCCAACAAGTCGTCAACGGCTCAAGTGGAATGATCCCCTTCCTTGACTGGGACATAGCTTTTGGACTGACGGAGAGCGGACCAAAGATCTAAATAGAGAAAAGTGGAGGTAGAGTATTTGGCGAGCATATCGGTTGTGTAGTACGCAGACTCCGGACTTTTTGTTGGCTAGCCGTGTGCCGTGCGGGTGTCGGTTTTGTGGAGGCTCGGTACCCTGCTCTAAGGGGAGGCATTTGAGCGGACCATACGCGGTACCTTCCCATTTTGTCCTCAGATCCCCTGCCACGGGAACGCCTGGGAACCGCCAAGAAAAGCAACACCTTTGCGAAATTTTGGGGGGGGTCCCTAAAAAAGAGAGCCACCGTGCAAAGCCAGAGGTTGGTCTTCGGTAAATCGCCGACAAGCAAAGGTATGTGATGGGACGGGGAGAACGTACTAATTGGGTGGCTCGTCATTTTTTAGAATTTGTCCCCCTCAGAATGGCTTCGGTTTTCCTTTGGTTTCCCTTGCCAACCAAAGGGGTTTCACCAAAAAGACGCCTCATTCCCTAACCAAAATAAAGGTCCCGGTATGGACCTTTGGCCACCAAACTTCACCGAAAGCGGCGCTAAAACAAGGCACACCTCCCGCAAGCATCTGGGTGTCTTTTTGGACCATCCTCAACTCTAAGGAGCCTTCGTGGCCAGAAGAATCCTTCCAAAACTGATGTGTTCGCATCATATGCCACACTCCTATTTGTTGGACGTCCACAAACCAAAAGCACAACTTCTGGGTGTCCATTTTCATGACGAGTTCCTTACTTGATGAGAAAAATAGCATCGCAAAACAAGCAGCCAAGAGTAAACCTCCCCATGGGGACATGTGCTCTAAAACACTAACAAAAAGCTAAGATTGCGCTGCCTCTAAACATGTTGCCCCCCCTCTTAATTCCAACTGTTGATGCCATTGCCAGCTTCCCTATATGATGACAACTTATCAAAATATTGGAGTCCAGTTTCATGGTTGTCTTTTCTTTTTTTACTCGTGAAGCCTTTCCAACAACATTACATGATCATCGGACAGGGGTGCCCCTCACAAAGCCAATTGAACTAAATGAACCATACCCTAAATCAAGTGCTTATGATCGGGTCATTTCCTGGACATGCATCCCAATACAAAAGACAATTCCAAAATAGAATTGCCCCTTTTGAAGAGTACTGAAGAACCCGGAGTTTGGCTGCAATACAAGACCGGCTCAAAAAGTAGAATTGCAAGACTTTCTGGAACCTGACCATGGTATATAACTCGCACAAAAGTAGCATTGCCCCTTTTAAGGTCATGTTGCCAAATGTCCTGGAATTTGACCGCAATACAAAACCTGGGCTCCGACTCCAACAAAGGCTTCGACCACTACGCAATTCTAAGCAATAGTTTAGCGTTCTATTTAGGGGAGTCAAGGGGGAGGCTACTCTTTCAGAGGTGGACATTCTGTCAAAATTGCATTTTTCTTTTCCCAAAATGGTGGCCCTCCTTTTGGTGTCCGTTGAAAAAAACACACCAAAATAGTACCCTGACACACACACAGACACACACACACACACGTACATGTGCGCGGGCATAAATCAAAAATAGGGGTCCTTTGGTTGACATCAACATTTTGTTGTGGCCCGATTCATGGCCGTTGTGCCACGTTTCGATTGGTAACTCTTGAAGTTCATAGTTCATAGTCATATCTGGGTTTAACTACAAAGACTCAAAAGGGATCCCCCCAAAATCAGAACGGTTTGCCATTGCGGTTTCCTGTGCCAAGCAAAAAGCGGGCCGAAGCATCATCTGGGACATGGGCTCTCAAATGTTGCAATGGCGATGTCCTTTGGAACTATCGCAATTTTTGGAGGTTCCAACAGAAAGAAAACACTTGGAGGCTTCCCAAAACAACGACAAGCCCATGTCGAGAAGAACCCACATCATGAAATCAATCCGAGCTGCGCAGCCATTCCTGGCCTCCCTCAGAACGCTTGCCGGAGAGGAACTCATCGGCTTCCAAGGCCAGAAAGAGCAGACGCAGCCCTACGGCTGGACCGTTTCTAACGGTTTGCTTGGCCCCCCAGTAGCGTCTCCTCTGCGTTTCGCTGAAGCCCTATGGACGGCCGCGTTTCAAAAAGGTTTGCTTGGCCCAGTAACGTGACGTCTGCGATTGGCTGATGGGGGTCAATGCAGACTTCACACTCCATAGATTTCCCCTTTACAAGTCACCAGGATCAGAGGAAACTGAAGAAGAGCCTGAAACAAGCCTTGCTTCAAACATGGCACAGATACGAGAATGAACCGGGCCCCTTTCCGATTTGGTGGCGCGTTTGGTTACTTGTGGAATATGGTTGGCCATGAAAACCCTTTGGTGTTGCAAGCAGGCAACTTGTCTGGAGCTTCTTGCTTAAACGCCATGAACTGAATGTTGAAGCTGCCCTGCTTCCACTGATGGCGAGCTCATCCGAATGAACAAGTTGTCTTGCAATGTCTCAATCTTGATGTCCATGACCAAACATGACAGCTTGTCTGTTCATTCCATGCCTGTGGAAAATTACCTTTGAAGGGGATTCCGTTGGTATCTCAAAAAGTGGCCCTGAAACCATGTCCACCCATTGTGTCTCAAGGTTCTCCACGTTGAAGCATGATCACATGATCAACTCGAGCGACTTGGCCATGTCAGAACATGCCAACAACTCAATCCAGCGCCCCAACATGTATCTGCAAAGTCTGCAACTTGGCCGAGCCTATTCTCTGAGAAATATTGTGACTGGACGAACTACTGCACCACCTAAGAAACCCTGGTTTCTGATGATCCCCCTGTAAATACCAACAAACAAGGGTTTCAACTTGGTTTCTTGAGTTGTGCTCCGTCCATCCACAGTCTCTCGATCATCTGCCACTCTGCGGGTCAACAGGCTCACTTCTCTACATTGGAACATCACGTAAACTGACACCAAGCTTTAGACTCTAGACAGTGCCTCACGAAGTCACGTGGGGCCAGCATCTTGCTTGCCACCAAACCGTCTTCCCAGAAAGCATAAATTCTAGCAACATAAGAAGTGAGATGCAGTTGGATTCAAAATCCGTTCAAAGGTCCTTGGGTTTGAGGCACGAGCGGGCCAAGTTGCGCTTGATCATTGATACCGACAATGCAGCCAGAATCCCCAGCTCCAACATAATGCGCTTAACAGCGGCCACTGAGTCATGCGAGATGGAATATGTAGTCTTATGAGTTGTGTATATGTATGCATACATATATAATGTTTGTGTTTACCGCTGTTGAGCATCCTTCCTTAATCATTATGCTTCCGTGTACTCGATGCCACACAATCGCATACATCCTACAATATCATGTCTCCACCTACTCTGCGTTATGCAAATGTTCAAAGCGGCATCAAGCAGATTCCTTTCCAGCCATTCCTTCACAGTCACAAACTAGCCCAAGGACCTAGCAATGAACACTTTTACAGGTTGACTTGGTCATCTAAAGGTGTACCAGCCCCAAAACCAGCTCATCTCGGCTGACTCGAGACATGGATAACTCCGACCGACAGGCGGACCTCCGGTGGCCGTGGGTATGCCGCATGGTACCATTTCTATTGTCTGATTCGGGTACTACTAAATCGGTACCGTAATGCAATAAAAACCGGTGCCATAAAGTAGGTACCCTATTAATAAACATGAGCAAGTTTATTAATAGGGGAGTGTTCCCCTCCAAAAGTCAACATTCCCCACAAAACCCAGGGACACCCCCCTATTAATAAACTGGGGTTGATTAGTAGGGGATCAACGTTGCTTGTAACTGATCTCTCTCAAAAAGCAACCCGTAAAAAGCTCTGGATCTCTGGGACTCATCGAACGCCTCTCTCGGGCCTTGCACTGCAAAGTGATCCTCATGCAAGAAGTTCGCCTGAGGCCGGCGGAGATACGTACTGATTCACATGGACCCGGATCCGCCCAACAAAAACAGGTGTTGTACTTGGAGCACTCTCCGGTTCAATCTGTGGGTTCCAAGTCAGTTTGCAGGGGAAATAACCAACAAATCTCATGAATCTGGAGACCCACATGTTGGGTTCCAAGTCAGATTGCAGGGGAGAAAACAACTCGTCGACCCGGAATCCCGCTTGGCATCTAGATTCTTAGCGAGAGTTCGAGCACTGGTGGCATGGGAAACAACTCGGCATTCCCATGCATAAGGGGTTTTGTCATTTTAAGACTTCAAGGTAGCCACACACACACACAAAGCACAACCAGCTGGCGTCAATTCACAACCCACTAACCTTGCCTTCCCACAGATTACGGTACCCGTATTTGGGTCGTTTTAACAGGAAACCAATAGGAAAACCGAAGCCATTTTGGGGGGTCCAAGTCCTAAAAACAGACACACCCACATGGGACCCAGGTTCGAGCAATGGTGGAACCGCGGCGGATATGTGCGGCGTCTCAAAAAAATATCCAGGCCAGCAAGGCGTACCGTGGATGGATCAAATCCACAATACGCACCAGTTGGGATCGATACGAAACCCGAAAATAACGGTTGATAAACCGCCTACCACCAAAACCGACAACACGCACTAGTGCGGACAGATACATGAAGCCCTATAAATAGAAAATCAACCACCAGCTGGTGCGAATTGGACTTCGTCCACCCACTGGCCTCAGAGGTTTGTGGCGCCCAAAGACCCTCGAACAGGTCCGGCGGTGTCTGCTTCAAGCGGCGTGGAGTCGACTTCTGGACTTAAAGTACACGCACGAGAAAACTTGTATTCTCACTTCTTGAATGGAGTGGCCAAAACACAGTCTGGACTTTGTGGTGACCACCACATTGGCCTTCCCAAAAGTAAAACGTCCAAGAACTCAGGAAGTGAGTATTTGTGCATGAATGCTCATAATTCCAAAGCCGACCCTGGACTACTCAAGCTGGTGGATGAAAAAGGATAAGTTTCCTCACCAAACCAAAAGTCCATGATTTACTGGTAAATGGAACATCCTCCTAGCTGCTTACTAATCCTAAGTCCCTAAGGGGCCCCTCCCTGACGAAGTCCCACCCCGCCTCTTCCCGCAACTCCGCCAGCGCCCCGCGCGCGCTGCTGGCGCTCGTCCAGCGGGCGCACAGCGCGCCCAGGGCGCCGTGCGCCGCGCGCCGCTCGCGCGCCTCGACGTCCGCAGAGGACTCGACGCGGCAGGCGCAGGCGAAGCGGTGCTGCTCGGAGCCTGCGCCCGCAATGGAGGTTGTGGGGGAGGTCAGTCTTTTTGAGCGATAAACTAAACCGTCCTCTAAAGCTGTATCACTGTGCGCGTTCATCTTGGACTGCTTTGGGAAGGAAACCCAACAAGCCGGTCTGTATATCTGTCCATAGCACCACATATCATTGATCAATTGCAGAATGACCTTCTTGTAGCGCTAAAGCTGCCTGCGGCAGTTGCAGAAAAGGCGCAGCACATCCTTCACTGAGATGGCTTTGCCCTTCACAAAGCCGTGGGGCCCAGCCCGTAAAGCCAGGGATGGCGGGGCTCTGCCCCTACCGGCAGGTGGGGGCAATCACTCACATGCTGAGGATCCTTCCCGAGGAGTTTCGGGCCTAGTTGAATCTCCTATTGCAAGGGCTGAAATCATTTGAAGGGCATAATTTGGGCTGTGCGGCAATACTCCACTATACTAATGCATGATCGCAGGGGAATCATGTTTGTAATCATTTAGCCCATGATATAAATATAGAAATAGATATGTATCACTCTAACAGCTCAGGTGAAAGATGTGCTGTCACAATTCCATATGTCCTCAAAGCTCTTCGGCCTTGCGCAAACTGGGGCCCCCCCTCAACATGGCAGGATTCACCTTGCTCCAAAGACTCAAGGACAACCGCTGAAAAATAAAACACAAGAATCCCTGAATTTCAACACCCAAACCCAAATTTCGCAAAGGGCCAAGTACCGCAACCAAGGGATCCCTATGAAAGAAACCTTGGGGACAAGGCAAAGGGTTCCTTGCAAAGAGTTTTCGGCCCAACTCTGTGGCGATGGAAGGTCCGTTGCTAAAATCCATCTTGTTGACCCCGGATTGATAAACACGTCCCATTAAATAGGGGGGAGGGTTCTGCTTACTTCCGAACCCGCCCTGATGCCCCAAACCACCCCTCGCCTATCTGGGCAGTCGGCCCCGAACACACTTTCAGTGGTTGGCTGGAAAAAGGAAACTGGAATTGCCTCAAACTCAGGAGCTTGGTTCTCCTTTCGCCTCAAAAGTTGGTCTCACGAAAAGAAGCCACACCCTACAAAATAAGCCCAGGTGGTCTCCCCCAACCAAAAACGCAAAGCCCCGAACCACCCCCTTGTCGCCTATCTGGGCAGCTATCGATCCCCAAAACGCTTTCAGCCAACTCTGAAACCCCCAACTCAAAATATGGGGAACCCCAACAAGTAGTGTTTTTTTTTGCAAATGGTTTTCCTTAAACCGCCCCCCCCCAAGAAAAAAACAAAACCAAAAACGCAAACACCTATGGGTTTCCTTCAGCCGCCCCAAGAGAAAGGTGGCTTTCAACTCTGCGGCCCGAGTCCAACTCTGCCTGGGAGGTACTGCCACACCATGGCCCCGCACTCCGCGGCCAAACCGCCATGGCACACCAGGCGCCTGGCTGGGTCCAAGCCGGCCGCTTCAAGGGAGCAGCGCGGGCAGAGGCAGACGAAGCCCTTGAGGTACCACAGCATGCCTTGCGACCGTGTGTCTTGTTCTAGGGCACCCCGAAAATGACAATCAACCTATTAATTGTTTTCGATTTGCTGCTGTTTTTTTTTTTGGGGGGGGGACCGACCCCAAAATGACGACCACCAGGCCAAACAGACATGTGTGTGTGTGTGTGTGTGTTTTAGGGACCCCAAACTGACAACCGCTATATATTATGATATGGTGCGTTTATTTGTTTTTAGTTGGTACTGCCTTTTTGTGGCCTTCAAACAAGTATCCGTTCTAACATGGCACCTTCGAAGGGAAGATCAGTTTCTGGGAGGGCCCATTTCCTCTCAGGTGCCCTCTGTTGCGAAGTTGCGGCCGTTCTAAAGTTAAAGGGTCCGTGACCTCAGCTGCTCGAAGGGATCTGTTCACGCATCTCCTTGCGCCAAACCCAAAACCGTAAATATATGCAACCATGCTCAATATAGGCTGCATTTGAAACCGACCAAAAGCAAAACGGTTTCAGATTCAGAACAACAAGTTGGAGTCTGGCAATCCCCAATCCCACCCAAAACCCCAACTCTTGAAAGCCCAAACCCATCATCAACTAACTGAAACCTAATTCCTGACAAGACGACTTGAACACCTGAAGGACCAAGTGAAACAGCGAACTCCCCTCCCCCCCCTCGGACCCTCTCACTGACCGCAACCAGAGTGCGGCGCCGCAGGTTCATGGGCGCCAAAGTCCCCTGCCAGGCCAAAGCTGCCGAACTTGGCTGTGGCTCAAAAAAGTGGTACCAAAATGGAACCCTGGTAAGTGGACACATGGATAAAAACCTGCGGTTTGCCCCTCCTGTATAATTGTTTGAGCCACACCCACATGGGACTTGACATCTTGGGGTCCTTGGTAAATGGATTCAAAGACAAAAACCCATACTCGTAACCGTAGCTTTTTAATTTTGAGCCATACCCATTTGGCTTGCTGTTCAGCAGGGAATAACCGAGGCCTGTTGGGAACATTCTACTCCTGTTTCGCTCGTTCCTATTCGGTCTACCCTGAAATCTGCAAAAGTCTTGGAGGAAACTGCAAAGAGACCCACCAAATCCGAGTGACATGGGGAAGAAGGCCACCCCTCTTGTTGTTGGTGGATTGTAATGGGCCACCCCCTTCCAGCAGTCGAAAAAAGGACAACCTTTTTGCTTGGTGGATTTGAAAGGACAACCACCTGACAACTTGAACTCAGCGCAACCTGTTTGCTCGTGAAATCTAAAGGATTCCCTCACAAAACGTTGAGCAAAGGCCACCCCCTTTTCGGACGCTAACCCCCCTTCACAAAAATTGAAAAGAAGCCTGCCTTGTTTTAGCGTACGCAGTTGAATAAGGAAAACCACCACAAGAAGAAGTTGAAACATCCCTACATTTGCAAAAGCCCCCTGGGGGGAGGAGAAAGAAACTATTTCCAGCGTATGGGAATAGATTCCCCGTCACATCAATAGGAAATTAGCACACATTCTCAAGCAAATGACAGGACACTCCAAGAAAACGCCTTGCTGGCAGCAAACTGCCAGTCCCCTCAACGGGTTCCCAGGGCTTGTTTAGCACCAGCCCCTCTAGGTACTCTCCCCCATAGGCGCCCTGTCAGAGCATAAGGCATGGAGTGGCAGAGATGCGTCAATCCAAACATGCTGGGCTGCCCTCAGATCCCGGCTAAAAGTCTGGTAACTACCACTAAATACTAAGAAGCTAAAAGGCTAAGGGGATGGCTGGGAGCCACCAAGCATTTCACGCTGCGAGAAGAGTACTAGCGCTGCACCCTGCAAGAGCATAAGGAGGGCCCGATGCGTGTACGCAAAGACGTTCGATGTCCCAAAGACAGCTCGCGACTGCAAAGTGGGCACTGAGGCAAGCTCTACAACCATAGGTGTCCTTTTAGGGTAAATAGATGGCCTTGGTAGATGATTAAACCACCAGGTAAACCAGGGCCATCTACTTTTCTACCAAAACAACCAAAAAGGACACTCTACAACCCAAAGGCTTCAACTGGGGGGTTGCCACTAAGACGTGCTGGTTAAACCAGAAGCATCTGGAACGGATCCGAGCCTCACACTTTGGGAAACAGGCGATGCATCTGCCCTCAGCCACTTCAGCCGAGCAACAAATCCCACATGTTTTAGGGGTTTCAGTGAAGCAACTCAAAGTCAACGAGGGGTCATCGATCCACCATCAGTTTGTCAAGAAGGCCAGGTGAAATGGGGGAACAAAAAAAGAGAAAAAGGCACCCACTGACCGTATGTCCAGTGATTCCCTTTCACATCAACAGTAAACAACACTGGCACATCACATATCCTTAACTAAGCAGTTAGTCAAAAAAGGGAACCACAAAAGAATCAACCAAATAAATCAAACAAAAAGGACAACCGCAAACCACATATCCTTAATTCAGCATTACTAAAAGCACAACAACAAAAAACACAACACAAAACAGAACAACAAAAAACAAGGAAAACCGCACCCCACTGCCCCACTGCCCCATCGGATCTCAGCCTGGAGCTTCATGTAGGACACCCCCAGCACCTCCCCAGCGGCGATGGGGCGACACGCGCGGAAGTGACCCTCGAAGTCCTCGGGGCCCTGCACCGAGGAGTACCTCGGAAGGCTCGGCTCCCGAGTCCTTTTTTGCGGATTTCCCGGGCGGAAAAAGGGCACTCGTCTTTTGGGTGGGTGATCAAACCCCGAAAAAAAAAAATCAAGCGGACAAACCCAAATGAGGGAGTGCCATTTACTTTGAAAAAACTGTACATATGCATTGTATACTGATTCAGAGCCGACTCGCAGGGGAAGCCATGTGAAGGTTATTGCCTTGGTGGTCCGTCAGGGCTCCTCCAAATATCACAACATTTGAAGGAATTGGATTGTCAGAGTCAGAGGCAAGGTTTGCCAACTGGCGCAAATGCGCATGATTCTCATTGTGGCGCAGTTCAGTGCATGAATTGTCCAGATCACACGATGTCTTCAGATGTTCAGTCCAACAGTGACTCATAGTCGCTAGTCACAGTCACTAAGTGTCACTAGGCTGCAACGGCTGCTCTGAACTAGATGACTTTGATCCTCAAAACCAACTTGAACACAAGCTAAACTCCTCGACCCCTTTAATGCACTCAAATAAATGACTCAAACAAGCTTCATCACCTAACGGCGAAACCTAACCCCAAGCAAAAAAAGAAGGTACCTCCCCAGCCCAGGATAATCTCTGCAAAGCTTGCACAGCTTGTGAATCGGTTCGCGTCAGGAAGTAAACATATTTCACAAACAGGATCTCGACTTCTCCCCGCCCCGTTCTTCCCAGAGTCTTTGCAGAATGGCAACCCCCCAAAAGAATACATAAAGTAAGACAACCAAGGATGGATACCCATCAACAGTCCCCATCTACATCCCTTCTGTTGGGATCCGCTTTTATTGAGGTGCTGACCCCCTGAGTTGGCAAAACAGCAGACAAGTTCAAACTGCTTGGCCCCAGTATGAAATGAAGAGAAACTCGACAGCCCCAAACCGATTCTTGGGAAACTGAAGAGGTAAGCAAGGCTTCTTTGATCTTGTGGAGCAAACCAGGCGTAGCTTGGGGGCGGTAAGTTTACTGAACAGGTATATGGCCATGGGTCAAAATCTCGTACCCCCAGTGAACATCCCAATCCTCACTAAAAAGACTAACATGGGAGGTGAATTCACCTACCCCAAAATGCTACCATTAACTTTGACCCACAGCCATATAGGGTGACGCGTTCTGCAGACCGCCGGGCGGCACCACGTTGGGCAAGCAGGAGTGGTTGATCATTGTGCCCCACTTTAAGAGGCCGCTGGTGTTGCCAGCCGCTTTGCCTCATGCACCGGAGCCATTGGAGAGGGCAAATGAAATCTCAGATGCCCAGTGGATTTCCATAGGAAAAAATAATCGGCGTCCTTTTTTGGTTGCTTGACTTTGAAGGGAAACCCTTCTCCCAAAAAAAGGACAACAAGGCACCATGGACAACTGGGAAATGGAACTCGCCTTTGGGGGACCCCATTTAGTATGGAGAAGCTCCCGTTTACGTGGTTTCCAACATGTTTAGCTAACTGAAGAAAGGTGGCCTTGTTTGAATGGTAATGCAAGTCAGGCTGATGGGTGGACGCAATTTACGCCGCCCAACTTGGGATGGTACAATGGGGGAACCCCGAAGACCTCGTAGGTTCCCCCTAATTCCATTTAACAAACCATCCACGAAACCAGTATCCTCAAACAAAGAACGGCACACAAAAAGAGATTCCCAGGCCCACCCCGGCCAAAAGCCATCCCCCCACCCCCCCACCCCCCCACCCCACTGCACTCCGAGCTCCGACACCCAACTTCTTGCCAGGCCCACCCGCAATCCTCACCAAACCCATCCACCCCACTCAAATCGAGCTCAAATCGAGTCATAATCAAAACCATGTACAAAATGGTGAACCCAAAACCATGCAAAGAAATACCAAGGCGGCCGCACCTATTTATGTTTGGGAGTGTCCCTTGCCAACCTTCACTTGCCTGGGCTTCTTGTGAGACAAACTTCTACCACAAAAAGCAACCACAACTTCTTGTTTTCCACTAAACATAGTCTTCTCCAAAAGTCTCAAAGTCCACTTGGACTCCCTCCGAGTGAGAAAAAAAGAAAAAGAAAAACAACTCCGGCTCCAAAATGACGAGGCGCAGGGGTGGGAGTTCACGCAAAACAAGCGCAGCAGCCTCGCCAGGCTCGCCACGTCGAGGTCTTGCAGCCACGGCAGCTGCTGGGCTACGAGCCACTCCGCCACGCGCCAGGTGGACAAATACGTCTCCTTGGCCGAAGTCCGAAAGCCAGCGAGTGGTTTCCCGAAGCTTCCAAACTGGCGTTTTCGCGTGGCACAAAGTTTGACTTTTTGTGGGTCCAATTCATGGCAAACCCAGTGTTTCAACCAACAAGTTGAAGTCCAAAGATCCAACCAAATACCCTCCCTCCCACTAACATGGCACCTGACAAGGGGTCCCTGCAAGAAGAAGTTGATCTTCCAGATTCCCTCCGACAGGTGCCATGTCCGTGGGAGGGGAGGGTAGCCATCAAGCCTTGGGGCTCTTTTTCTTCAAAAGCCGGGTCGCTGAGCTGGGGTGCATGGAATCTTGCATCGCCAGCACCTCCTGTTGCACCTCCAGCTCAGAGTTCTGGTACTCAAACCTCACCACGGATGACGGGTGGGTCCTACTTAGAGGACTGGGAACTGAGGGGGAACAACAAATCAAGCAAATATCCATCCCCTCTTAGCTTGTTGTTCGGAAATAGATGATTATTGCTATCTGTCAGGGCACTTTGGGCACTTCCTACAAAGGTCCATTCACCACTTGCTGACTGGTCTGGTCCTCCAAGTGTCTCGCAGCGGTTCATCGATGTTCGGGCTGGCAGGTGGATCCAGTCACGAGGTGAGCAACGAAAGCGAAATTCTAAGACCACCTTCAAACTACCGTCAAATGATATTCAAAACTCAACACCATGCAAGCCATATGTTGATGATCATACGCACATTAACTGAATTAATCCCCCCTAAATGTATTCAAACCTGGTTTTCACTACTGGAAGGGCAATGTCAAGGTCTTTGGGCAGCAAAACCAGTCGTGTGCCGCGAACCTTCCGGTTCCGATGGACAAAACCCGCCCGAAGGCAGCAAACGGCGGGTTCCACTATCCAGTCAACTTTCCTTCCCTGACCAAAAATAAGATCCAACTCACTCAAAACAAGGCCAATCGCCGGGGAAGTGAACTCAGGCACTTACCAGGGAAGTGAATTCCGAATGAGTGGTTCCCCAAAGAGTTCAATCACAGCATCACATCATGAAGGAGTTCCTACATAACCTCCAACAAGGACTGCTTGTACCCAAAAAGACACCCTAGAAAAATGGGAGGGATTCATTTGCTTTTCCGCCCGGCCGAAGAAGGACTGCTTACAGTACCCAAACAAATACCAAGGATGCGGTGTGTAGCTGGTGCACTTGCAATAGGGTGTGTCACTCCAAACAGGAATCGAGCCTACAAAAGAGGCGGGTTTTGCTTGCTTTCCCAAGAAACACAACACACAACACACTTTTTTCTTTGCGTTCTTTGCGGGGGAACCGTCAAACAAGAATCGGAACCACACTCCGTACCCAAACAAAGCCAAAGAGGCCTCTGAAGGAACTGGACGAAGGAAAAAACACGGCAAGAAACCAGAGCCTTGTACCCATGAAAGAGGGAATTGCAAGGCCGAAATCAGGGGTGGCGTTGAACGGATTTCCCCCAAAAAGTTGATCATTTCACGGGTGGCTTTGAACAGATCTACTCAAAGGGCCATTGTACTTAGAAAGTGGTTCGTAAGCCTGGTTTCTAACCCACTTAGCTCTAAGTGGGCTACAATCAGGCATACTAACCACTAAGTGAAATGGCCCCTTTAAGTACCCTTTTGCTCGGAAACCCCTGGAGAAAAGCCGAGGCGCAAGAGCTTCATGTGCTCTTGGTCGAAGATCACCGCGCTGGGAAAGCCGTCCCCGGCGATCTCCACAGTCCCCACCTGATGCTCCGGGCAAACAAACGAGCGAAGTCCAAAAAAAAATATCCGGGTCCGCCGCCCTTTTCAGGACAAAATGAAGACCACCGTATTTCTCCGAGTCCAAATCAAGAAAAGATCCGGAAAAGGAAACAAAAAACAAAAAAACACATTGTGCGAGTCCAAATTCCTCTTTAACCACCAATCTTCACCCATCTTCCGGCAAAACGTATCCCTATCCCCCCCCTTTCCCCAAGCTGGTCTTTTTGATCAACTTGCAAAAAATGGGAGACGCACGCCTCGGGATTCAATCAACGCCTTCCAGCACCTGCACAAAACCGCACAAAACGGGTCTGAGGCCAACAGGTGGCGTTTGCAGATAGACATTTCTCCGGTCGACGTTGTAGTGAAGGCATGTCTCGTTCGGAATCAAATGAACATCCTAGCCAAGTCAAAAAGCTTGCAACCGGGTCCCTTTGGCCCTTTTTGAGAATGGATGCAACGCTCATTGTGCCTCACAATGCAAAGCAGTCCCACTCACGGCCAGTTACCACAGAAGTCGGGGATCCAAGGATCGTCGGTTCGCTTTGCTCCCTTGGAACATGCACGAGGATCCGAACGTGAGAGGGGCTCCCAGAGACGCAGAGGGTTCAGAACTTGACTGCCCAACAACCAGGTCTCAAACAAAGGTCCTGGAACAAACAAATATCCATCCACTTTGGGCATTCCTTGGGAGCATCCAAGTTATGAGCAAGTTAGCACCCAGCGGAACTGTCTGGGTGGATTGGCCACAAAAGGTCCCCAACAATCTGAACGGGTTGATTTCCCCATCGCTGTCCTTAGACACCACCCATGTTCAATCACAGGTTTGGCAACCACTTGACAAAATCCGTGGAGAGAATCGGAAGTCGGAAGAGACTCGGGAAAAATGCCAAACAAAAATTGCCAAAACAGCGATTTGATGTGGACTCTGACCTCCAGCCAGGGGAAAACAGGAATGGGCCCTCGTGTTTTGGTTGGCTAAGCCCAGGCAATATCCACAGCAGTTCAGAGCTCCCTGTAAGCCTCCGGAACCGAATCTCCGCAAGCCTCCATGAAAGCAGAATCACGCACACAAAAGGATCACAAGTAGTCAAGCTTCATACTGGGGAAGCGGGTTTTACCCCAAAAGGTCTGATGCCATGCCCGCAACAACATGGAAGACGCCATCGAGCTCCTGGGATGGCAGTTTTTGGCCGCCCCCCAAAGTTGGGGTTGGCAGGTTGGCATCATCCCCCTTGCTGTGGATTGGGAACACAAATTATATGGAAAAGAGGAGTCGCCGTAAAGGAAACCATGTCTACATATTTCCCGAAAAAGCTGCACACATCCCTGCTTTCCACGCATCCCTGCTTGCTTGTTTGTCTGCTAAAGGCTAGTAAGCCTGGTTATAACTCACTTACCAGTAGAGCCGGCGAAGCCGGAGGGCGGAAGTTTCAAAAATATAAACACTATAGTTTTGTGTCTCTTTCTTTTCTTTCTTCTTCTTCCTGTTCCCGGTTTCTCTTTGTTCCGTCATTCTGTGTGTCTTCCTTTCTTTCTTTCTTTCTCTCCTTCCTTCCGCCCTTCTTTTCTTTCTTTCTTCTTTTCTTTCTTTCTTTCGTTTTGCTTGTTTTTGGGTTCTTTCTTTTATCTCTTCTCCATCTATGTATCTATCTGCCTACCTATCTATCTGTCTCTCTTTGTATCCATCTAAATATCTGTCTATCTATCTTTCTATCAATCTATCTATTTATCTCTCTCTCCTTTTATCTATCTACCCATCTCTCTATCTATCTGTTTATCTATCTATCTGTCTATCTATCTACTTTCTATCTAATCTATCTATCTATCGATCTATCTATCTACTTTCTATCTACTTTTTATCTAATCTATCTATCTATCTATCTACCTATCATCCATCTACCTATTCTCTCCTTTTATCTATCTACCTATCTCTCTATCTATCTATTTATCTATCTATCTGTCTATCTATCTTCTTTCTATCTACTTTCTATCTAGTCTTTCTATTTATCTATCTCTCTCTCTCTTTTTATCTACCGATCGATCTATCTATCTATCTACCTATCATCCATCTATCTATCTATCCCTCTATCTATCTATCTGTCTATCTATCTATCTATCTCTCTATCTATCTATCTATCTATCTATCTATCTATCTATCTATCTATCTCTCTATCTATCTATCTATCTATGTATCTATCTATCTATCTATCTGCTTATTTATCTATCTATCTACCTATCTATCTATCTATCTATCTCTTTATTTCTCTATCTATCTATCTATCTATCTATCTATCTATCTATCTATCTCTCTCTCCGTTTAGTGCTGCGCCTGCCACGAAATCTGTACTTGACCTTGCGAAAGTGCTGCACCTGCCACGAAACCTGTACCTGACCTTGCCAAAGTGCTGTGCCTGCCACGAAATCTGTACTTGACCTTGCGAAAGTGCTGCGCCTGCCACGAATTTGGCAATTGACCTTGCGAAAGTGCTGCGCCTGCCATGAAATCCGCACCCGGCCTCACCAAAATGCTGCGCCTGCCACGCAATTCAATCCTTGCGAAACCTCTGCGTTGCCGTGCCAATGGGCCCGGCGCCGACCCCGCTCCGACCCCGCTCCGAGCCCGCTCCGACCAGACGCCGCGGACAGGCTAGCTTTCGCATCTCCGGAGACGCCGATTCGCGCACAGGGCCACGCTTTTTTGCGACTTTCTCATCTGCGAAAATGCCGATTCACGCACAGGGCCACGCTTTTTTGCGACTTTCTCTTCCCCTGCCACACGCGCGCGCATTTTTTCTCGTGGGCTTATTCCTTCTCTTGTCATTTGTCTCAGAGAGCTAGCTTTCAATTGGTTGCCGTAACACGGAAGTTCCTTCTAAACTTCCTTTGACCACGGTTGCAAGTCTTCTAAGTGGGTTATAACCAGGCGTACTAGCCACTTGCTACGTACAATGCCGGGGTGGAGGGGGAGGGGTGGAGCGCGGGGGGGCCCTTTGAGTGAGGAGGGATCCCAAAGTCTCCTCAAAACCCGCGCCTCCGGCGGCGGCGGCCGGAACATCGCCAAGGGCGGCAGCTCTGGAGGCCCGCAGAGCAGAAACTTCTCCTTGGCGAAAAGTGGGGAAAATCCGCCGCCCTCTGGATTCTGTGCTTTGTTCTGTTGGCGTGTTTTCCTGACGGAAGCCAGGAAAACCCCCAGGAACCTGAAGAAGCCCCCAGGAAACACCCCGCCCGCCCCCCCCTGCCAGAGACGGATTGATGACATCGCGAGAAAAAAACGTTGTGCAGCTTCGGTGGGGGTGGTTCGAAGTAAAGCATTATCATTTGTTCGAGGGTATCTTTTCTGGTGTTTAGTGAACCGCCCTTCTTTGAAGTTGTTCTCGCTCCTCCTTTCGAGAAATACTCACATGGTTCTCAGAAGAGCGATCTAGAATGGTGGGTTCCCTTGGCTTCCCAATACCAACCGGAAAAAAAAAAAAAAAAAAAAAAAAAAAAAAAAAAACAGGGGTTCCGTCATTCTCAGACATACAACATACCATGGGTGGACGAAATCCGTTCGCCGCACGAAATAAAGCGAAGGTGGAACACATGTTGCTTCTTGGAAACCAGAAGTCATCCTTCCAGGGTTCCTTTGGTGCGGGATTTTGCGCGTCCACGGAATGCTGACCCCATATATTCATCAACCCCAGTTTGTTAATAGCGGGGGGGTTCCCTCCAGAAGTGGCCTGATTCCCCACCGAACCCGATGATTCCCCACTAAACCCGATGATTCCCCACTAAACCACATGATTCTTCACTAAACCCGATGATGATTCCCCACTAAACCACATGATTCTTCACTAAACCCGTTGATTCCCCACTAAACCCGATGATTCCCGAATAAACTCGATGATTCCCCACTAAACACAGGGACGCTATGAATACACTGGTTGATTCATATGGGGTCAACACCCCAATGAGGCCCAATTCACCCGACGCGACAGTCACGGCTGGGGCGCCGAGGCTCCGAGAGCACCAAGTCGCCCACAGCAAAGTCGGCGTCCGCCACCAGAAGCTCCTGGCAGAGACCGGCCGCGAGAGAGCCGCTGCCCATGGAAGCTGACAGAGTTGAAGACTGCCTTCCTTTTGCAGAAGCCCTTTGCTCACTTAAATGATTGCCAGAAAGAGGACAAACTCTAGAAATGTGGATGAACCCCCTTTGAATGCTAGTTCAATATGGAACCTGACGTTTTGGGGTCCTGGAAGACGAGTTTCCTTTAAAAGGGACCCTCTGGTGCTTTCCTAAATATAGCTCACTCCCTGAATGAATTTGCAAAAAACAGCAGCCAAACATGTTGTTTACCACCAAAATGGTCCAATCCTGCACAAAGCGACTAGAGTCCAATTAAACTGAGGAAGTGAGATAGTGACTCACAGACCCAACATATATTTTGCACCTTCGGGGCTTTTTCATCGCAAACTAAAACCCCGAAAGGTGACGTAGCTGTAGCTTGCGTCCAAGGTATTCTTGGGGAGATTCCATGCTTCCAGCCCCCCCCCGGTTTCGTTTGAGGGTTTACAAATCTGGTGTCAACAGTTGGTCAATTGCAGCAACCTTGGTCAACATTCCACCGTAAACCTAAGCGTGAGATTTGTTCCTCGCGCATGATGTTAGTCAAGGGCGAAAATGTCTGAGACGGCCCCAAACACTGACTCAGAAACACAGAAAGTTGCCCTAAAGCCCAAATTTCGCTACCATTAACCTGTGCTTGACCGAGGAGCATCTATCATCTATCGCCCTTTGCGAGCAAACCTGGACGGACGTGCCCAGATACTGGAAACCTGTATGATAAAAAGTGCAAGGAAACACATACGCCAAACCGTTTAGAGATCTCCAATTTCGATACGTTCTCAACTGGGAGGACAATTCGATGGGGGGCTCGTTGGTTGCCCAACAGCCATCGTGGAGGGACTTGCATGCAACCACGAAGCCTCACTCCCAACTCCCTGTCCCCACGGTAAGTGGCACTACAATCCGAATTTTCCCACAAACGACTCAAAGACGCAAATGGTTGTGTCCCTTTTTACCCCAAAATGGTGGTCCTTTGGCTTCCCTGTACCACCCAAAACCGGGTACCCCATATCCCAAAACACACAGGAATCCAAAGCCGCCTTGTCTCATTTCCCGGGGATTCTCACTCAAAAAAAAGCTACCAACTCCAAAAAAGACGCACCATGCGTCCATCGCTCGCACACGCCCACCCCCCCCCCCCCGGCTCCCACCTCGACCTCTGGGTGCCTCTCCAGGCGCACGCCTTTGGGCGCCGGGCCCCGAGGCAGCGCCGGCGGCAGCATCCGCCCGCCGGAAACGGGCGGGGCTCCCGCGCGCGAGCGTTTTCGCGGCGCCAGGTAGACCCGCCAGGCGCAAACAAACCGTGATGTACGGTGTTTTTTGGGGGTAAGGCCAACCAGGCTCGGCTATACCACAGTTTATTACGGTAGACCAAGAGGTTCTCAGCACAGCTATGGTCATCGAGTCAATGCCGTACAGCAAAAAGAGGATTGCCTGTTGAGGCAGCAGAACGGTGGATGGCCTGTTGAGTCAGCAGAACTGTGGATGCCCCCTTCGCCATATTGAAGGTAAACCAACCACAAACCATGGGCATTATAGGGTGTCCTTTCTTCTCCACTTGCACTATTTCGGGCATCCACCGTAGATTGACGGAATGCCGTGGCCATGTGCCTTTGCAGCGGGGCACAAAGCTGGTTCCTGCAATTGGTGAGTTCCATTTGTAATAGTTGCCAAGTGGCCATGGCAAAAAGCTGGCATTGTTTATCCACCAAAAAAAAAGGACTGGGTTGTAGCTGTTGTTTGATAGCTCGCTGGGACTCGCATGCATGTGAAGAAACGTGCTCTTGCAGGTTCATCCTGGTTCTTATGCCTCGAGATATCAGGCTATGACCAGCCTGTAGCTGAAGATCGCAACAAGTCAAATCGGCCACAGTGGATATGTTTCAGACTGGGCTCGGAGCCAAAGTATTTCGCCAGAAAGCAACGCATGCTCCATTCATGGTTGAAACCAGTGTTTGCCGGTATTTATAGGGGAATCATCAGAAACCAGGGTGTTCCGTAGGCGGTGCGAAATCGATTTCGCAACCATCCACAGTAGGAACTCAAGGCAGGAGGCCAGGAGGTCGGCTGTTCAGTCACAACTCGAGCCCACAAAGGGGATTTCCCGAACGGATGAACAGGATTTAACAGGGTGTGTGTTCACCAAATTGACACGGAACAAAGAGGTTCCTCCAGAAAAGGACTGCTCTAATTTCGACTCATGTACCTTCCAGGGCTTGGGTGGTACAACCTTGATGTTTGGGTTCCATGCTAGAGTGGTCCCTCAAATTCAAGCACATCGGTTGGGTAAAAATGCTCGAGACGGCCACCTGCAGGTTGAGTCATTTGGCAGACCAAACACTGAGCCGGTTGTCAGAAATTGGAGGTGGGTGCCTGCTTGAGCACCTTCAATGAGACCACATCGGCAATTCCAGCGGGAGTTTGCTTGGTATCTGAATCCACCATTCTGTGACTATAAATTCATGCGGTGAAAAGGCTGAAATATCAGCTCCAGACTCAAGCTCCCACAAAGCTGAGTTGTTGCTGGTTGAAAGGGCAAACACGGGAAAAGGCAAACACGGCTAAGTCTGGTAATATCAGGTGGCGAGAAGCCCCGGCAAAGCAAACTTCCTGGTTCGTTCCACAACAAAAAATGGCGGATTCGAAGAACGCAAGCTCAGAACATGTTTCCAGCCAAATTCCCTTAGAATCCCTCGAGGGTCTTCGGTACCAAACCACCCCGCAGGACTTGAAGGCTGCATACCGCCCCACTTTTTGCTCGCCACCAGAAGGGTGGTAATTCCCAACCCATTTCCCTGCTAGTCATTTTCGGGGGTAGTCCATTTCCCTGGTAGTCAGTTGGGGCTAGTGGACACCATCTTTTTATCGATATTTCCCGTTGCCCATCGATATCCACGCCTGGGGGACAGAGATCCTGTTGCCGCTCAGGAGCTGAACCTGTACCACCTGAGCCGATCTTCGCGAGTCCTTGGCCCCCCCCCCCGAAAGAAGGAGCAGCCGTTTTGCACGCTTGAAATCCTGGGCCAAGGGATTTCCAAAAGGAACGTGGAGTTTGCAAATGGTTCAACCCACATCAGGTTAGTAGGGTAGAACCATAATAAGTTATAAGGGGGCTAAGCCAAGCTGCCTCAGTTATAGACATAAGTTATACCTACGTACTCAGTGGGTTGAACATCCAATCACGGTGGGCTGTCGGCACATTGGATCAAATAAAGTTATCGAGCGACCACCAGTATTTAGTATTTACTTTACTGTAGATGGACAATATCCACTCCGCACCATTTTGGATGGATGAAACTCTGGAATACGCCACCTGCCAAAAGGCGTCATAGGCTCGTGGGGTAGAATCCTCCAACTTTGGGCTATTTTTGCTTACACAATCCGGGGTCCAGGCTTTTCATGGGTGTGTACCTGAGCTAAGCACACAACACCACGGTTGTGATTTCCTCGTGAACAAGAACTCAGAAGTCTCAACCCAACACAGCAGGAGGGTCGAACAACCCACGGGGTTTGCCTTGGTCTCTTTTTGAGGAAATCGAGTTGGAGACTTCCGCTTCCGATCGAATAAACACCGGCGACACTTTTTGGTGAGCACCACGGATTGGCCAAAAGAAGTCTAAACTTTTTGGGTCCAAACCCCAAAAGTGAATAATGTCCACGAAATCAGGAAGTGAGATTCAAACGCTCCGACATTTGTTCCCAAACGGAATTTCGCGACATGACTTGCCCGCGAAAACCTCAACCAGCTCCTCGTTTCAAAAGGAGTTTGTGCGGATTCCATGCGAGTGCACCTGGGTCCCTGGGTCCCCGTGTCTTCAAATGGCGAACTCTTATGCAAGCCCTCAAAACAAGCCCGCAAGGAGACTCCCATGCAAATTAAACATGGAACCCCAATGCCGGGGTCTCGTGAAAGAAAATCCGTTCAAAATGTGTTTTGTCTTCATATCTCTAAAGGAACAAAGTAGGCAACCAGCTTGGTTGGTTGCTTGATTTGGTTGGGTTTCTTTTGGTTTGTTTTGGCGTGGCTGGTCGATTGGTATACAATACTAGTACTTCATGATTCATGCACTTGATTTGGGATCGAGTTGGGGGTGCCGGGACACACTCTCATTTGGTCATTTGGAGGACCTAAAGGAGGCACCGCAAATTGATGAGTCAGCCCCAACCCTCGTGCTGTTTTTGGAGTCTTATTGGGACTTTGTAAACATCTTGGTGGCTGAATGAATATGTGTTGTGTTTGCTGTTTTTGATTTTTTGTTGTTTCTGTTTTTTAGTTGCTGTTGGTTGTTTTTGGTTGTTTTTGGCTGTTGTTGTTCTTGTTGTTGTTGTTGTTGTTGTTGTTGTTGTTGTTGTTGTTGTTGTTGTTGCTGTTGTTGCTGTTGTTGTTGCTGTTGTTGCTTGTTGTTGTTGCTTGTTGTTGTTGTTGTTGTTGTTGTTGTTGTTGCTTGTTGTTGTTGCTGTTGTTGTTGTTGTTGTTGTTGTTGTTGTTGTTGTTGTTGTTGTTGTTGTTGTTGTTGTTGTTGTTGTTGTTGTTGTTGTTGTTGTTGTTGTTGTTGTTGTTGTTGTTGTTGTTGTTGTTGTTGTTGTTGTTGTTGTTGTTGTTGTTGTTGTTGTTGTTGTTGTTGTTGTTGTTGTTGTTGTTGTTGTTGTTGTTGTTGTTGTTGTTGTTGTTGTGTTTGTTTGTTTGATTGTTTGTTTGTTTGTTTGTTTGTTTGTTTGTTTGTTTGTTTTTGTTTTTTAATAGGGGGCCGAAAGACACGCCCGCACAAAATACATATTGTGATGACTGAGCTTAGCCATAACTATTTGGGCCCGAAGGTATTGACTGCCAAAAAAAAGGCACGAGTTGCCCCTTATCCTTCCGGGTTTCCGCCCGCCTGATGCTCTACTTCTACTACGCTTGCCTCACGCCAATCCTGGCGCGAGCGGGGTCTGCACTTGCGAATAGTTCAAGGGCAGAAAAAAAAAAGAATCGGGTTGTGGGGTACTTTACTGCCACAGAGTCATGATAGGGGTAAACTAGTACTTGTTTTGTCCCTCATATTGTTCCCCTGCCGATTGACATGAATACCCAAACCCATATGTTTCCCAAAAGGATACTCCTCTAAACAACTGCCGTTCTAAAAGGCCTAAGCACCCCGGAGAGTCTCTTATGATACATGCAGGGCAACAGGTACGGCTTACTCTGCCATAGCGTCTATCTGAAGCCCTGACATGAGCCTCCAGTCGTTTGGACAAACTCCAATTCCCAAGCTGGAAATCAGGCAGCCCCGGCGAAAAACGAGATCTTGATCATGAATTCATGCTGCCCCGCGGCGAGCGCGCAGCTCGCTGCAACCACCCAGGTTGGACTCAACATGTCGCATTCATACCATATGAGCCGGATGAAACGGCCGAACCAAGGGCCTCTGGATGTTGGGTTCTGTGTTTGATCTCTTGGAAACGTCCCATGTACCAACCGAGTACGGCTCCACCATTGGGGGTTAGGAACCCCTGACACACACACACACACACACACACACAAGTTGTTGCTGTGCTTTTTTCTTTTGCCACCCCCAAACTCCCTAAAGGTCGCGCACTCAGTACTCAGAGACCCGGATTCGTTCGTTCGAAGCCCCTGACTACGTCCTCCAGTAGAGAGGTTAGAAGAAGGGTGCCCCTTTTTCTGCAGTCTATCTTAGTAGGGGAACCGAATCTCCCCCCAACAAAGTGGTCAGAAAGGGCACCTAGCTGGGGGACCGAGTGGAGAAACCTCCAAATGTAGGAACCCCAAAGTTTCAAAGACTCGGCGCCAAAGAATGGAGGAGAACTCGCGCCGGCGCGGCATCCTGGTCTTCCGGCTCCTGTTCCTTCTGCCGGGAGCGCCCGGTGAAGAGCTGGCGGAGGTCGCGAAGGAGGTGGCTGAGACATCGGAACTTGCCGCCTAAGGGAAACGTTTGAGAGCAGCGACCAAAAACCCAGTGACATTTGGTTCTACTGACATGGATAGTAAGGTTCATATAATACATCACGAAATGAAACCATGGGGAACCATAACGTTTGTTGGTATTTACAGGGGAATCATCCGAAACCAGGGTCTTTGAGGTGGTGCGAAATGGATTTCGCAACCATCCACAGTATGGTCCAGCTGAGAACCTTCGGATCGAGTCTTTCTATGTGCCTCATACAGCTGTGCGGCGCTGGAGAAGGCGTCCGAGTTCTCCTGCCAACGGCAGGACGCGCTAAGTCGCCGATTCGCGTCGAACCGGCCATTTCGGAGTTGACCCCGCAAACATGGTGGCTCATAATGGTTTCTGGGAAACAGCCATGTTCGTCACAATTGCAGGAGCTGGAACTTGTGCATGTAGGCTCAAGTTAGCAAGTCTTTTGCTTGAGTACAGTGATATATTAAGCGAAAACAAAAGCAGCACGCTTCAGAATCCACATGTGTCCTTTTTGTTCCTCCCTACCCTGGAATGATGGTTGTAGAATCCAGCCCCATGCCCTCCCACTAACATGGCGCCTGAAAAGACGTCGCCTGGAACTTGAACTTCCACCTTCCCAGAGGTGCCTTGGGTTGGTGGAGATGGTATCTCTCAGTTGCCCAGCTTGTACCCAGAAAAGTTGGCGAACCTGTTGGGGCCACTAAAAGTGGTAACCCAAAAAGGGGGTAAAAAACACCAAAAAGGTTGTTTCAGGTCGACGTGATTAATACCACCTCCAGCTATTAGTCAGGCGAACCCTTGTGGTTGAACTCCATGCTTCAAGGCAGGAGAAACTCAATACAGGCGATCTTTGTGTGTGTGTTTGTGTGTGTGTGTGTGTGTGTTTGTGTTTCCACTAAAATTGCAAAAAGGCTCATTCTGGCTTCCCTTTAATACCTACCAAAAATGGGAGGGGGGGTGCCTTGAAAACCTACCCAAAATGGGGGTTGTCCTTTAAAACCTTCCAAACAATTAGGGAAATTGTCCTTTAACACCTACCCATTGCCCAAAATGAGGGGCTGTGATCCAAACCCCGCTAAATATTTTGTTCCAACGCAAGCAAACAAGAGGAGCAGAAGCCATCGAGATCTTCCACGCGCGCCTCCAGGGGGTAGAGTCGAGTGTCGGAGTTCACAAGGACCCGGCAGGGCTTGGCGCGCTTGGGCTTGGCCGCCTCGGAAGCCAGAGATCCAGCCGAACTGAAGGGAACCGCTGGAATCGGCCGCTGTTCAAGCTTGGGGGGCCTCAGGGTCCACACCTCTTGGGGATGGTTGGCCTTGGAAACCATGGGAAGCTAAGGAAATAACATAACTGAAACTCGGTCACACCCGATGGACCCGCAGGCTCAGCCATCGAATCTGAGGCTGATGCCAGGTAGAGCCACTCGGCCAAGCGAGCCAGCAGACGAAGCAGGGCTGGCAGGGCACAACAGGTGAACCCCCATTCTACGGTATGGAAAAGGGAGTTTGCAGAAACGTCGGTTGCAGAACAACTTCTCATCAAAACGGGTCCCTGAGATTGACCGTTATTTTTGGCTGTTTCCAAGTGGTGGCTACAAAATGATGTCATTTCAGTTAGGGGTCTACGTCATGGCGGCCACGCCTGAAATCCAAGTGCCATGTTGTGGTGGGCGAATTGGTTCTCAACCCTACCAGTGTTCCAAATGGATTGGACACCCATTCTATAGGGAAAATGTAGTTACTAAACAAATCCGTGAGAACCAAAACAAATCCACAAGCAGGTCGACGTTGATCCATTGTGTCCGTTTGTGCCAGCATCAGCTGAAGACGTACTCTGCCAACAGCTTAAGCAGCTAAAGCCAACTCAAATGCCCAATTGCCAAACGTGGAGGTATTTGCATCTGTGCGCACCCACTCAAACCCAAACTGGCACGTATCCGATTCGTCATTTTGTAGTGAGTCTGACTGGCTCTTGGCATTTTGTAGTTCAACTGTGGGAAGTCCAGAAAACTTGGGAAAAAGGGGGGGGGGGGGGCGGCACTGAAAAATGCCACTGAGCCACTGAACAAGCGGGGAGCGTCGCATACATAACAAAAAACGTGCCTGTGTGATAGCATCTTCAACCAAAGATAAGATAGTCATTGTGCCGTTGGTTGTCCAAAGCCCTTTGCTAAATGTTCTAAGGCACAGCTGGTTTTTGTGCGCGGTCACTGCAACTACTAGCACCCTATCGCAAGCTTGAAATGGGGGCTACAGCAATTGGACATGCCTGTGTATACATATATACCACAATATGTGTGATCTGTACATATATATATATATATATATCTGTTCATGCAAACCTGATACAAGACTCACAGCAAGCAGGATAATTACCACCAATACAATAGTGCTCTCACGCAGCCACATTACAATAAAAACATGATCGGAACACATAGGAACAATGACAATATTCCGTCGTGCGAACCAGGTGTTGATTCCATTTGAGCTCTGATAAACTGCGACAATAGACGTAAAGGTGATTGGATTGTGAGACCAACAGCAATCTTGCGTTGCAAGTGCAACTGTCCAACATTTACAGCAGCTGTTTGGCCTGCTGGAGGAATGTCACAGTGTAGCAAGTAGGTTTGTGTCAAAAAAGGGGACCCCGAGATTGCGAGTTTCACTTTTGGCTTCCCTTACTCCAAATGGTCACACAGTCTACCGCTGCGAACCTGAACTGCCTTCAGCATCTCAAGTATCAAGGCCTTCCAAGCAGGAGTCTAACGCGCCAACCAATGAAGCATGCCAAATGTTCTTCCCCCTTAGCGGAGTTGTTGGCTGCATGTACAGATAACCCTACCTCCCATTCTCCCATCTTTGGGCGAGCTTGGCAAGGTGCTGCCCATTCTCAATCCCCCTCAACCTAGCAACAGTCAGCAATAAGCACAGAACTTATCCTGGTCACGAACATGTGTGCATGGGATACCTTAGAAAAAGGATCGTGCTCAGCGCTTATGGTCCAAACAAGCTGCCATCTGCCGTCAGCGCTCCCCCCGTCCCAGTCGCACCTTGGTTGATGTGAGAAGGGTCCTGCGGGCAAATCCGCAAGCGCAGCCGAGAACAATATGGGCATGAGTTTCAAGTGTGTCATTATTGAGTTCTATCAAACTTCTAATTAACTGTATTTTTTTCTTTAAATATTATTAACGAGTTCACAGTTAAACTGTGTTTACATATTTAGCAGAACTGAACTATTCCCTTACTAAGCTCTGTTCATGGAAGTACTGTCTCGTTGAAATTGTCATTGAAGAAATACATAATGGCATGTCGTGTCTCTATTTGGAAAGGAATGCCCCTTGAAATCATCATCAAACCCCAGCCGAGCCACGGCAACCCCCAGCCACCAGGCCACGTTTTTTTCCCAAGCCGCCGTGCCTCGAAGCGGAAGTCCTTGAGCACCTCGCCGGCGGCCTCCGCCACGGCGGCGCCTGCCGCGTTGGCACTGGCGCTTTGCTCGGGATGGCTTCGAGTGGATGGCCCCAAACAACGGGTTAACCGATTTACCGTACTAAAACGGTGTCCAAGAAAAGGAAACCAACTTGTTCAAAGTTATTTGCCGTACTAAAATGGTCCAGACCCAAAAGTTGCACGTCCGGGAACTCAGGACGTGAGCCGATTCGTGGTTTGGTTTGCCGATTCGTGGTTTTAGTGGTCAGGGGATAGATTCCCATGTACAGGAAGGGGCTCAAATCCCAAAACACCAAGACAACATGTTTTTTGGAGTACCTGATCCAAGGACATCCTGCGCAAAAACATAAACAAGGATGTCCAGGCCCATTTCTGGTAGATTCTGTGAGTGTCATGTGTTTAGAAGGCCCATCTCCTCCAGCTGTTCCTTTGGAAAGATTCAGGGACTTCGAATTTGCTATAGCAAGTGAGGATTTGAAACTGATCACCGGTTTGGACTGGCTTACGGCTCTCGGATCAAACCGCGGCAAGCGCCTGAGTTGAGGCATTCGTGGAGAAATGCTCCCCTAAAAACTCACATGGGACCGAAAAGGGGGATCCACCAGTCTAAACATGAAGCACCCAACGTGCCCTTTTTTTAGATACGAGAAAGAAAAGGGCTCGAATCACCGATTTCTGCTCGACCACCCAAATCCCCTTCTTCCATCAGGAGAAGGCGAGCAATTGTTACGTTTTTAACGGTTGCACTCTTTTGCGGGAATCTGCGCTCGCTTTGCACTTTGATTTCTGCTCGCTCCTTTCAGCGAGCAATCGTCTTGGAGGATCGGTCAGCCCGGGTTTGAAAAAAAACGCTCGAAGCAGGACAATGCGCACCTTTACCGTGTTTTGGTGACGACCCTTGGTTTGGCAATACGTTTGGGCGGGCAGAAACTTGGTTCACGAAGGGCGCTCTCCAGGTTTGGTAGGTATTTACAGGGGGAATCTGGAGGGGTGTTTCTTGGTATCTTGGAGGCATTTACAGGTATTCTATTAGGTATTTACAGGTATTTTGGTAGGCATTCCTGGCAGTTCTGGAGGGGTGCTCCTTTTGGTGCTTCCGTTTGAGGGTCCACTCTTCTTTGGCGCGGCCTTCAGCCAAACGGACACCACAGATTCCAACTGAGGGCCCGGCAAATGCCCGCATCCAGGAAGAGAATCCTGGCCTTAGGTACCATCAACCAAGTGACATGTCGAAGTCCATGGGCAAGTCTACTTTTGAGGGTACCATCGCTTGTTGCATTGCTTTAAAGGGACACCAAACGAAAGCCAACCGTTTCGGGGCTCCGGGCTCCCCTGTTTCAAGACAAACCCATATTGCTTGAACATGTTTTTTTCTTTCCCTTCAATAGGGACCAGGGTCTGGTTAAAAATGTTGGGGGCTAAGCCCAGTAAAACCCTCCTGAATAGGCGATTTGTTACCACTTCAGAGCCAAACATCTGCAATAATAACTACGCATGACGTACCGACCTGAAACGTGTAACGCCTAAGTTAAGGACATTCATCAGGGCGAGTTCGCTTTAGCCCCCCCCCCCGTTTCAATTAATTAATAGCAACAACTTATAGCATGGTCAAGCCAGGGAAGTCGTTTTGTCAGGTGGCTCTCCAGAGGCGGGAGAGCAACCCAGACGCTAACACTAACTAAACTTGCCACCAAGCCAGTTGGAAGGCTTGCAATCCCTTAGCCCAATCTTCTGCGTGATCTGCCAGGAAGAGTTCGATAGGTTCAGCGAGCCGCGATCAGAAGGCAACAAAACGGCCAAACAAAATTCTAAGTTCTCACGTTCTTGGCCATGACTTAGAACAAGGCAACTTACTTGTGTGGTCTGTTTTGCAGAACGCAGAACAGAAATATTAACCACGAGGGTCCCCGCTTTTGACACACATGTCAGCCCAACTCCGCTCAAACATGGTCCAGAATTGTCCAGGCTATGAAAAATAACTGGAGAAGCAGGCTGAAGGCTGCATCTGGGGGCAATACTAAAAGCAAATGCGAATGCAAAACAGCATAAGGGCAGCAAGGCTGCCAAAGCAAGAAGTGAGCCAAAATGTCATTCGGGTTAACACGAGGTGCTCAAAGAGAGACATCTTCAAATCTCCTCCAATGGGCAAAAGAGGGGATTCATTTTCAGGGCATCCCCGTTTGGTTGGTTTTAAGGGTTTAAGGGGAAAACAAAAGGTCACCAACCACGTTGGGGTACCCCTTTTAGACAAAGCCAAATGCTTACACTTTGAGTAGGTTTCTCAGAGTTGCCTCAACAGTTCAAATGCTTGGATTTGGAAACGTTGGGAAAAGCCCTTGGTATCGCAGATCATTGGCCAACACCTCATTTTCTGCAATGGACCATGGGCTTGACTCTTTTCACCTACGACACTGCCACACGTCCGATGTCCCTCCGAAGGCTCATGCAAGTCGTAATTGGGATGGCCACAATGCGCATTGCGACCAATTACTTTTCGAGGCGCGGTGCATTGACCAACAAGTGGGCACAGCGGCGACACCACCCCCTTACATCAGCAATTGGCCAGCCCAGGCAACTGGTTTTTGGCCATGTGTCCCTCCACCAATCTAAATTTGTGGCAAGCTTCTGTTGGGCTGGGGGAAAAATGCTAGACGGTCCATCCTCTTTTGGTTTCCTTCTGGGGAAACTGACTATGATATCGGCAGTTTACCACCAATTGTTATTGAATAGTGGCTTGTGTCCCTAGGTGCCGTTTGCAATCAAACAGCTGGCAAATTCGAACCAAGTGAAACCAGGTGCCAGCTATTCTTGTCTCCAGGATTCTTTCAGCTGGCGAATGACTTGAAAATGTAAAACTACCGACAAGCAAGCGCCAGCGGTTAGTCAACCAAACCGACCGACCTTGAGTCTCCATGACTCACCCTTCCAAACTGGAACCATTCCCCCTTGATTTCGGGCAATGACCCCATTCTTTGAGGGTCATGGACCCCGCCTGCGCCCATTTCTGCCGCCCGAAGGCTGCGAAACTGCGAAAGCGCGCGCGCCCTCGCCTGCTGCGACTTGTTGCAGACGCTGAGGATTCTTCTGGCTGCCACCTGGGCGACGAGACAGGAATCAGTCGACCAGAGGGGACCGGTCTGCCATGCGGGGATCGTCCATATATTTGGTACGAGTAAAAAACAACGGAAAAGAGATCTGAGATCTGGGCAGTTGCATATATAGTGTTGGTGGGAGCGTATCTTCTGCGATCGCAGAAGGATGAATCTTGAGTGGAGTGGATCCATTGATGAAGCGCCTTAGCCTGACAAAGATGCAAAATGAAAGCAGCGACACTGTGTCGCTGGTGCCATTATTTATGGCCAACATGTTTGTTGTGGACTACTGCGACTGAAGTTCTGCACCCTTTTGCGCAAAGGATTGTGACGCATCGATGCCAGCCATCCCTCCCATCCTACTGTTGGGTGAAATCTGAAAGTGGTTGGCACAAGCACACAATGTTGGTTTCATCTTCTTACGATAGAAAGGAACTCTATCTACTTTCACCATGTGTAGTTTACCCCCTGCTTTGCCTTGCCTTGGCTTTGTAGCGGCTTCCTTTGATCTTGCCACTGGCAGTGGCAGATCTTACACACGTTGAGGTATCCAACATGTATTCACTCAACGGAGAACATACATATTCAGCGAGCAAATGTGTGTTCTACCCGAGCCAAAATAACATTGACTTTTGCAGAGAACAAAGCTCCGTGATACAACCAGGCTCCAACTGCGGTACAACAAGTTCAAAACGCTCTTTACCCGTACTTAGTCTATAACATTCCCCAAATCTCTCCCGTTCTGAACCAAACACAATCACAGGCGAGATCAACTTGCGCCCTGGCTGAGTCAAATTTAGTCGACTCTTTGATCACAAATGCATATGAGGGTCCTAAAATTTGCGTTGGACCCACTTTTGAAGCATTGGGAGGAAACCAAGCGGTCTTAAAATGTCGTGGTCCCTTGGTGTGGGGAACACCACTTGGTTGCTGCTGACCCCTCTGGAAAGAGATGAACTTTTTGTGGTTCCAATTCGGAACACCCACCGTTTCAACCAAAAAGTGTCCAAAGGTCCAACCAAATAGCCATAAAGACCAACACCATGTTTGCGCAATGGCCCTGTTTCAAGGGAACAACCTGTCATGCGTCTTCCCTCGTTTAGACACTCGGATGCATGTCTTAGGTGGCAGGATCCAGAACGTAGGACACCGCTGAAGAGCTGCAAAAGGCCCGACTAGGTGACACACGCGGTTCGGAAACTGACAAAACCACATTCCCGTGCGGATTCCTTTAAAACCAAGAGCCAAGTTTGATTACAGATGTTTTACACCACGTTTTAGTATGCACTCCAATGGACATTGGCACCCTGACGATTTAGCACCCAGACTGGGAAACAAGCCAACTACCCAATTAGTTTTCGAACCCCCGAGCAATTTGGGGATGTCTCAATTCAGGTGACCCACATTTTTGGGCGCTCCTTGTGGCTTTCCCCAAAAGGACACCAACCCCCAAAAATGCCACAGCCACCTAGGCATCTGTGCGGCCAGAGGCGCTGCGCTCTTGCGGGTGTCCGGGTTCTGCAGCATGCGCAAGTCCCGACGGCAGGTCTCCGCCTAAATTTCGGTTTCGGCGGGGGGTAAGGGGTGAGGGAGCCAAAGGGGCCACGTGCTTGTTCAACAACTTAGTAGATTACAACCATGGGTATAACTGGTGTAACCGGGGTTCGTTGGCTTATAACCATGGTGATAACCGACTATGGTTGAACACCCAAGCAGAATGGTCGTCCACTCCTGGAATGCTAGCCCTGGCGGCACTGTTGTGAGATGAGCCTTTTTTGCCAGCCAGTTCGCCTTGAAACTACCCCCCAGTTGGTCAGCCATGACCAGATCACTGCTGTGACCCCCCCTCAAAATTTGAGCCGCGTGATGGTGCTGTGAGCTGCGGAATGGGAAGCGTCAAAAAGGGCACTCCAAAAAATCGGTGCTCCATTTTGTTTCCCGTTCAACCAAGGTGAAAAGGGTATTCTCAGAAACGCACACCATGTAGGTGGGTCATGGAACTCGGACCCCCTAGAAATGATTGTTACCCTTAGATGCGCCGTTGAAAACCCACGAAGGGTACCAACTAAAGAAAAAAACACCCATACAAAGAGGGGGTCTGGGGGTGCACTCAGACACGCACACACACACACACAGACATACCCGTACGGAGAGGTCTAGAGAGGCATGGGGATGCCTTGCCGATACCAACTCACGGATCAAACGTGGTACCAAGAGCACCGGAGTCACAATCAAAACCGATCGCCATTGGGTCTGTCTGTTTTTGAGGCTACCCCGTTTTAGGTTGGGTTAAAGGGAAACCAAAAAGGAAAACACAAATTTTGCGGGGGTCAACCAAAAACACACACCCATGTAAAGAGTCAAAAGGGCGGATATCCGCACCTGCTTGAAATTTCTGGGTGGGTCTGTCCCAGATCTTTCATCTACCCGTTTTTGTTTTCTGACATCTGCGCTTCGCGACGTGAGCCGCAGTCCAATTTTTCCAGGGTGCCTCAAATACAGGGGATTCCACAACATAACAGCCAACAATAGAGGACACCCATCTTGGTGTGACCAACAGGGCTTGATTCGAAAGGACCTGGACTGCCAAGTCAATAGTCTCAACTGTAACCTACTCGAAAGTCTCTTGGGATCCTGCTCTGTGTTGGGCTGGCTGTCCGAAGCTCCGATGGTGTGGAAGCGGACACCAAAACCCTGCGATTGGGGCATCTTATGTTGTGAACTACTCCTTTGGGTATGAAATTCGACTCCCATGGACGCGGATCACGGATCTGTATCCGACCATGTGGCTGCTCAAAAAAGTGGAATTCCAAAATGGCACCGCAAGGTAAATGGAACCAAAGACTAAAACCCGCGGTTTGCCCCAGCTCTTTAATTTTGAGCCATATGTTTGCCGATCCTTCCATTTGCTTCTTCCCCTGGAAAACATATTTCCAGTGATAGATTCCCTGTAAAACCAACAAGGGACAATTCTTATAATAAGATCTTAAGCAAATGGAAGATCTTAAAACCAGCCTTTTGCCCGGTGAGACGTTCTTCTCTGAGTTTCCCGGCGGTCACCTGTCCCAGGTCCGGCGCCTGGTTCGTGACGTCTGATGCTGCAGCTTATCTGGGTGCACCCCCCCCCCATACCTCAGATGCCCAGTGGCTTTCCATGGGAAAAAGGAAGCGGCATCCGTTTTTTTGGTTGGTTGACTTCAAACAAGAACCCTTCCCCAAACAAAGGAACAAGAGCTCCACTGGGCATCTGGGATACATGAACCCTAAAGAAACGGCCGACGGCAAATCCAACATTCCGAGGTGCAGCGGCACCGCTCGCAACTCCCGCGCCTCGAAGCACTCTGCACAGAAAAGGAAGGCGGTCCGCGGACAGAAGTAGGCGATCCGCTTCGTGTCCTGCCCATCGTTCCCTCGAGAAGAAAAAAAAAAGCAAAGCGACTCCTGTGTGCTGAGGTACTCGATGGTAGTTACTAGACTTCGTTGATGGATAACATCTTGCGCTGGGTAGGTGGTTCATCCCAATATTTCAGGGGGTTGATTCATCAATTGAGCACTCGGTCGCGAACAGATAACTGGCTGTACAATTCTATAAGAGGATAAAAGCAATCAGATAAAAATATCTTGACGGGAAAGCTGTTTACTTACTGTGGCCTCGTGGTTCCTGTGAATGAGAAAGAAGCCTTCGACTGTTCACTTGTCTTCTTCATTCAAACTGAGGAAGCGCAACCGAGCAAAAGGGGCCCAAAAGCTCTGCTTCTTGCTCTGCAGACTGCCACTTGCCACTCCCAAAAAATCTTACAGCACTACTGGCTGCAGCGAACAGTGGCTGAATCGATCCCTCCCACTTCACTGTTTCTTTGTTTTTCCTGGATGCACCAAATCCACAAAACACCGTTGGGATGGATGAAACCCGATTTGAGAAATGGTGGATTTACTACCCCAATGGTGCGAAAAGGTTTCTGCCCGCAGCATGGAGGCTCTATCAGACCTTGCTGTTTACTCAAGACATGTTCCACCCCAAAGATCCCCCAACCTCCAAGCTCACCCACAAATAAGATAGGGGACCACCCCCAAAGGAGGCAGGCTTTGGGCAAGTGAGCATTTGGGTAGCATCCACCAAAAAGAAATGGAACCTTTGCAAGTTGCCGAAAGGACCTACACAAGCTTCACCTCTTGGGCCATGACAAAAAGAGACAGTGGGGAAACGGGTCGAAGGTCGAACAGGTCGATTCGCTTCGTGAGCAAAGGTGCTTTCATAGCAGGAGGAGTCTTTGAGGGGCATATTTGTTTGGGGTGCCTGGAGCACAGACATGTGCTTTGGCCCAACCAGGAAACAGTTTATAAAACAAGTCTATATATAAACATGCTGCCTGCACAACCCAACATGGTGTAGCCAATGTGCACGGCTTGGACACCTCATTATGATAATCGGAATCTTCCAAGAGGCCTGTTGTTCTCGTAAACAGGTCTGGACAAACCTGAGACATTTGCACCCTTTTTTAAGATATGGGCACCGAGTTTTGTGGGCTCCTTTGATTCAAAATGAGACTGTATGGATTATTCGGCACCCAGTGATTTGACCCCTCTGCAAGTCACACCCGGCTGAGACAAGGCCACTTCCCAGTTGGTTATGATCAACACCTGGAATAGCCAAAGCCATGTAAACATTTAGCAGGGGGCTGCATCGATGCCAGGTTGGATTTGGACTATGGCCAAAATCTGAAAGACCAGAGTCTGAAGGTTCCTACAAGTCTTACCCTTTCAAGAACAATCACGAAACCTGAATTGGAGGCATCCAAGAGGGAAATGGTCTTCTCGGAACCGTTGGTGCCATGCTTCTGTTATCGGGCGGGGAATTCGCATGCCCTGTGGTGGCTCGACAGGAGTTCCAAGGGAACTGGGTCCAAGTGTATGCAAACCTCACAAATGCCAACCTAATGCTGTTACACTTTACACTGTGAGTGGACAAAGTCCGTTTCGCGCCACTGGGGTAGATGAAACCCCATAAAAATGGATGAACCACGCACCAACTGGTGCAGGATGCAACGTCCATCCGCATCATTGGACCAGCCTTTAGCGTAGGGTTTCCTGATCCAACTCAGGGAACAGGCTGAAGAGGTTCTCCCTCTCCAAATCCCCTCCAGGCGGGTGTGGCTTGTTTTTCAGGCTTGGTACCCTTTTTGGGGTGTTCAAGGGAAACCAAGAAGAAACCAACTCTCGGGTCTCATTTTCCTATACAAATCCAAGGTGGTTGCCACCAACTTTGATGTGCATGCCCTGAAGCGCTACCATTGACCACGAACAGCCCCCCCACCCACCCACAGAGCCTCCGAAGCAGTACCTCTACATCCCCCAGGCCTCAGTGCGGGGCCCGGTTTGCAACATGGGTGCTAGGTGTCAAAGGAAAGGAGGACAGAAAAACTCGGCTGGTTTTTGCTCCCCTGCTAAAAGCTTAACTTTTAGTGGTTTAATGGAAAACCCATTAGTTGGCAAAAAGTTAAAGTCCTAACATCCAAGGAAAATGCACCAAGGAAAAGTAGTGGTTCTCCTCTTGGCTTTTCGTTGAACTCAACAACAATGATCCCCTCACAAATACACAAGCCCAAATGCTGCTGCTGCTGCTGCTGCTACTGCTGCTGCTCAAATTGCCACATGTTTGCCAATTTGCTGGTGGACTTCCAAGCAATGGCATGAGTTGGACATTGGACAGCGCAGGTTTATTGCATTGCGTTGGCTTCTCACAATCATCAACAACGGGAGCAAAAAACCACAAATTTGAGACAGACCCAACGGTGATTGTAAACACTTGAGCTGGCTTGAATCTCTGGGCTGAAGCATGGAGTTTTGGACAGGCTGATCTTTTCCAAAGAGTGTTCCTCTTGCTGTCCTTTTCTATCAATCTAATCCAGGTACCCTATTGCTTATTTCTTGAGGGGACGTGCACATCCATTGGGAAAATCCCTCCACCTAAACACCAGTTTGACTCCGAAGCCTACATTTCCTCCACCACCGGATAAGCTTGGTTACCCACTGATGGCTGTACTAAGTTGTAACCAGTTGCTTACTAACCACTTACGTACAATGCCCCACTGGGTTCATTCCCAAAGCCCGGAAGGTTCATTCCCAAAGCCTCGAGGGCCGACGGGTTCGTTGGTGACCGGGTGACCGGGTGACGGGCGAAACCTGCACCTGGCATGTGTTGCTTGTCCTTAGCGAATATTTGCCATGATCCCAAATTGTCCAAAAGCCACAGGTTTGATTGGGCAAGAAAGATTAGGTGTGCAGCCCAAAATGAGCGGTTGTCATTGAATGCTTTCCTTTGAACCAACCTCCAAGAGGGCATAGCATAAACACCCAGCTTGAAAAACACAATCAGAACCTCACGCATTGCTCCAGGCCAACTCGGGCCTCACCAAACAAACCGAGAAAAACAAATCACGGCCTCCGACCCAGAACAAAAAAAAAGGGAAAGCCGAAAGCCGCGGTCTCTGACCAAACACAAACCCAAAAAAAAAACACGCCCAGCGACGAGGGCCGGGCATGCATTCGTCGGAGGAGCAGCGCACCGGCTGGTCGAACAAGGTGCCGCGGAAGCCGCGAGGGAAGCAGACCGGGTGGAGACCTCGAGTTGAACAGCGGCGTTTCTGCAGAGAAAACAAAAAGAAACAAAAACGAGGGGAGAAGCCGAGGCGAGAAAAAAAAGGAGAAGGCGGGCGAAACGAAAAGGGGAGGGAAAGGGAGGTGGGTTTGGATCAAAAGATCAAATTCAAAAAGCAAAAAATCGCGGCGAGCGAAAGGAAAATGCGGGGGAAGGGGGGAAAAGGGAGGTGGGTTTGGATCAAAATGGAGGCACCAAATGAGTGGAGTCCCTTCAGTCTCCCTTGCAAACAACCAAACTAGGGAACCAATCCGTGGATTTGGGTATGCGGCCAGTGTGGGGGCCAATATATCATCAAACACGGCCTTTAGCATTGACATGCTGCATTCAAGAATGACTTAAACTCATAGCCATTTTTCATTTGGATTTGGGAGCTTTGCATTTTTAAGCCCCCCACCCCGCCCCAAAACCAAGCCGAGGCTTGCACCCTCCGGATAGCACGGATGTCTCTTCAGCTCTAGCGCCTTCCGCCGCGAGCAAAAAGACGCAAAAGCAGCCCACCCACAGGTCACACACGAAGGCACGAGCGAATGGGTGTCTCTTTTAAGGGGTTCCGCTTTTGGTTGGTTCTCTTCTGGGAGCCAAAGGGAAACAACACGTTTTTTGGGGGTTCCCTAATTATCAGACGACATACCCACATGGGGTATGTGTTGCACTAGGCGATTTAACATTTAGGCAACTTGGACGTTTTATTTCATTTCTGCCTCGCTCATCAACACCGAATCATACGATCTCTTCAACTGAAGCAAGCCATCGCACAGTTGTAGGCTCTATCGTTTATTCTACTGTGGATGAGCGACATCCTGCACTAGTTCATGCTGTGGATGGACGAAATCCTGCACCACCTAAGAACGCCTGGTATGATGATTTCCTGGACACCAACAAACAATGGTTTCCATGATTTCAAAGTGGTGCAGGAATTCGTCCATCCACTGTACGTGGTGTATCTCATTATGTGAATAACATTGTAGCTTCATAATTCCAATTGGTGCGAAGTAGACTTTGTCTATCCACCTCGCCTGTCGGCACCTCGAAATGTTCAACCGGCTCCCCTGCCCAGAGAGTCCGAGTCTGATTTGGTAGATCTTCGCAAGGTACCAAAGAACCCTTAGGGTAAAAACTAGGATGAATCAAAGGCTCAGACTCCAGGAGTCTAGACGTCAGCGATCACCTGGCTCCTGTATGGGACCAAATCCGTAGGGTTACCGCAGAGTGAATGGATCATATGGGTGTGTTGTATTTTGAGGGTACCCCACGATCTTTGTGGTTTTAATGGAACTCCGGAAGTAAAACCGCCCATTTTGGGGGGTCCAGTAAAATAAGACACACCCAGGCGCGCTGGCGTGCCAACTATTGCTGCAAGAAAGTATCTCTCCAGAGTTCTCCCGGGCGAAGGAAACGCTGCACAAATCCACACCTCGTCTCTTGGCTGAAATCCTGCCAACCCACAACTAATCCACAATGACCAAATGGCCAGTGATCACACTCATCAATGCAGCAACATGCCTACATAGTGTAATGCATAATGGACATATGACACGGTCGAAGGACATATTCACAATTACATATGCGCCAAATGAATACTTGTTTATTGCTGTTGGTGCGACTGTATGTTGTTTGTGTTTGTGACACAGTTTGTGTGTTTGTGTGTGTGTGTGTGCATGTGTGTGTGTCATGTGTGTGTGTGGTATGGGTGGTGTGTGCATGAGTGCTTCTTTTGTTGGATTTTGGAACATCGCTGTCAAGGTTTGGGTGGTTTACTCGGTTGCGGTGTTTGCTTTTCTTGGGGTAGTCAGAGGGAAGCTCAGGGATGATCTGTCAAACGAGTTTCCCTGCATTCGAGAAATGATAGTTGTTTTCCAACAAATGGGTTTGCCTTTATGTGTTCAATGATCACATATACTATGTATAATATGTATATACACGTATGTTTATCAATCGCCAACCAACCAACCAAGCAAGCAACCAACCAACCAGCCAACCAACCACCCACCCAACCAACAAACCAACACAACCAAACATCAACACCGCCAGGTCATACCTCCGATTTCACGCCTTGCCTTCCATTGCTGGTGCGACAAGTCGGGAATGAGAAATGGAATGAACTCAGGAATTGGTCCCCTAAAAGGAAACCACCCGTTGGATTCGATGGATTAAAATCCGGGTCATTCCTTCGATTCGCTTAAGCGCCGTGGAAAAACAACAAATATTTCCAGTAGTGATAGAGTCCCTTTCAGACCAACAGGGGTATATGTTAAAAAAAAACAAAAAAAAAACACTTATTCAAGTACATGGACGACTACCGATCGCAACTCCCCGATCGCACCCCAGTGGCTTCCCCTTCTCTCGGCTCCGTCGCGGTGCGGATCCGCGTGGCCGGCGCTCGCATCCAAGCGCCTCGATGCGGGTGGGCTTCAGCTTGGGGGAGGTGACTTCGAGCTCCTGCTCCGGCGCCTCGTCCATGGGCACCTGATCGAATCGAATCGAACGGATCGGCGACAGGACGGGCCGAAAACAAATGATTTGGGGGAGGGGAAAATCTGGGGGCAGAAGAGACAGGCTGGGATGCTGATAGTGGTCTGTTTGTTTGTTGTTGTTGTTGTTTTATACTAAGGTGTTTGTTGGCGGCTGGTTGCTTGGGTTTGGAGTCTGCTTTTCTTGTGTTTGCATGTTCTTGTTGTAGTGCTGATTGATTTGGTTGGGAGGGGTCTGAGACCAAGTGGCTGTCTGCGATCATGTTTTTGTTGTTGTTCAACAAATGTGTTGTGCTCATCTAAAAATATATACACAAGTTATAGGGCTTTAGTTTTCTGAACCACCACTTGAAAGCTCCCCTAAAGGGACACACATACAACAACAAGCTTGTAGCACAAGGGTTTTAGCCGGAGATTCTTCTATCGCAAGTATCAACATATTCAATCAACGGATTGTTCACGGCAACTCGGCTCCATTTCTAAAGCACAACAACTGCCCCCCCCCAACGCGAGCGAACCTCCTAGGCTTGCCTTTGAACCGGGTGTGAAGGACAAAACACCCTTCAGGGAACTGCAAGAGTGGTTGGCTTGCTTTTGGCTTCCTTTTCGGTTCGCTCAAAATGGATACACCTAAATGTCAACGAATCCCCAAAGGGGAGGCAAGCAACTTGTGATTTTAGAAGCGTTCTTCTTGTTTTTTTGTCAGAAAAGGGCAAAACACGGGAGGGGGGGCGGGAATTGGGGTGTTTATAGAATGAGAACGCGATGGGAACTTCGGAGTATGCAATTCTCTCATGGACCTGAGACTCAGCCTGAGACATGCATGACTCATGTCGATAGTTCATTGCACCTCACAGCTGGGCAGAATGTGGACGGACGAATCCGTTTCGCACCAACTGGAAACCATGGGAAACAATTTGTTTAAGTTGGTATTTACAAGGGAATCATCCTTCTAGGGCCTCTGAGGTGGTGCGAAATGGATTTCGCAACCATCCACAGTATGTTGTTGGCGGTTGTGTGAAGGCTGTGGCAGTGCTACTGCGCTAGACAGACTGGATGCTTGCCCTGAGTCAAAATGCCCTATGTACTCCTTCAAATGCGTTGCTCCTTGTTGGGCGCTGAGTTTTTTTCGGGCAGAATCCACACAAGCAAGGCGTCATGTTTCGAGAGTTTCCCGCTTGCTCCAAACCCAAGTTGCCAAATCTCCAGCAGTAACGTCAACCCAGGATTCGAGGCGTGAACACGCTCCCCAAACCAAAGTTTCTGCGGGTCGTCTGAATCCCCTATTCAGTCATCAACAGTCAATGCCAACCCCAAGTAAGCAGTGTTTGGCCAATGACACGGGCCGTTCAGCCCTTCCAACGCTGCCCTCTGAGGACAAGCCATTGAGCTTCGTAGTTCATCCCATTGACAACCTAACCTCACTTGCCCAAGGCACCTAAGCACAAAAGCTCAACCTTCTGGGATCTTGACTCTTGACTAGGACCATGGGATTACCAAAAGCCCAAAAGCTGGGTTTTGAACGCATCTGCTTTAAACTGATGCGGCCAAGCTTGGTTGACGTTGGAAGGGGAGCAACAAAAAAAAATTTAGCAGCTAAGCGGGTGGATTTCAACCACTAAACCACGATTTCCGCAAAAATGGGACATTTTTTTCCCCAACAACCACCATGCGGCGTACCAAGACCTGCTAACCTTTCGGCCAAGAGTTTCTCGGCAACTTGGCCCGGCTCCCTGGGGCTTCGCACGTGCACGCGGACTTTGGCATCGGGTAAGGTCTCCACCACCACGGCGTTGAGCCACTTGGCGCCGTGCTGCAACTTGCACTGGGCCTCAGCTCCAGCGGCGAGCGGCCGGGTTGGGTGAAACGTGTTGCGCAAAGCATCTGGACATAAGTTGACCTAAAGCTTTGGGGGCCATGAGACCAAAACCGAAAAACCAACAGGTCACATGCCGTCGATTTGCTTTGCCCTGGCGGAAAATACGTGCATGACCCCATAAAGGCCCAAAACGAGAAACAGACTTCCCGACGATGGGAACCCCGCTCCGAACAGAATCAAGACAGGCGTGACCAACAAAACCATATGTTTGATGGCCCAAAGGAACTTCACGCTGCGTCCATCTGTCAGCCACAGAGGGGGCTGAACAGTCGCCCGGCAAAGGTGTCGTTGCCAAGCGAAAAGGACTGGACACCCGAGAGGTGGCAAAAGCGAGCTTAAATGCTGCGACAAAACACAGGCGCAGGGTCAAGGTGATATCCAAGACTCTCCTGCAGAGATGAAAAGCACTGCTTTGCTTGCAGCGCCCTCGTCTTTTTGGCTTGTTTACGGCCACCTGTTGTGAACATCCCCGTTTTGCTGGTCCGGTTACTGTAAGGTGACTATCCCTTGCAGCAGGGGGGGTGACGTTTTTAGGTCGGCAAAGCTCGTCTGAGGCGTCGGCGCCCAGTCGCAAGGAGGCTTCGGCCACCGCAGCTTGGTCTCGGAGCTTGGGGAGGGGGGGAGGGGAATGGTGGACACTTAGGGCCCGTATTGAATTATTGGGTTTTTAGGGTTCTGCAAAGTAGACTCCAAGGTTCCATGGGTGGGGGGGGGGTCCATTTTGTCACCTCCTTCTTTTGAATTATTGGTTTTTTAGGGTTCTTGGCTGCAAAGTAGACTCCAAGGTTCCATGGCACGGAAAAAGGGGATGGTCGGAGGTTGCTCGGGTTGGAGGGGAGGACTTGTGGGAAGTGGCGCGGTTTGGTTTGCTTGGGGTGGTGGTTTGACATGCGCTGAGACAATTAGTCATGGTGAATAGGCCCCGTTACAAAAGGCTTCGTGTGACTCTTCCCATTGTTCAACACCGCTCTACAGCAAATGCCGAACATGGACCGCTGCTCGAATGTTTCAGTCGTGATTTTATGTCAGTACGTATGTTACAATGATTCTTTTGTCCAGATCTTCACTGGAAGGGCTGAAAGGTGTAAACACGATCTGCTTGAAATAGGCATAATATGGATTTGGGGTCGGTCCGAAATCATGACCATGCGGGTACGAATTTGAAATTTGAGCTATGGCTTCAATGTGGTTCAGGTGTCAATGTGTCTTTTCTGTATGAATGTCTGTGTCTCCATTTTGTGTGTGTGTGTGTCTCTGTGTGCCCGTGTGTCCGTATCTGCTTGTGTGCGTGTCTGCAGGTGTCTCTATGTATCTATGTAATTAATATACATGTGTATTAAATTATATCATATACATATATATATATATATATGGGGAGTTGTGAATCGGGTGTTTGCTTTAAGGGCTTGTTTGCTTATGGACCCGGGAGCAAGTTCGAAGTTGAGGCCAACCATGGCACTTGTTTCATGCCGGCTCGATGGCCGTCTCTTGAAAAACGGTTTCGATCTGCTTTTTGTGGATTTCACCAGCTTGTTTCCCACTGTTAGTCCTTATTTGCAATGCTTTAGTACTCTTTTTCATATTCTACAGGGGTAAATCCACAAAAGCCACATCCTTATCTAGAACAGCAACTTAGCTGTGCACCAATTCAAGTAACGCCTGCCTTTTGTTTTTGGGAGGGGGGTAAATTGATTAAAGGAAAACCTCATTTAGTTTTCAACAAAGTCCATTTTGTGGCTCAGAATGTTGAGACAGACCCCATTGCTTTGGGCAGGAACCAACATGCACATCACTATTTTGCAGAGAGCTCAACAGCCCCCAATACAGGGCTGCAAGTTTAATACGACCCTTTGGTGGACATCATTTAGGTGGGGGTTTATGTCCAACAACCACTTTTGAGCCGCTCTCCATTCACATTCATGGCCACATCGACTCGAATTTCTGGAACCTGAAATCACAATTGCATGCTAAAGGACCACGGGGCCCGAGCTCTCGGTACCCCCCCCACATCAGTGACCGCAGAATTCACTGTATGTATATACGATATTTTAGATGAATGTGTCAGAAATGGGGGGACCCTCAAAAATGAAGGGTTCCTTTTGAGTTCATTTTGACCAAGGGGACATGGGTACCCGCAAAGAAACAAACACCCACATTGGTCTTTGCAACCGAAGGAAAAATGCATGAGTGTCCCTTTGGAAGCAGTGCCCCTTTGGTGCTCCGCGCCATGACCCCAAGCCGGTTTCAAGGGGACACATTGCCACAGTTGTTTTCGGACTTTTTAGGGCTCCTTCCCTGATTTTGCGCGGGGAACCAGGACACCTCGCTGTTGTCAGGGTAGAAATTAGTTGCGAAGCTTCCACTTAATTTTTGCTTTTTCGGCCTGGGAAAAATGGAAAGTATTTCCAGTGATAGATTCCCTTTAAAACCAACAAATCACACAGTCTTAGGCAAATCGTTCAAAGGGAAGCCCTTCAAAACAAAAGGTCTGACCGAATCAATTCCGAGGTCTCCAGCTGCCTTCCTCTCGCGGCGGAGTTGGGAGCTGGTATGGCCTCAATGACGGCTTGAGACTCCCTCCGCATTTCAGACCCCGATTTCCAACAATGGAAAGTGACAATAAGGTCTTGGAAGACTAGTCTTGAAAACGCCTTCTGTCCCGGACAAACATCTTGTGGAGTCCTGATTCAACATGTCCAGAGGGGAAAACCAAACGGTTAAAAGGTCGGCTTTGGACAAGAAAAGTGACTGCGGAAGTGCAACCTCTCGCAGGCAGCCAGCATCTTTCTAGGGGTTGGTTCCCTGGGTGTTTGATTGTTTCCTTAAAAGAAGGATCCCGGGAAAGAATGGAAATGGAAGGTACCCCCAGAATCTTTCACTGAGGAACGCGCTGGCTGCACACGTCGCAGAGATAGAACTCGCAAGCTGCGCAGCCGAAGCCGCCCACCTCACCTGCGTCGGACATCGCTGCCCGTTGGGGTGAAGCCCAAACGACAAAATGGCCTGCGTAGGTCGAAGAACCAACCCCGGATCAAACAACGTGGATTTAGTTGGGTTGGGAGGGAGTTCCCACCAAATGAAGGATTCCCTCAATGAAACACAACAATCAACCACCTGAAGTCTCACGAAGGGGCAATGAAAATCCACTTTTTGACCCCTTTGTTGTGGTGTTCAGGGCAACCACCCGGTTTTTGTGGTTTTACAGGGCCTTCGTGTTTGGTTCTACAGGGAAATTTTCGGGGTGGGTCCACCAAAACAAGATCAAGTTGTTCCATCCCTTTTCTTGAAGGGCTCCACCAAAAACAGGAAAACCCAGTTGTTCCATCCTTCACAAATCGTGTGGCTCCAAATCTTAAGAGCTAGCGGACCGCAGGTGTTTGTCCACTTTTCCATTTCCCAGGCTTCCCTTTTGGGCCCCTACTGTGGATGGACGAAATCCTGCACCACCAAAGAAACCCTGGAATGCCCAGTAAATACCAACGGTTTCAACCCTGGTTTCCAAGTGGCGTGAAATGGATTTCGCAACCATCCACAGTTGTTGAACGTATTGTTAGGCACGCTGCTAGAGGCTGCTTCTTTTCTCTGAAGATGTATTTGCCTTCTCATGCAGCCAGCTCTCATAAATAGCACCAGGATATCTGAGCCACTCCCCAAACGCCCACAAGAGCGCCCCGGGCCCCCGATCCGGCCTGGTGGCCCTGCCAAGAAGGCCGCCATGGCCTAGCCGCTTCGCCCGTCCACCAGCTGGGCTCGGCTTCTAGGGATTGGTTTTAAAAGGGAAACCCAAAAGCCAAAAGGAAAACATGACTTGCTACCTTCAACCAGCCGAGTAACGCACCCAGTCTACTGGAGTCGTTGCTCGCTAAACAGGCATTTGGGGGGTTCCTCTAATTTTGAGAAGGTGAATGGACTTCAAATCCGCGTGAGTTTCGCTCTGTGCCACAAAAAGGGATTGGTACGGGTTTTCTCTCAACAGGGGAATTTACATCGTTGGGTGCCATGGTCAAAACTGCTGCGCTCCTTCCAAAATGGCAAGCACGCATTTTGACACTTCAGGTGCAAATGGACCACCCTTGGAAGGTGCTGCTTCGAGTTGTCTAAGCCTCGATTTCCTCGGACACCACGCACAACAACGCCAACTTGCAGATGCTCTCGCCACATGTTTTTCTTGTTTGTGGCTTTGTTGATCTGGACCATTTTGGTGGAACCTCAATGACGTTGATGACCCCTTTCCCCCCCGCTGAACGTCGCACAAAAATCGAATCGAAGAGTTTCCCTGTGCGGCCGCACCGCATGGTCCTGTGCTGGGGCGTCCTGCCGGTGGCAAATCTGTGTGCCAGTGGATTTCCATAGGGCCCTGGTTTTGTTGATGTTGCAGGGAAACTCCGGCAACAAAAACAAGAAGTGCTGACCTGTTTTGTAGAGGATCAATGTGAGATGGCTTTTTGTAGATGGACGGGAAACCACCCTTTCCAAACCACCAATTGGAGGGAAGCATGAGAGATGCTTCACTTCAGACTTTAAGGAGGACCGTAAGGGATGGGTTCAAGCCAATGATCTGGGCTTCCCCAGGCTTCTCTGCCTCGGGTCCCAGTAAACTGCCAAGCAAGATGCGGCCATGGGTCATTACCTATGCCTCCATTTTGGGGCGGATGAACACCCATGTACCATTTTGATGTTCACCAGGGGTACAGGGTTTTGACCCACAGCCATGCAAAGTTGGACCCCAATCAAACCACCCAACGACCCTGAAGTGAACTTCGAAGCTCGACACTCGACACCCCAGGTATAGTGTGGAAATCCAAGCCAGGCACCACTTAACTTAGATGAAACCCAAATAACGATTGATCAGCACCTACCAACTATCAACGAAGCGGATTCCAAATAATTATCTAAGCGGGTGTGTCTTTTCTAGGGGACCCCAAACAGGTGTTCTTCTTGGTTTCCCTTCAAAAACCAATCAACAGCTTCCATTTGGTTAAGACCCGCGAAGAAAAAACAAGTGATAAATTCCTTTTTAAACCAATATGGGAAAATAACACATACTATTAAGCAACTGGAAAAAAGGGGGTTCTAACTCAAAACAGACACACCCAAGTTTTGAGTCCTTCGATTCTTCCCGAAGCAACGGACCCCGTTGGCATGCTCCGTGCGGTAAGTCCCCCAGCCCCTCCCTTTGTCCTCAGCGCCAGCGCTGTCACTCTCCTGGACCAAAGTGCTCGGAAATCACAACTCTGCGGACCCAAATGGAAGGGGCTTGCAGGGTTTGTTGCTCCATAAATCCGTACAAGCTCAAAAAGTCCAAGATTATGGTTGCGAACGGGAGAGGGGATGAATCAACCCTCGTTGATCAAGAGGGAGTGTTGCAATTTTCGGGGTAGACCGGGCTTGAGGAGCAATCGCCTAGTAATCCGCCAGGTCAACTTAGCCGGGGTGACATCACAAGCTTCCCTTGCGCCAAGGGCCCTAAGGGGAGTTGAGCAAATGTCGTTCCGACCACAAAAAACTGGGGGCATTTCAAAGGGACACCAGAAGGAGGTTCCTGGAGTCTCCGTGACCCTTCAAATCATGGCCCCATGTTTGATTCGGAATATGGAGACTCCAGGTTGTTTAAACACATAGTGCTTAAGACATGTTTGATCAAGGGAACCGACTCTACTTGCCCCTGACAGCCCTGAACGCGACAAACAGTTGCCCCATCTTGAGCGGAAAACATCTCTGGACATGAGCTACCGCCAAAATCCCAATGCGCGAAACTGGAATATCTCTCAAGCCTTCGTTATAAAGCCTCGCCTGTGTTTTGTCCCTTGTACCGACCTTTTGAGTGGTAGCTCACATACATCATCCATGTCCCTGGTATCACTTCCGGGTGTCACATCTAAAGTACTCGAATTACCAACCCCCGTGTGGCCTACGGGAGTGGCTGCCCTAGGAGGGTGCAACCCACCTCTCAATTCCCTCCCTCCAACCCCTTCCCCCCCCAAACTAGTGGTGCAAACAATGATTTTAACAACCTTGGCCGTCTGTTGATATAAGTCCTTAGCCCATTTTATGAACGTACCACGTTTCAGCCAATAATAACACGCCTCTGGATACAAATATATATATATATATATCATCATCACTCCTTTAATTCCTGAGAGGAATGGCCAAAACGTAACCAAACTTGCTCTTGACCACCAAAATGTCCAAGCCCAAAAAGCGACTAAAGTCCGAAACGAAACTCAGGCACAGAAGAAGCAGACCCCCCCGGAACCGGCCGGCTCAAGCGAACCGCGACCCCAAGCGAGCCTTGGGGGTTTCGAAGGAGCGACGGCACACCGCCTCGTCATGCAAATGATGCTTCCATTTGCTCCTTGGCCCCAACCGAAACCCATGTGCTCCTTGGGAAAAATGGACGACCCTGGAAAAGGGATTGCAACCGCACCTTCCATTTGCTTAACCCCCCAGGACAAAACAAGAAGAGGAAATATGTCCAGTAGTGAAATTGATTTCGTGTACAACCAAGAAGGGAACATAAACAACTATTCATTTCAGCAAGTGGCAAAGGATCCGTCAGTTGTGGGTCAAACATAGGTGTCTGTTTTGACGGAAACCCCCAACACGGGGACTTGCCAGAGTTGGGTAAATGTTGTTCCAACAAAAACAAGAACCTGGGACATGTTAAAGGGACACCAAAAGGAGGTTCCTGGAGTCTCTATGACCCGAATCAGAAATGGGGTCAATGCCACAAAATCAAAGGGCAATGGTCCCATTGTAGATTCGGGTCGTAGAGACTCCAGGTACCCAGAATGGGTGAGACCCTCCCGTCTAATCAAACCTCACGTTGAGGATAAATAACTTTGACCCATACCCAAACAAGAACCCATGGTTCTTTTTGGGGGTGGGTTTGTGGCGAGGTTTGTTTCTTGCGGACCAAGGTTCCTAGTGAGCCACGAGCAAAAGGGCGTGAAGTCTTGAGCGACCTGTAGGTTCAATGACAAACCCCGTTTATTTTCAAGAGGTCCTTTTGGGCGATTGAATCCAAAGACCATGCCTGCTGTGAATGGAGACAGCCACGCAAATCCATCAGCGCCAGTTGGATGGGATAAACAACCTACCCATGGGTGCATAAGTGTTCAACCATCCACAGTACCAACGGCCCACAAAATGGATTGCTCCCCTTTGTTTTCTTTTTTAACAAGAAGGTACCCTTTAAAGAAACAACAACAACACTCATGTATGGGGAGGGGCCCGTTCATCGGTGGGGGTCGCGGCCCCCTCCCATACATGTGTGTGGAGTGCACCCTGTTTGGGGCTTCAATCATCCACAGTACCAACGGCCCACAAAATGGATTGCTCCCCTTTGTTTTCTTTTTTAACAAGAAGGTACACTTTAAAGAAACAACAACAACACTCATGTATGGGGAGGGGCCCGTTCATCGGTGGGGGTCGCGGCCCCCTCCCATACATGTGTGTGGAGTGCACCCTGTTTGGGGCTGGCCAAAAGGGAATTCAAAGCGAAGGGAACCCGACCAATTTGGGGGGGGTCCTCTATTCTGACACATGCCCATTCATCTTCTGTCAGTCTTGTGTGCAGGATTTGGAAGGGGGCCGGGAGTACTTCTTCCATAAGCCGTACCCTCCCACCAACTGACATGGAACCTGAGAGAGGGGTCCTGGAAGATGATGTTTCTTTTAAAGGGACCGGGTCCCTTTAAAGTCAGGTTCCACGTGAAAAGGCTGGTGTGCTTTGCCAGGCCACGCATTGTCCGCTGTCGAGCCGAACCAGGCTGTGCGGATGGAGGTCCAGCCTCAGGACGTGCAAAGCGGAAAGCAAAGGGTGTAGTAACAAGACGGGTGCACAGACATACATCGTAGGTGTAGCAAAAAGCTCTGAGAGTTCGTCCTTTTTCTAGATGCCTTGGATCAAGAGCGCGCTTGTCTTCAACTGGTAAGACTCCAACTTCAATCTTACAGCACCATCCCGAAACAGTTTGGTACCCGCCCCTATGCAGAAGCCAAGCCTGGCTTATCCACCGCGCAAACTCTGCAAAAGGGGCAGGGCACAATTGGAAGCCTTTCAGCTCAGGGAAAGAGCACCAAGGGAGAAAGCCAATGACGATCCTTTCTAATTGAAGTACCAGAATAAACATAATGCGGAAAACACCCCCAGTGACATGCGTAACCATACACACGATCAACACACTAACACTCGTCCATCAACTGCAGGAACACCTAAAGTCTAAACTGCTAAGTGAGTCCGGAAAGCCCTGGCGCAACAAATGAAATCAGGTATCAATTCAGTTGGACTTGTACCCGAAACACTTGGAAACACATCTTTGTTGCACCTGAGCACTTGGGACATTGAGTGAGAGACTAGAGAGTTCAAAAACCAGCACATGAGTGTCTCAATCGATCCCCCAAATGTTGGTTCTCCCTGGGGCTTGCCTTTAAAACCACAAAAAGGGTGCCCTCAAAGACATTCAATCAGGCAAACGGGTCGGACACTGGCCATGAGTGGCAAAAAGATGTCATTGCGGCGCCCTTAAGGTCGCCCGTTTGAGCAACCAACAATTGATCCCTGGGTAGCGGACCCATGTCTGGAAAAGTTACCCTCCAAAAATTGGGCGAAGAAAAGGCTAGCGCTTGTTCTAGACAATTTTCGAGCGAGTGCAGCCGGTCCCCTGATGCTCAGTTGGTATGGTTTCTTGAAATCGAGAAAAGGCATCGATCGGCTTTCTGCAAAGTCTACCAGAACTCAATAACTTGAAATAATATTTGCATCTCCAAGTAAAGGACCTACGTTTTTTCTTTGTTTAACTGCCTTTTTCGCCAATTGCTCACTCCTTTCCCCAAGTCGTTGGGCTTTCGTCCTTTTTACTCCTGAGCCTCCGGCACGAAAAGGGGCAACCCTGTCTGGGCATTGAGGTGCTCTGCGATCAACGAGGGCGGGTAGATGAATGGGCGCCTCAGCTTCAAGGCTTAGGGCCGAAGGAATCCGAGTCCCGACTCCCGGGCTGGTTTTGAGCCCTCACTGATACAATCTGTCAATCAACAAAGCCCGAAACCTCCTCGAAACTTTCTCCAACGTGCCGATCCCAAAACCGCCAAGATTCCCCTCGCGAGGCAAGGGGAACCGAACCCCAAATCGCTGTAGCTGTTGGGGGTTGACCCTCCCGTCCAACAACATGGAACCTGACTGAGGGCTCGTGGAAGACGGTTTTCCTGAAATGTTGACCCCGGATTAATAAACCGGTGTATTAATAGGGGGGGTGCTCACCTCCAACAGTCATGATTCTCCACTAAAGCAGGGGCACCCCCTATTAATCAACCAGGGGTTTATTAATTTGGGGTGCCCATTAACATGGAAACTTCTGGTGGGTTCCGTGCTAGTGGGCTGGAGGAGTTTTAACTCTGAAGCCTTCTTGCCAAGCTCTTGTTTGGGCTCCACTAGTTTTTGCCCAAGGCTGGAAGCATGTCTTTGCTTTGACCGCTGGGTTGCACATCGAGGTGTCTTTGCTTTTGCCAGGAGTCGCAAAGCACACCTGTAAACTCTGGCTGCACTACAAAACATGGAGAGATTGCCAATCTATTGCGGTTGTTTGGGGCTGATCACCCTTTCAAAGTGACGCAAGCTGACACTGAAACGGGTTCAACAAGGACCCGTGATGTTTGGTATCGATGTTTTGGGGAATGAATCCAAACCCGCCTTCATACTTTTGACAACCAACACACACCCCCAGTTTAGTTTAAGCAATATGTCATTGCATACCAAACAAAGCCATTCACTTCCCTGACAAATAGATGCACAAGTGTTGCGAAGCTGTCACCGTGACAGGAGTGGTGCAAGCATTTCGACTCACAAAAACACACCCACACACACAACCTGACAAACACATATATAAATACACAGCAACAAACATAAACCCAAACACGACAAGCAAACACAAAGCCACACATATATGTACACAACCAGTTCGGAAGCCTGTATCCTCTTGTTGCCAGGGTCCAACCGTATCTCACTTGAGTGATTCAATCATCACCAAATGGCATGGCTTTTCTTCGTTTACAGGTACACATCATGGGTGTCTCTAAGAGCGAACACCCGCCCCCCCCCCCCACCAAAACAAACTAAGGGGCACCAAGTTCTCGGATTTGATCATGTTAAGACAAACCTAAAGAGCCCCAGGACAGGGGTTCTGTACTTTCCCGTTGAACACATCAGAGGGAAGCTCACTTCAATTTTGAAACTGGTGACCCAGTCGATCCGAGTCAGTAGTCACAGGCCAACTTTCCTTTTTGTTTTCAACTGGTGGGAACCCCTGGGCAAATGCACTCACTGGATGAAGTTTGAAACCACCCTAGAACTCTAGTTGGTCTTGTCTCAAGGTGGAACCTCCACAATGGGTGGCTTCCTTTTAAACACAACAACCCCAAAATGGGTAGCCTGAAAAAACAGAACACCCAACTGGACCTCAGGCGACTGAGTCAGCCCATTTGCCCGAGGAGCAAAGAGCCACCGCATTGGATCCGCAGATTCCCCGATGAGAGCACCTCCACCACTACGCCCACCTCGACCAAAGAAATCCGAAATGCGGCATGGCCGAGGAAATCCTGCACCAGGATAGAAACCCACCTAAGAAACCCCGGTGTTTGATCATTCCCCCTGTAAATACCCACAAACGCTATGGTTACAACGCATGGTTTTACTTCATGCTGCCACAGCTCCAGTACGCTTTGACATGCATTACTCCCCAAACATTTGGAGCAGTGTGGAAGGCGCAGAGCACGCGAAACATCAATATGGAACAACCCAACACCGGGTATCAACAGACATAAAGATAACGCAAAACAACACACATACAACGGCCTTATTTAAAAACAATAACTACCAACTATGTAACAAACCACAACCTCATGCCAAGAACTTTCACACAAAATGACAGAACACTAGCAACTGTGAAAACACCAAACACAGAGAACACAACACAGCCTCATGCCTCTGCCAGTCTCCATGACCCGAATCAAACATGCTGTCATCAAACTATTCCCCAAAATAAAGGTTGCAATGGAAATTCCCCAAAAAGCATCTACTTCCAGGTCATGAGGACAGGCGGAATCCTGACACCAAAGCTCCCTCACTTCTTGATGCCCGAATCCGCGAGCAGCCGCGAATCCGCGTGCAGCCGCGTATCCGCGCCTTGCCCAGGGTGGCCTCCATCTGTGGCACCCATCCTCCTTGGCCCAGGCAAAGTCGCATCGCCTTGGACAGGCCTCGGCTCGAAGAACCCGGGGAAACGAGTCGTAGCGCTAGCCACAAAGCTTTCCGGCGCTGAGAAGGCTCCAACTTCCTTGTTGGCATTTGCAGGGGGATCGAATCAGAAACCAGGGTGCAGGATTGGTTTATTCACAGAAAACACCCAAAACCATTTTTTTGGAAGTGGACACCTCAACCTTAACCACTATCATGGTATGCCTGTGTGTCAGATCATGGGCAACCCAAAAATGGCTTGCCCGGGTGTGTGGACTAAAACCTAGGTCCTCCAGTAGAGAGGTTAGAATAAGGGTACCAACTTTCTTCTGTAGTCTATTTTAGTAGGGGAACCCTCCCCCAAGAAAGAAACGGTAAAAGGGCACCTAGCTGGGGGGACCTGCAAAATATCCGGCGTCAAAACCTTGGGCTGGGGGAAATCGGTTGTTGTTGGTCCTATTTAGATCGACCCTTCGGCTTGGGGGAAGTCAAAGGAAAACCGAGCTTCGTTTCGGGGGTACGCACATACCCATTGGCAAGCACAAGACAAAGGGATACACAGAACATGTCTTTCTTTTGCTGACTCTGATTCATATTTCATCTACCCCAAAATACATGTCATACTGCGGATGGACGAAATCCTGCACCACCTGGAAACCATGGGAAACCATTGTTTGTTGGGAATTTACAGGGGAATCATCCTTCCAGGGTCTCTAAGGTGGTGCAGGATTTCGTCCATCCACAGTAGGTTTGGAGAAGACCCCAAACACAATGCCCAGGGAAAGGGCTTGTATAACAACCCTTTGGGTATATGGCTTGGAGGTAGTGGAAACCCTGACCTTCCGTTCCAAACTGCACCAATAGCCCCAAAAAGTGTCAGGAATTAAGAAGGCGGGATATCCGCAGCTATTTATGGTTGGGATTGTCCCTTACCAACCTTCATCTACCCGGGTTTTGATTGCCAACACAAAAACACCATGGGGCTCACTGTTCTCACATTACCATGGGCAACCTTTCCACTTTGTGGGAAGTATCAAATGTTTTTGGTGGTTCTCTAATGGTCATCCCATGCTTATGGGAGCTTTTGATCAAATGACCCCTGCTCCCTTTGGATCCAAAAAACCCTGTACCCCCAGTGAACGGGACCCAACCCCCACTAAAATAGGAAGCCTAAAATTTGGGTGGTGAATTCACCTACCCCAAAATGGGATCAACCGTAAAACGGCTTGACGGATGGCCAAATGACCCCTGGGCCCTTTTGATCCCAAAAACGCCCTGCGAAGCCCTCCGAACCCCTAGAGACACCTTGGCCCCAGGCTGCTGATCAGCCGCACCTCCGAGCCCACGGAGATCACGGACCTCGGTCTTAGGATGGGCCAGTTGCTGGGCAACCCACTAGGCTTGCATTTGCTTAAGCATATATTGTTTTCCCTTGTTGGTTCTGAAGGATTTTTATGGAAATACTGTGGATGGTCGCGAAATCCAGAAATCGCACTTGGCAACCAGGGTTGAAACCATTGCAACTGTTGGTATTTACAGGGGAATCGAATCCTTCCAGGGTCTCCGAGGTGGTGCGAAATGAATTTCGCAACCATCCACAGTATCCGGGTTGGTTCCACTTTGGAGAACTTATGAGCGGGTTCTATAGGTTGCAACTTATATAATTTTGGCAAATCGAACATCCAAGCAGCCAAGCGAAAAGGAACCGGGGTGACGTTTAAGAGTCAGGATTACAACCCATGTCCCAAACGCTCCGAATCACTGGGCTGCGATGCATTCCTCTGACTCGGAAAAAAAAAAGCACAAATGTAATGATATGTACTAGTGGTCGGACTGTGGTCGGTGTACATGGTTGGTGAAGATCAATTCGAACCACCAACAAATTTCCCCCACGGATCCCAACTCGAATCTCAGAAGTGGTTGGAGCTGCCATCCCCACCTCGCTGCCAGTCCACGAGGATGTGTTTACATCCACCGGCGCCAGGCTTGGACGGAGAGCTTTTCGCGAAGGCTCCAACTTCCTTGGTATTTGGGGAATCGAATCGAATCAGAAACCAGGGTGCAGGATTTGGCTTATTCACAGAAAACGCCCAACCCAATTTTTGGAACTAAACACCTTAACCTTCACCACTATTATGCTGTGCCAGTGGGTCAAATAATGGGTACCCCCAAAATGGCTTGTCCGGGTTTATGGACTAAAACCTTTGTCCTCTGTTGGTTCATTTTGATCCATGCCCGGGTTCCTCTCGACCTTCCGCTCGACCTGAGGACCCCCACCCGCCAGGGCCTTTTGGGGGCGGCATCGATCCGATCGATCCACGCCGCGGGTTCTCGAATTCAGCGCGATCTCGTCGCCGGCACGTGGCTCGCAGGAAAAGCCAAGGGGTGAACACGTTTGGGTCTGATGTAAGGAAAAAACAAAAACCAACAGTTTAAACAGATGTGTCCAGTGGTTCTATTGAAGGGAGCGGTTTGGAGGTGGGTTGGGAGCGAGGCGCTTGATTCCTGTTCTGTGACTTCTCACCCTCTGTCTCTGTTTCTCTTCTTTTGGAGTTTGAAGCAAGACGTTGGACTTTTGGGTGCTCAATTCTCTTTGGTTGACACACCGTGCGCCCGCAACAAACTTTGGCTTCATTTGGTCTCAGACTGAACCCTACGGCTTCCGCTGGCGGCTCAGTTATGGTCAGCTAAGCAAGCGAGTCTGACTGGTGCCTTGTGTTCCAGACAGGACCCAACTGAAAACGCGAACCACTGCATGCATGAAAAGAAAGTGGGGGCCCTTGGGGCTGCTCAAAACGGTGGCCAAGCTGGCTGTCCATAATCCCGATTGGAAAACCACTGCAAAAAGACTCCTTTGTGAAGGTAAGGATTCAGCACTGCCTTTGAAAAGCCCAGCTTGTGCGAACTGTTGGAACCATAGTTTTTTTCTTTCTAGGGAGCCCACGTGGGGGTTGATCTCAAAGGTCCACAGGACCATCAACCACAAAGAACAACACATTCCACATGGGACAAGCTGCCCCTTGGTCATTTTGGGGCCTTGGGACTAGTTGTCCACATGGGTGGGGAGGTTCTCCCAGCGGTCTTTCGGCGGCGTCTCTCGTTTGGAGGTGTGCGTGTTAGGAATCGCACCCCCAAAAACGGTGGACTTCCTTTTGCTTTCTCGTTGAACCAATTTCACAAAAGGTTTGCACACATATTTGATGTGGCTGTTTGTCAGCATGGCATATAATATGTTTTGGCCTCTTGTGGCTCGCCTCCGCTTGGAGATTCGCCCGAAATGAGATCAACATTCTCTGTTGGCCTAAATCGTAACTCGCAAAGCAAGACACGAGTCATGCACGTGTCGAATTAGCAAATCAACTGAGCAAACATAAATCATGAATTTCAGCGAGTAAAAGACATGACCCCATGTGGAGGGCGAATGCATTTGCTTGATACTTATGTAAGGTCCGTATGGTGGGCATGGAACGAGTGTGATTCACCTCTTGTTTGTGCGGCAAAACTCGAATGAACACCCACACTGAAACAGGGTTGCGAGAACTGCCGGATTGCTGGAAGCTCGGCCTTTCCTATAAGTTCTTCTGGGTGTTGGAGATAAACCTAGGGATTCCGTCAAAGGAAACCATAGGGGATAGTGTATGGGGATCATTCCAACTCATTCCTTGCTCAGAAACAGCAAGTATCAAATCACTAGCACCTTCCGGGGCCCGCCCAGAGAGCGCGCGCTCGAGTTTTCTCCGACGCTTCGGCGCTGGGGGAGCCTAGGGCGACAGCAACATGCTGAGAGGTGGCGCTCCTGAAGGGAATCTATGAACCGTCTGCTAACGAGATGACTGGACCTACTACGTCACAAATAAAGTCCTGGGCGGTCCCAAGGAAAATAACATCCAAGTCTCCCACATTATAAGTTCAAAAAACAGGATCATCCTGGCGCATTGGAACACATTCAAGCTCGACCTTCGCTTGCATTCGTCCTAAGTCACCTAGGCTTTCCTGCATCACTCGCAACATTAACCCCCCGCAAGGGGACAAAAGGAGAGACCAACTGTTTTCTACCCAGCCCAACCAACGTACATGCTCCGCATTTCGTGAAACCTCAAAAACTAACTCACTTTCGTGGCTTGGCCAAAACATGTCCAGGAGCTTCTTTCTTACCACAATGGTTCCAACAAAGACGTGAGTAAAGTCCAGTCCTTGAGCTCAGGGACCGAGTTCTTGAAGCTCGCTTTCTCATCACGCCATGGGGTGCATATGCTATGGCGCACCTTTGATGTTTATGAGGGGTTTCCTGCGTTTTGACCACCACAGCCATCTTTTTGCTTTCTTGGTGCGTGGGGCGCCCCGGGGCCCGGGCCGTTGCGCACCTTGCCAAACTCCAAGGCCAAGGTTCGAAGATCTTTGCGCAGCCGCATGTTGTCCTGTCGAAACCGTTTCCCCGCGGAAATCGGATATCTCGTTTTGCTTTTGGCTCGGGGGGTGGGGATGTTGGGGGATGTTTGGGGGGTTCTATGCGGCAAATGATCAGATCCAGCCCCCGATGTTTGTTTGGGTTGCCTTTGCGGAGAATCAAGACGCCTCTGGGTGCAAATAACGACAATCCTAAAACTGGATATACAAGAGCTGTCCAGTACAGGGTCGTATCCTCCAAGTAAAGGACCCCGAATCGGTGAAATCCCTCGGAACCCCAACGTGCTACTCACCGCTCCCCTGGCGCGCTGGCGCGGTGACGCGGTCGGGACTCTGAGGTGCCGCACCAAGAGGGCTTCCTCGGCCACGTGCTCCAGCTCCTGCTGCTGCTCTTTCTCTTGGCTCCTGGCCGGAGAGTCACGGCTTCAATTGAGTCAGAATCAAAACGTGTCAAAATGGTCGTAATCCCAGAACCATGCTTCAAGAATTAAGAAGGCCGATCTCCGCAGCTATTTATGGTTGGGCGTATCCCTTACTAACGCTCATCTGCCCGGGTTTTGATTGTGGCTCAATTGAAGCCGAAGGCTTGAACATTTGGGTGCGGCCGCTTTTTTTTGAGGGAACCCCCAAAAAATTGGTTGCTTTCCCTGTGTTTTATTGATAACCATCCAAAAAGGGAACCCTCAAAAGAGACACACCCATTTGGGGATTATGATTGACTTTCAGGTTCCCTTCAAAGACAATGATTAACCTTCTTGGACGGGTGGGTTGGGCTAAGAGGGCCGGAATATCCCGCCCTTGAATCCAGAAGTCCCAGGGTCGGGGACACCCCCAAAGGATCAGTTTGCCCTTCCCACTGCTTCCAGCTACACTATCGTGGGTAACCATACATCTTTCCCAGTAGTTCTATAATACCATGGATGGTTTCCCCTGGTTACTTACTACTGGCTTCCGGGCCAAACACAAATCCAAACTTTTTGTTTGCTACCAAAATGGTCCAAGCAACAACAAAAACTGACTACAGCCCGACACGGAACTCAGGGAGTGAGGTAAGCACAGAACTCCCCCGCCAAGCTACGCAGCTCCCAAGCCGCAAAGCCCCAACCCCGATTCAATCTAGGTGAATTGGTAAACTTCTGGTGATTGAAAACAAATAGAACTCCCATGGTTGTGAAAAGCGCCTGATTACTCGCGAGCTTCGGCTTTTATTGGCTTTTTGGGGGGCCCGATTGGGGGTGCCCTTAACCGTAGGACCGACCGAATTTGGAGGTATGGGGTTGCAAGGAAGGCCGATTTACCCAGATTTAACGCGAACAGTATATGGGTATGGGTCAAAATTAAACCATCAGGAGACCGCAGGTTTTAGTCTTTGTTTCCATTTACCAGGGCAAGCCATTCTGGGTACCTAATTTTGACCCACACCCATATGCCCCTGGTATACCTCCAAACCCCAGGCCCCCAAGTTGCCCAAAGATAGGCCGATTCTGGACCGTCAAGTTCACTTCGGGGCCGTGTGGACTCCGGGGCCTGGCACACCCCGGAGGATTTTTTCGAATCAACATTTATCAAAACCACTTCCCCAGCAAAAGTGGCTCCTGAATTTACCCAAAAGGGACACCTCTCCAGTAATCAACCGGACCTTTACTCAGGGGTCAACATTAGGCCATGGCTCTCTGGCATGGGGCCCATAGGTAAAGTAGTCGTTTAAACCCCCGTTTTAGCTTCCATGACTTTCGGAGGGAGGGTAGAACTGGAAGTCGTGGGGTTAACGGCTGATCCGTCACAATGGCTATACATTAGGCTATAAACCATAAACCTATATATATATATACATATATATATATATATAAATGTGGGTGTCCTTTTTGAGCGAACCCCCTTTTTCTGGCTGTAAAGGAACAGCAAACGATAAACCAGCATTTTGAGACGCTCCCCTATAAAATGAAGACACACCGTGTCACGTCTGTGGAACAGCCCTTGGGCCGTAGAGGTGCTCCTGTCACGCCGCAGCAAGCCAAAGAACATGGCGCCAGCGCCTACCGGCGACGTGTTGGGCTCAGGAACGGTCCTTTTGCAGCACTTGGCGATGAATTGTTTTAAGAGTTGGAATCACCTCCAAAATGGCTAACTTGTTTTAAGACTCATGAACCACCTAAAGTTAAATCTCATGAAACCCCTCCTAGATGATGTGCAGCAAACACTTCCCTATTCACACTCACACCCATGTTGCATCCTTTCGCTGCACAGCGTAAGAAACATGAACTAATAGTTTGGCAATATCCTCAGTTGTGATGGGTGTGATGTTCATTGCCTCTAAGAAGTTCCGGTAGCTGGTTTCTTTCGGGAAATCACATGAAGCGCTACCCCCCAAACACCCCAACCGCACCAAATAACAGGAAAAACCTACCCAAATGCCCTGGAATAGTTCGCAGAACTCTCTTTGAAGCGGTTCTCAGAAGGATGATACAAACTTCTTTTGGAACCAATATTAAGGAATATGGCCATGCGGGCCATGAGGCAGATTAACGCGAGCAGTGGTTTGTCGGGTTCCCGTTTCGAGCAGTGCGAGTCGACCCCTAAATCTGTGTGTCTCCCTCCACCCCGTTTCGCAGCAGGTGCTCACCGGCAGTTCGGTCCACCGCATCGACCCATCCGAATCCGAGTTTCCGAGCCTGGCCGGCGGTATGATGCGGCCTCGTGGCCAACAGACTTCGCAGCCAGAGTTGACGGACACAAAGGCACCAGATCGATGAAGTAACCTTCACGGCATCTGGCCTGAATTCCATATCAATTAGCCTACGGGCGAGGTAACGAAGATTTGTTCATCGCTCCACGCAATACGAATCCCGGAGGTGGCATTTCATGGGAGGGTTTCAGGGTAGGCCTCCACATGCCCCGGCCAGAAGCGCTTCGCCCACATCGTCCAGATGAACGCCAGGGGTCCAAGTCGTTGACATCGTGACATGGCCTTGGCAGCCCTGAAGCAGTCGCACCTTTCTTCGGCGAATCTTAGCATTTCCTTCACCATCACATCGGAGTGGGTCAACAACCAGAGCAGCGCTTGGGGCACAGGGTGGATGGGGCTCACTGTATCTCCTTGCAGTGCCGGATCGCATCCCAGCATTTGATTGTGCCTACTATTGGCATGTTGGCTCATTGAAATGCCCCTAATTATGGAGATTCTGCGCTGCCATGTCATTCTGGAAGGGAGGGTGTTCATCAGCATCCCCGTTTGCATCTTGGTGGCAAGCAACTTGTTTTTCAGATTTCGTTCTGGTGCTGTTGGCTCTTGCTGGAGCGCCTCTTGGACCGCTGCCTCTTGCTGGCCCACCGCATCAAGGACTTGTTTGTGGACATGGGACATGGGCCGCCTCATCTTCAGCTCTTCAAGGACATGGGCGGAGTTCCTGCAAACGCACCCCCAATTTATTTCGTGTCGTTCCCTTTGTGTGTGTGTGCGCGTGTGTGTAGTTCTGAGGTCATCCTTTTCGAGATGGCCGCCAAGGGAAACCAAAAGGAAAGCCACATCTTTGTCCCCACCAAAACAATGTAAACAAACAAACCGAGTGTTTGCCTCAAATTAGGGGATACTTACCGAAGATGGTCGATGTCCTTTTGGTTCCATTCAAAACCGAAAGCCCCCCCCCAAAAAAAAGCAAACGAACAAACCCAGCAAGACTCATGCAGAACATGCCTCTGGGGATGCCCGCGCTCTCTGACTCGCTGCGATCGCTGTCATCGGAGCGCATGGCGCGCATCAAGCTGGAGATGATTTCCTGGCGAACGCGGGGAAGAAGGAGGGGTAATGGAAGGGCCAGTCTTCGTGACCCGAATAAAAAATGAGGTCACTTCCCAACATAAAGGGTCAATGGAAATCTACATTACTGATTTGGCGAAGACTCCAGGCACACAACATGAGGGTTGTTCTTTCTGTCCTCTCCTTGTCTGTACATCACTTGGCTTCCGTGACATGTCATGTGTCTTTTGGTCAAGTAATTTGGCTGTATAGTGCGCCACGCCCAGAGATGCCAATTCACTTTTTGGCTGCTTCCCGACGGGAATCCGGGATCAATCACCCCAGAGTAACATTGGAGTCGTGTCCCCAAAGTAACTTCGAGAACTCACAATGCGCTTTAAGGGATCTGGGGGGACGCTGAACACCGTCCGGCTGGTCTATGATGGGATGCTGCTCAAAGGGACACATGTCATGAACATCATTTTGGAGGCTTTGTTTTTTTTTCTGGGAAGCACCCATGGCTGCAGAACCAATGCATTGCGTGCAAAACAATTGAGCACTTCATGCGCAAGCTAGCTTAAGTAGCCCTGACCTCAACGAGTTGGTCATGAACAAGCGCGAAGACTGACATTTGCATTGGGTTGCCTCTAGTGACGAAACGCACATACTCATGTCCCTTGCTTGATGCCCCTCGGGTCTTACATAGGAGGTCTGGAAATATAACACAACAAAGAACCTATCCATTCCCGGTTGGCCTCCTCTAGGTGCAATCTCTTCAACCAGGGGCCATTTATTTGGGCTTGTCTCAACATGGTGAACCCCCCGCAGAATGGGAGGTCTCTAAACCAAACAAAAATGGGTACCGCCATGAAAAATCAGGGGCCATCTGGGCTTGTCTCAAAATGGCGCTTTCGCCGAATTCGTGATTTCCCTAAACCCAGCAACTATAAATCCGCCGCAAAAAAACAAACAACATAATGTTGTTTATTGAGCACCCAAAAGGAATGGTATCGCAGCGATTGGACGCCAGCGATGGGACCCAAGCGCCTCCTTCTCGCGGCTGTCCGCCTGCAAGCACTGCCTCAGTTTGACGAAGGCTGGACTCGGAAAGAGGAACTGGCCGCACGTGGGTGTGTCCTTTTTTTTTAGTTGGTCCCCCGTTTCCGGTGGCTGTAAAAAGAAAACCAAAAAAAGAACACCACCATTTTGGGGAAGCCCCTAAACAACACACACACACACACACACACAAGTAATCTTGGTGCAGGATGGATTCCCGACTGGTGCAGGATTGCGCCTATCCACTGTATGGTTTGATTCTTCAAGGTACATAGATAAACCCTACTGAATTTGCAGATCTATTAACCTCGGGGCGTTTATGTAGGGTGGTCAATGGGGCTTACTAACCCGTTCGCAAGGTCTTACTAACGTTATTAAGGGCTTATACTGTGCATGAAGGTTGGGCACAGTTCACGCCGGGCACCAGCTGGTAGGTGACTTATCCCATGATTTATAGGGTTTCACCAAACTAGGCGAATGCGCTTCTTGTCCATCCACTGTAGCATGTACTACCCTGCGGCTTAGCAGGGTTGGACCATGGATGCATTTTGGAGGGAATTCTCGCGGAATCTCCTTGTTGAAGGCCCTGTGCGGGGGATTCCTTGCCTGGATTTGCAGGGCCTCATCTTATCATGCCCTTTGCTTGTGCGTGTTCAATTCTGGGTACATGATGAGGCACACATGTCGTGTGAAAACAACGGATCCCCATAAAGTGACCCCTCGCAGAACAGCATCTGATTTGTACCCGACATTCAAGCGCAACGGGGACCGCAGTGTCCAGGATACGTAGCAAGCACAAGAAGTGCGGGCAGTCGCATATCGCAAAGAGGGTAACACCTCAAAACTCACCTGTTACATCGTGGAAACCTTTGAAACAGCTGCTGACTTCCTGGTTTGGCCAAAACAAGTAACCAATCCTCGTCCACTAAAATGGTCCAAGCCCAAAAAGTGATTGCAGACCGAAACGGAAATCTGTCAGTGAGATAGTGAGATCCCATGAATGAGACTATAGTAAAGGCGCAAATGAAGCCTTTGGGTGTGTCTTTTTTGAGGTTGGAACCCGCACAATAGCATTTGGTTTCCTTGCTTCCCACTAAAACCACAAAAAAAGCTGGGCTGTTCCCAAAATCCCCTTCTGAAAGTCGAACTTTTAGTGGCTTAGTGGAAACTAAACCAAACAAAACCAACTAGAAACAAACTAAACACCTTTCTGAAGCCGGACGGCTGGGCACCAAGAAACGGGTGCCAACTTCAAAAATGGAGCGATTTACCTGTAGAAAGATCCATCGAACAACCAATAGAGGTATCGTTGAAATCAGCCTCCCCACAGTCCTTTGGATGGGTTTGCCTTGGAAAAGTCAGGCGCTCCCAAAGATATGAGCCTTTGCCACCGTGTAAAAAGAACCACTCTAAACAGCACAGAAGGGTTTTCTCACAACCACGTAACCTGGGCTGTTCAAACAAGTACCAATTCCAAGAATGGGTGGTTTCCCTGTAAAACCGCAAAGAATACTTGGCTGGAATTAGGACCCCAGCAAACAAACTTACGTTTCCTGGTTAGTGGAAAACAAAAGGGACCCCAAAAAAGCAAAAACAAAAAAAGGGCCCCCAAAAAACAAGGATCTTTTCACCGGCCCCAGTGAAGGAATTCTAGGTCCTCCAGTAGAGAGCTTAGAACAAGGGTACCTTTTTCTGTAGTCTATTTTAGCAGGGGAACCCTCCCAACCAAAAACGGGGTGAGAAAGGGCACCACTCTAGGGGTACCTTCCCCATTCTTTCCAGGGATCCTTCATTTCAGGAAAGCGTCCGGATCCGGCTTTAGAAAAGAACGATGGTTGAAAAGAATGGGGAATCAACCCCTAGAACTACTGGCGGAAATAGAAATTGCTTCCCATGCCAGGCTCCCCGGGCTCGCTGGCTTGCAGCAACTCCAAGTCCTCCTCCAGGCCCCGGTTCTGCTGCTCCAGCTCTTCGATCTTCTGAACCTCAGCGCGTTTTTACTGACGTCCGATTGGAGTGGAGTGGAGTGGTCAGAGAAAAAAACATGTTTGTTGTTTTATTATTATTATTGTTACTACTATTATTATTATTATTATTATTATTATTATTATTATTATTATTATTATTATTATTATTATTATTATTATTATTATTATTATTATTTGTTTTCCGTTTGTTCATTCAAAACATTACTTACACTCGAAAATGGTCTTCACCAAAACAAATAACTAAAGTCCTGGAACCAAACTGTTCATTTGCCACTGAAATGGTCTTCACAAAAATGACTAAAGTCAGAAACGGAACTCAGGAAGCGAGTGGATAAAATCCGTCTCACCCAAGAAACCATTGGGTTGATACTGTGGGTGAATGTGGAATATGGCTTGATATCAATTGGTATGGGTTGAATTGAATTCGCACCACTTTGAAACCATGGGTTTTTTCAATCATAAGGTTTGCTGTCGTATTTACATTGGGGACTCGAATCAGAAAGGGTTCCTGGGGAGGGAACACATACAAGAAACCAGGGGCGGTTGCTGCTGTGGGTTGATATGTGGACATACGGTTTGAGATCAGTTGGTAGAAAGTTGATATTGCTCGGTAGTGGTTGGCATGAGGTAATCTGGGTTGATCCTGTGGATGGACGAAATCCGTTCGTACAACTTTGAAACCATGGTCGAAGCCACAACGTTTGTCGTATTTACAGGGGAATCATCAGAATCCAGGGTTGCTTACGTGGTGCGAAATGGATTTTGTTCCTCCAAAGTATGGTGAAACCCAATCCAAACCAATTCGACCGAGACCCTAGGATTTGAATGGGATATGGGTGTCTGGTGCTTTTGTAGGAATCAGACCCCAAAAAACATGTTTCTCTTTGGGCTTTCCTTTAACTCCACCGAAAAAATGGTGCTCTCATAAAAAGACACCCTGCATATACACCCACTATATAAAGGCCATGAGCGGACACCATCTTAGATTGGCTTGGCTGGACGGGAATGGGCGGTAAATGCAGTTCGGAATTTCCGCACCCCATCAACCGACAGTTAGCAGCTTCCCTCTAATTGGTGGTTTGGAGCCCGGTGTGGAGGTTGGATTTACTTTCCATCTCACGAACGGGTTCAAATTGCAAATCCGAACCAATCCATAGCAACCGGGTGTACAGTGCATATGTTTGAGGGTAGCTAGCTAGGGATGACCACTGGATGCGTTCTAACATGTTATCCTTCGTTTCCAAAAATGCGCGAGTTGCGGGGAAAAAAGGAAGAAGACAACACGTGGTGAGATTCAACCACACATCTCGCTTCCTGAGCGTATGGGCCGAAAAAGTAACTAAACTTTTGCCACTAAAACTGTCTTCCAAAAACGATGAAAACAAGTTCAGAAACTCAGGAAGTGAGGGACTCATGGCTCAACCCCGCTTGCGCATCTGCACAAAATCATTGCTTGCTGTGTAGTGGGAGCATGTGTGAACATTGCCCAAGTGAAAGTCTAAAGATCCAAGCAACTAGCAGCCAAGCACTGCTCAAGAAACCTGATTTCGCGTGGGTCAGGGGAGCTTCCACAAGTATGCAGCCCCCGGCTTTTCACTGGGGCGCTGCACATAGAGCCAACCAACATCTGCCTCGCACGGATGGCCCCCAAAGACGGGGAAATCGAATTGCACTTCTCCCTTCCGATTACTGAAGCAACAAGAACACAACAAAGGCCTGGGTGTTTTTCACCGAAACCTGGACACATCGAAATGTCACCCACCTCTTGCTTTGGTTTTGGGCACATCGCCAAAAACATATGGGCTGCACGCTTTACACCGGCGTCCATCCAAACATGCCTGCCAAGACTTGGCATGAGCCCTTGAAATCGAATCCAGCAGCGTGAATTCTGTGGCAAAACTTGCTGGTGCTGAGTAGGAAATGACCTTCCGGGTGTTGGGAAGGAACCTGGGGATTCCCTGAAAGGAAGCCATCGGGGATGGTTTATAGGGGTCATTCCCTCATTCCCTGCTGAGAAGCAGCAAGAAAATGAGCTGTTGTGTTTGCCGTTGATGTCATATCTTGCTCTTTGACACAGCCGAATGCACAGCATGCACAGGGGTGATCCCCTACGCGGACAGCATTGCCTGGAACGGCTGAAAACCTCCAAGAGGGCTGACATAGTTTTAAGGGGCGAAATAGCTCCACGTCATTGTCTGTGAGCATAAAATCATTCAGAGCCAAGGGAGCCAGTGTAGCCCAAGGGTAACTTACCCCTCTACTGGGGAACCAGCTTCTAAATGGAATCACTGGGAGCTCACGAGGCTCTGAATCCGCCCTCGTCAAACATTGGAATTGAACCCCCCCATGGGTTCTGGCTGTCAGGTTTGCCCCAAAAACAACCATTTCTTAAGAATATGGTTTTTTAGCTACGTATTTTCCCCGGTTGGATCAATTAAAATCTATCATTACTGGTCATCTCTCGGTTTTTTTGTCTTGTGCCACCCCAAAAAGGGGCGCCCTTACATATACCCAATAGGGCCCCTTTCCCCCCCCCCCCCGCGAAACGACGATCCATTCGACATCTGCCTCCGAAGGACCCGCCTCGGCGGCAAATTGAATGCACGGCTTGTGGCTCGGAGAAAGCCACGACCCCATACCGTGGTTGCGAAATCCGCAACCGAGATCGCGCTACGAAATGAACCATGGGAAATGATTCCGTTGTTGAAGTTGGTATTACGTTGGGGAATCGAGCATGAAAGGGGACTCTTGGGTGGTGCAGGATTTTGTCCATCCACAGTATTAATCAACCCCTGTTTGGCTGGATGTGGCCCTTTTTTGTGGACGACCGGTCGAAAAAGGGGACCAGTGGGGATGGACCGGGAGCCTCTTGGAGGGATAGGAACATGAGTCATGAGGAACACTACCTGTCATCCCAGCAAGCTGCCCTAGCTTTGAGGTGGTCATAACAATTGCCATCTAAACATGTCGGCTTTCTCAGAATGGGGGAACTTTTCCGAGTGGTTACCCCTAAACCCCACCAAACAAAACTGGGCGTCACCACGCCATGGCTGTTTTCCCGTTGGTTTCCCTTAAAAGGCCTCCAAACATGAGCGCCTCACTTGGCCGCCTGGACCCTTGGAGTGCTATGGTGTTCTGTCTTTCCGGGCAAATGTTGATAACCAGTTGATGTGGTTTGAAGGGGAAACCAATACCCCCATTTGCGAATGCGCAAATAAGCAAAAAACAAAAAAGTTGTAGATGTCCTTTAAAACCAACAGGGGGAATAAACACTTTATGCAGCAAATGGAAGACAGCATTTTGGGGGATCACATCCTATGTTAAGATGCACCAGTGTCCCACCTGCAAGCGTGTTTTGCTGCTCCAACACAAAATCTATTAGGACACATTCTGTCCCCCCCCCCCACCAAAACGAAACTTCCTCATACATGTCGGCCAAACACTGTTCAATACAATCATACTGAAGTCACACGGTGCACTTCTCTTCGACATGATTCACCGACGTGCCTCAGCGCAACATCACAATCGACGTGTCCGGTGCGAGTCCTGCCTCCTCCTCAGCTTCTGCACGTCTTTGCTGCTGACGAATTTTCGCGCGCAGATCTTCAGCCTCGGGCAATGAACAAAATGTGACCCTCCCAGCAACTCGGCGGGCGAGGAGTAAATCTGGCGTGCGGGAAACTCTTCAATGATCGCCTTGCACAACAAGTCTTGCCCAGCGGCACTCCACAAGATCCTTACGAGCTACGAAAGATTCATGCCTTTGCAACATCCGCCAACACCGCCTGAAGGCCACCCTCACCGACCCTAAATCAGGGCATCCCTCGCACCCTAAGCCCAGCCATCCCCAGCCCAAACCGCACTTCCAACTCGCTCTAAACTTTAAGCTCTAAATCAACCTTGAACCTGCCCTACACAAGCCGACATCAACCCATCTCACTGACCCGACCTTAAATTGAACACAACTCCTCTATTCAATGCCCACCCAAAACCCACCCTCAACCTGGCTGGCATTTTTTTGCGGTTCCATGTTCGGGCTGCAAGTGTCGACCCACACTGGTTTAGCAAGCTCGCAGTACAAACACATGACATGGTACCAACTATAACGCGTGTGTAATCTGGCGGTTGGCACTAAGTGCTGGTACAGTTGGGTTGTTCCAAGGGTTCTACAGATGTAAACCTAAGTGGGTTGGACAAAGCGCTTCATGTATTTTGCTTGAAAAATAAGCCTTGGTGGTATCCCAAACAGCCCCGGAACCCCTCCTCTTGAACCCTCCGCTTTCAGCTGCCCCAAACCACTCCGTATCGCCTATTTGGGCCTATCGAACCCATAGCTTTTAGCTGTTGGGGAAAACATGGTTCTAATAGTGTGCCCAAGTGGGTTGGACTAAGTGCTTCAACTTCTGTTATTATATATATATATTTATTTGTTTTTTCTGATTCTTCTTCTTCCTCCTCTTCGTCTTCTTCTTCCTCTTCTCCTTTTCCGAGGGCGAAAGGAAAATCAGAAGCTCCGCCCTCCCGAAAGGCGTTCAGCCGAGGCGTTCGACGCACGCCGAGGCGGCGGCACGCTGGGCGCTGCGCAGCTTCGTCGCCTTGATCTCCTCACGCAGGTCCTGACATAATCCGAATCGAGTGAACTGAAAAGGGGAACAGTCTTTTTTTGAATGAGAATGTATTCATTGAGCATGTGTACTACCCCTGGTGTCCTGTCTGTCACAAAAGAGCTTTTCATTGGACGGTGTGAATTGCGATCTAACCCTAGCCCAATGAACCCTTGCAAAATCGTCACGTTCCCAGATTGACTTGTGTCAACACGTTTGGGGCCCCCAAAAAAAACAAGTTGCCCTTCCGTCCCCTCCGAATCGGAGGGGGCACAAGATCCGATGTTGGTCCGCGGAAACTAAACTTTTAGGATATTATTGCTATATTGGTCGGTGCTCTGTCACACCACATGTGTCTTCCAACTTCACGAACAAGAAGCAAATGCTTTAACTGGCGTCCGGGGCACCCAATAATCAACAGAGACCAATTGGTCCAATACTGCCTGATAGGACAACCACAGGAACCTACTTCAATTGCTTGACCCTACTGTTGGTCCATCTATCGCTTTGGCTAGGTTTAACACTGATTGCCAATGTTTTTTTGTGGCTCACACAAACACCATAGGGTCGTCAAGATTAAGTGAGTCTCCTCTGGGGCGGGGAGGTCTTTAAGTCGAAATACAGGCAACCTTCAGCTTCTATTGGTGGGCACACACAAGAAGCAGTTCCCTTGAAAGTCGGCTTCCCACTAATTTGTGATTTGGATTGGTGGTTTTGAGGCTCGGGGCAGGGGTTCAAATCCCCAAAACAAAATCCCAACCACCAACAAAAAACATATCCATGTGATTGCCATGTTGGATGGGCGTCAAGGCGAAAACCACCACTCACTTGGCTAAAGGACCTGGCAAGGTTGCGTTAACTTTTGGGGCCGCTAAGAATGGTCGTCAAAAAATAAAGGCCTGGAGTATCCATGACCAATAAGACATGGGGTCATCACCCAAAGTAGAGGGGGCAATGGATCCATCCCCATGCTTGATTCGTGTCATGGAAACTCCAGGTACCCGGAATGGGTGATACCCTCCCGTCCAATGCAACCTGACGTCCTTTAAAGTGGACCATTTCTCCGGTGGTTCCAATGTTGATGTTGACCCCGGATTGATAAAGCAATGTCTATTCATATGGGTGTTCTACCTCCCAAAGTCTGATTCCGCACACCCAGTTCGACATCTCCCCCCTTTATATACTGAGGTTGATGGGGTCAACATTAAACTCCTCAGACAAGTGGCCGGTCCCAAGACTGCTTCTAAGTCGCAGAAGATGTCTGCGAACGGCGCCGTTCTCGGTGGAACTAAAGAGCAAACGGGCCTTGTCTCTTTTAACACCCGTTGGACACCTCAATAAACTGGGCTTTCGATTCCTCTGGGGACAACAAAATCATAAACCTAAACAAAAAGCTTACCCGAATTTCAACAAAGCAGGTGGGTTGGAACGTAGGGAGCTCCCACTCTCAAATGCGTGGATTTCCATGGGAAAAAAGGACCAGAAATTCGGCACCCTTTTTTGGGGTTGAGTTTCAAGGAATCGGACACTGCAAAACAAGACAAAGAACATTGGCACCAAAAAGTGGTCGGTCAAGTTTCAAGAAAATCGGAACCCGTACCCCAAAAAAAACGAGAGGAAACAAAAAAAGCGGGGCGGAACCCACTGGGCAACCCTCGACCGCTCGCTCGGAGTCTGCCGCCTGGAGCTCCTGTTCCAAGCTCGCGGCGTCGCCTGGGATGTCTAGCCCGGACAAATCTGCGGGTTTCCGCTTGGCTTGCCTCTAAAAAGAAAGAACGGGCCAAGCAAACAAGAAAAACAACAGATTGACAGATGTGCTTTTTGATTGCCCTGGACTCTACAAGCTGCAGTGCGTGTGGAAATCAACCCAAGCAAACAAACAAACAAAAACAGATGACCCAACAAACAAACAAAACAACAGATGTGTGAGTGTGTGTGTGTCGTTTTCTTGTTTGCCATGGCATTCTACAAGCTGCAGTGCGTGTTGGCGCTCGCCTGCGATGAGAGATCATCCTGAACATACTGAAATCACTGGTCTCTTGCAGGAAAATGCCCCCCCCCCCAGATGAGAAGAAATAGGATTTGAACCCTCAAAGTGTGTGGTGTCCTCTTGGTGTCCATTTGCAACCACCAAAAACACGGGTATTCTCAAACAAGACACACCCATTTGCGTCTCTGCCCAAAGGACCTCGACGGTGAACAGTTGGCTGTGGACAACTGATATTTGTGCCTGTAGATGACAACAAATGCATCGGTTTTCACAGTTTTACATGGTACATATGCACAACATATCAAGGGAACCAACCGGCAATGCTGAGGAGCAGTTGGACGGTCTCAGCACAAAGCACCTTTCGCCAGGAATATGTTGCTTAAAAACTCTCGAATCAACTGGTTTCCAAAACATATGCGGTGTGAGTTCACCTTCTAAGATCGGGCGCCGAAGAGCCCTTCTGTTGCCCTGTTGGGTACCAGTGGACAGCCCTTGGAAGGTCCAGGTATAACCTCAAAGGTCATGGTTACAAGCGTCTCAAGCGGACCCTTTTTGGGGTTGGTTTGAAGGGAAGCCAAATGTTCAAAACCGAGGCCATTTGCAGGGTCCCCTTGTTAACCAAGGCGAGCCTCGAGCCCCAGCCAAGATCTTCCCACCGGCCTACACTTTGGCAAGCGCTGGGGCTGACCGCAACGGCGGCCTTGCAGAGGTGCGTCGATGGCCCATTGATGGCCGATTATTTGTTTTGGCTTCCCTTTAAATTACCTGGAGTCTGCATGACCCCAACCAAAGGGGCAATGGTCACTACCCAAAATACCCGAATCAAAAATGGGTCATGACCCAAAATAAAGGGTCACTTACAAAAACATTGAAGGGGCGATGGTTACTACCCAACAAACATGGGGTCATGACCCAAAAATTCCAAGGGGCAACGGTTCCGTGTCTGAAGGGTCATAAAACATAAAGGACAGGCTTCAATTGTCAAGACGCTCCACCAACATTCTTTGTGGAACCTGCTCGTAACTGTCATGGCGGGCAAAAATCATCCACCAGTTGCCATAGGTGTCCTTTTAGGGGAAACAGATGGGTTTCCCTGGTAGATAATTAAACCACCAGGTAAACCCGGAATCGCCATCTATTTTTCGAGCAAAGCAACCGAAAAGGACACCTATGCCAGTTACCAGGTGGTTTCTGGTTTTTCAATTTTTTCGGGTCTTGTGAATGCCAACTGCTTAAGCCTTGTGGCCTGGGAACAGAGGCAGCTAGACAGTTCTTCCCAGGAAAGCAAGAGAAAACCAACCAGCTTTGCCCTTTATGGTTAAAACTCATCCAAAATCTGTGCCAAGTTAGTACATCACCATACGGCATATGGTGAAACACCAAGTTTTCAACACCCACGCCCCAGATGAAAGCCCGTGTTCCTTTTTCCCCGACCCTGTTTTGTGGCCCACACACACAAAAGGATATAAAGTCGAGGCCAAGGAAACTTGAAAAGAGGGCAACACGTTCTCACCGTGCGTGAGATCACAAAGAACTGGACCCCAAGTCCAATATCAGCGGAGCGGGAAATGTGTAAGGGCTCGTCCATGTGCTCCTTAGGCTAACTCACCACACATGAAAAAAGACGATTTCCCAGCAATTGTGTTTGTCTCAAGACTCAAGGTAACTAGCCCCAACCTGGACAGCCGAGGTACATCCGGCTGTGTCCCTTCACTTCTTTCGCTCAAGTCAGCCTCCCACATCAGCTCGGCGGTATCTTCGTTGGATACCTGCACCCCCACAGCCTCAGGCGAGCAAAAGCACGGAAGCGCCAGGACTACCAAGTCAAACATGAGCGCGGATTGATCATCCAACAAGCTACGCGGCAACGCGCAGAAGTTTGGACTCTGGAAAGACAGTTCTACAAGCCTGACTGTATTTGGGGGCGGGTTCTCAAAATGGGGGCTCCTTTTTGAATGGTTTTAAAGGGAAACTAAGGGAAACCAGAGTCCCCAACTTTGAGAAACACCCATTTGCATTCCGTTGCAAAACAAGTCATGCCAAGTATTCTGCTCCTCGCAAAGGGGTACCCTGAAAAAAGTGCAGGCTCAACATCAATTTTTGGAATCCATCCTCACACAGTCATCCCCCGCGGCAGTTCGTCCCATCGCGTGTGATGAATCGGCCCGATGGCTGTGGTTATGGAACCCCAGTAATCAAGGAGCTTGGCAGCGTTTTTTCTTTTTTGCGGACTGGCTTCGTTGGCTTTCAATCAAATCTGCACTGCACCGTAACGTCAACTGGATCTAAGGAACCCTTCTAATAACTCAGGAGTGAGGCCTTGAAGTGTAAAGGCTGCAGCAGCCCACTGGATGAAGTGAATCCTGCACTAGTTGGCTGCAGCTCTGTGGGTACTGGGGAAAAATACTATCACATGAGTAACTGGTAGTGCAGGAGTTGTCCACAGTTTCTCTGGAACATTGGACAAACTCAAAGTCAGCTGAGTCAAAATCAAACTCTGGTATCAACATAGTCTACCCAAAACTATGCAAATAATAGCGGGCGCACTTTTATATGGTTGGGATCATCCCTTACTAACCTCTATGGCTCATCTGAACATCCACTGGTCAGTACCAGGCTGGCAGCTGGCCTCCCGTTCATCCACCCATCCACCCCCAGCCAGGTGCTCGGCATGTGTATCCACATCTGATTCTGCTTCTTGCGGACCTCCCGGAAGGGGAGTTCCGGGATGTCAGCTCGAAAAATACTTGACCCACCTCTATGCTCACTTTTTTTGAGTGGATTGCTCAGAGAAGTCCTGACTTCTGGTTTACAGCTAATCTACCAACAAAGCTTAAAGTCCAGCAACTCAGGAAAAGAGTAATCCACAAGAAAAAACTTCAGATTCTGTGTCGGCCCCTGAAAAAGTGGCTGCCTGTTCCAACAAACAAACGCCTTTTGGACTCAAGGGGACTCAAGGGGACTCAAGGGGACCTCCGCATGTTTGGAGTGGGTAGGTACCTGGCGTCTCCATGACCTCTCACTCTTTTTGGTAGTGACCCCGTTTTTTTTGTTTTTTTTTTTTTTAAACAGAACAGGACACCCTGAACGTGTGCTTTTCTATGGCTTTTATTAAACAACAAAACGATATGTTTGACACGTTTCCCAAAACACAAAAAAAACCTTGAGAAAAAAAAAAAAAAAAAAAAAAACAGACTATGTCACATGTCCTGGCTTGGGGGGGTTAGTCTTGCTTCTTTTGTTTTTATCGAGGTTTTTCACGCTTTTCCCAAAAACATTAAAAACAACTCGAGAAAACCAACAGAAATAAGACTCTGTCAGCTGTCCTGACTTGAGGGGACATAATATGTTTTTGCTTGGTTGTCTCAAGTTGTTTTTTGTACTTTATCGTTTCCGCCCTGTTTGCAAGAGCTTCTGTGATCAAGTGCGCTGGTGTAGTTCACATCCAAGCCCTAGTGCAGTAAGCTAGATATGGTTCTCTGGTTGGACTCGTTCCTTATTACATTCTTCTTACATTAAATTAGAAGTATACAAGAAGAACTTGATAACTGTATTAAGTAGAGTTCATAAGAAAAAAATTAGAGGCCCCAAAATTGTTAAGCTGTTCAAATGCCTACTGATCTGCAAAGACAGTTCTATTGGCCAGGAAATCCTGTGTAGCATCCATGTTGAAATCGAAAAGACAAAACAAAACACATTATATAAATTATATGTTAAGCCACAACTTATGTTTGGATACTTTCCTTACTTGAATTATATGTCATGTGAGATAAGGATTGAGTAGAACTTGATACATATATTGAATAGAATTCGTAAGGACAGAACTTGGAGGTTCCGAACATGTTTACTACATGTTGTTTAGGACAATTCTATTGGAACATAAATGCTCGTGTAGCATTTATGTTGAAATAGATTAATCATACTTGAACATCTAATATTAAATTATGCAACTTGATTGAAGTCCTTCCTTAATAATTTCAGTTAATTTCATTCATTTGGTAAAGATATTAAGTAGATTTCAAAAGGAGAGACCTAAGAGGTCCTAAAATTGTGTATTTTATGTTTGCTAGCCCCCGCACTACCATGGTCAGAAAACACCGTAAAACACAGTGCTTTGTAGCGTTTTTCGTACTCAATTTATTCCCACCAACGGCCGCTCTCTAAAATTCAGTTTGAATTTGAATAGGATGTCAGTAGGACTCAATAAGGAAATACTTGATCAGAATCCTACTTGAAAACATCTTACATTTATAATTACAATGTAAATCCTTTCCCAATAGAACATTGCAATTAAATTATAGTTTGAACGAAATTTGATAAGGAATGAATCCAATCACAACTTCTGTTTCATAATAGAATTCGAATTATAATACGTCTATATTTAATTGATAGTTTCCACAGTATGTTCTGTCCAACCGAATCTCTTTACATTTCAGCTGACATTTAAACACACATTATGCAAACATAGTTCAACTCGAGTTTCCACTCAAAAAAGAAAGAAAAGAAAAACGTGCACGCTCACAGCGTCCCGCTCTGCTTTTTAAAGGGTCATGGAGGATGTCCAGATCAACACCCGCTCTTGAGATTGACTGGGGGATGCAATCTCTGTCAGTGGTTGGATTCAGACCACTGTTGAGGGGCACCCCTCTAATAGGAGGGGTGCATGACTCTGAACATGGAGCCATCGTTTTGTCCCCTCAGCCCAGGCTCCGGGGTGCTCCGGGGCGGGTCCTGAGGTCAGGGATGCCCGTGGCGACTCCGAGGAACCTGATTCCCACCAACCCCAAACTGGAAGTAAAACTCAACGATTGACCCAACCCTCAACTTCCATTTGCTTAAGCCCCGTGGAAAAAAATCCAGTAGTGATCGATTCCTTTTAAAACCAACAGGGGAAAAAGAAATCTTAAACAAATGGAAGTGAACTGTTCAAAGGCCCACGTCGTCTTTCTCGCGCCTTCGCTCGGCCCCGGTTCGGGGTCGGCGGTCGAGCCGCCTTTGCCGTCGCCTTTGCGCTCCCAGTGCGACAGCAAGTCCTCCTGACGCCCGCCAGAAGGCGACCGGTTGCCAGCACCGGGCCATGGTGATCTCGAAAAGCACTCGGTTTGGGGCAGAAAAGGAAACTGCGAAGTAACCTGGTTTGGTTTGCCCCTTGACGCATGTCAAACGACTCCCTTCTTTGATGAAAAACAAAGCAAAACCGGTCTTCCCATTGGCAGTTTAGTTTTCAACCCTTTGGAAGGTGCCTGTGTTGATAGATTTCAGCCAAACTGGTGAAGCCAAAACCTGGTCAACAACCCAGGTATGGCTGGGACAATCCACCAACCTTCGGAGGCCTTGTGGCTCAATGCGCCATTTCTTGTGTTGCAAAACTGTGGGTTCCGCAAGCCGCGAGGACGAAACCAAACGATGACGCCAGCCAATCTTCAGGTGAACAACACCCTTTCCGAAACACAACGTGGTTTCCTTTGGACAAGGGGCGTGCGCGCTCCCACGCAGGGTAACCAAATCCCCCTGCAGAACTTTTAGCAAGCGCCAGCCCTGCCTGTGCAAAGGCTAAGCGCTCCCGCTGCAGAACCCCTGCATGCTCCATGCGCTCCTGCCTGCGAAGAGTTATGGCGCTGCTCGTTTGCAATGGTCCTGTAAAAGCAGACGTAACCCAAGGTTCTGAACAACAAGAAACGCAATTGTTTGTACCTTCGTGCCGGTCCAAAGACACACGAGAAAAAAAGAAGTGTTTGATGCAAAACAAAACTGCCCTTCGCCATTTGCGCTTGCTTCGCTTCTTAAACAGAACAACCCAGCCTGCTTTTCGGAAGGGTTCCTGGAGCAAAACAAAAACTGCTTGTTTTGGCGTCCGCGCTTGCTTCGCGCCTCGAACAAAGCAACATTGACCCTTCTAGACACCCCGGTGCAAAACCAAGGAAAACGCCAGCAAACTGACTCAACATCTGGAAATAGACACGCGCGCATGAAAGGCCGCGGCCGCGAAAAAGCCCAAGCCCCAACAGCTAAGCCTGGTTTGGCCTCGTTTACCCCCACCTCCTAAGCCAACGCATGTGGACCTTGGAGGCCTTCGGTGGGCAAGAGAAAAATCAAACAAACACAAACGGTTTTCTTTCAGCGTAGCATTTGGTCATCTTGTAGACGCTCGAAGCAACTCTGCTTTTGGTAGCAAGTGCCACATGTACTGCAAGCTGTACAAGGGTTGTCAAGGCATGTCGTATATCAACAGCAGGATGAAAGCGCCCAGCCCGCTGACAGAAGAAGCTTTGTTGCTGGCTGATTGAGAACAAAGCGTTGCAGGCGTGTTATATGTCATGAGAAGAAGCTTCATCAAGCGTTGAAGCTGCAACTCGTCTTTGAGGTTTTTGCCATGGGCCTAAATGAGCCTTCATGAGTCTTGACAATCCAAACCACATGCTGCTGCTACCAATGACAACCAGCTGGGCCATTGTGGGCGCGATAGAACAGGGAACATGTGGTTAAACAACAAAAACATGTATGCAGATGCCCACAATTTGTGGGTCTCGCGCGGTATGGCTCTGGACCGGCAAGGCAACGCTTAAGCAACGTTGCCACAATAGTTTCGTCACAAGGTGGAACCTCGTGCAAGCAGCGCGATGAAGGATTTGGCACGGGATGCGCCAAGACAAGTTTGAGACAATGCTCGCACGCGCATTTAAACAACATGCGGAGCCTCAGTGGGCGACAAGGCTAAACAACACTTAATCAAGGCTAAGCAACTTGCCGGCGCTGGACATGGTCGAAACGTCTTCCAACATGTTGCAACCAGCAAGAATAGCGTGTCGAGAACATGTTTGTGTCGTTCACCTTGCGTGGTGATCTTCCTTTGTTTTCCTTTAGAAAAAAAAAAAAAAACACTCCAAGAAGGGTACCCTCAAAAGACAGACCCATCTGAAATTGTTTTGATTCAACAAACTTTGCAGCAACCAGTCAGCTGGCCTGTTCAGCAGCTGCTCAATCGCGTTGTCCCGCTGCCTCACGAGCGGCAGCGAGTGGGGCACCGACTTTTACGACCCTTGGTGCGGAAGCAACAAGCCCCTACTAGAAATGAACAGAACCAAAGCCAAGAACCTAAGCACTTGCCAACAACCAGTGAAGTAACCCCGAAACTTGCGGAGAATTGTGAACGAATCATAGGCCACTTTGAAGCTCTTCTCGGTGGTCTGACTGATTCTTATTCTGGGCCGTGACAGCGCGGCCATGTGAGCTACAGATGCACATCACGAAACGAAGAAGCTGGTGTACTTTTAGCAAGGCTACCTAAAGTGTAGTGACATCATACAGGAAGGCCAATCAATGGGACATTCACGAACCAAGTAAAAGGAACCGGCCTTTTGAGTTTCTGCGAAGCAGCGGGGAATTGCCCATCCTGGAGAGACATCTATCCGTACTGATGTTGCTCCCTTCCCAGTCTGAGCATTTGTGGACTGATGAGGCATTTGTCGGTATCAATCTTCTGCTGGTGCCAATACCGACGGAACTTGCAAAGTCCAACTCCAATTTGTATCCTCCGCTGGTCAACGAGATGCAAAACAAGGAGCAGTAAATCCTACTGTTTACTCACTCGCTGACCAAAAGAGGCTTTGCAGTGTCTGCCAGTTTGATGCTACCTCCCAAGATGTCCGTCGACAAGGCTGCTGTAAGAGGTCGATCTGGAAAAAGCCTATAGGACATTGAGCCACAGGCTTACTGTAATTGTTCAGTCCTGCGCACGCCTGCTCCATCATGCGTGAGCTGTGCTATTGAACAGCAGTTTTGCAAAATGTAATCCTCCACATGGGGCGGAAGTTTATTTCATCGATTTATGAGGGTGTCCCTGACGCCATAGCCACCCTGGGGGCTATGTAGTCCGCGTTCTTGAAACCCTCTTCTACTTGTTGTGAAAGTCGTCTTGCGTCGAACTGCTTCGGCCGGCGTTCGTACAGCTGCACAGACAGCACCGAGAGTGAAAGTCAAGGGTCGCTCAAGTGACATACAAACCTGTAAAGTGAGGATCCTCGTTTTCGAGCAAAAAGCATCCGATCAGCTCCAGGACAATCTGCAAACGTAAGTTAAATAACTCTACCAGCACCCAGCAACGGATTGCGTGTTCCAGTAGTAAAACCTCCAAGTGCCATACCCCATTGGATCTACCAAGATATCGTACAGGTAATATGTACGTACATATTCATGTATATGTAACATTTATTATATATACATGCTTAGATACATGTATATATACATGTATATGCCTCCAATCCCTTTAGTTCTGAATGAGTCAGGAAGTAAAATGGCGAAGGTGGCCCCCCCAAACAAACACACCCCCTCGAAAAAGACAAACATATACCAGTTGTCGGAGGTGTGTTTGGGGGGGTCCAAGCGGAAAAAACTAAAATGTCTGTGAGCCTGGAAAAGCGTTCTCGGCGAAGCGAAGAGTGTCTCGATTCAGTACAAACCGCTTTCAGTGCTCCACGTCAAGGTCATGGCAATGGGATGGCAATGGGAGCCTGTTCTGATGTTGGGATACAACTCATCTTTCTCAAAACCTTGTCACTTTGACGTTGGTACAAAGCAAACAACACACAAAACAGGACGACGGCATTTCTTTTCCCGGACAACCCCCCACCCACACACACACACACACACACACTCATCTAGTCCCTTTTGCAGCCCACACCGCTCTCCACCCCCCTGCCCGCCGCGTGCCCCCGCGCCCCCGTCGCTCGCTCGCCTCACGCGAGTCAGCACCGACTCCAAATGGCAGCGCAGCTCGTAGGTCAGCCTTGAGCTGCCCTGCGAGTCTTGCAGCCTGCGGCCTCGGAGCTCGGAGTTATTTCGAGATGGCGACAGGCGGAACAAAGCGACCAAGGCCTTAGGCAAACAATGGTGGTTCTGTGAAGCCCCATTGTTTTAATGGTGAATGCCAGGGGGAGGCTTTCTGCTGTTTAAACTCGCCGTCAGCCCTAGCTTTCCGCTTGCCCAATGGTTCGCCTGAAGAGGTTTTCTTTCAAAACAGAAGAGCCCCCAAATCTGGCTGGATCCTTCCTCGAAACCGACCTCAAGCACTGATAGGGTTTGTAAGTCAGCCAAGCAGCTCCAAAGTGGCCCAAAGATGGAAAAATATCCTACGGCCCTTATTGGTGTTGACCCCTCCACAAAAAGTGAATACTTGTTTGTGGGTCCCCCCCCGCCAAAAAAAAACGCCTGTTTCAACCAACTAGTTAAAGTCCAAAGATTCGTTACAGCCTTACTGCGGATGGACAAAATCCATTCCAGAGGGGTGGTAAACCAGTTTGGTTGTCTTGGTGACAATTGGGGACCGGCCCGTCTAAAACAACAACCCCGGAAATGCTGCCACATGTTCTTTCCAACCCTTGGTACGGTAGTAAAAACATTGTGCTTGCGGCCCCCTGCTAAAAATGAACAGAACCAAAAAACACAGCTAAAGACTAGCCAGAAAAAGTTGCAACATGTTTCCAACCTTTGGTTGCTGGCAGGAGAAAATATGGCTTCCCTGGAAGCTATATTATTGTTTTGCAAGCGTGACAATTACGGAAGAAGGGATGCTTTGCCTTTGGGTTTCCATAACACAACCCAAAGAAGAAAAACAAAAAGGCAACTGAATCCATGCGGGCATGTGTCAAAACAGGGGTGCCCGTCAAAACTGTGGTTGTCCTCTTGGTTTCCCTTCAAACCCGAAATGGGCCCGAATTGGGCAGTTTCCCTGCGAACCCTTTGGGGCAGAACCACTACCCGGCCAAAACGGGGCGATGCCTTTATGCAGTGGCTAGTAGTTGCTATTCCCATTCAACCCCTGGGCGTTGCTAGTAGTCGCATGTCCCGAACCGCTGGCGGTAGTGGAGGTTTCTCAAAGAGGATCCTCCTTGGACTAGTCCAAAGGGACTAGTCCACAGGGAATCGGAAATCCGGCCCTGTTAAGGGTCCGGAACCTGGAGAAATACCCAACAACTTGAACAATGAGGTTCTTGAAACCGAGGACTTGTGATCCGGCCGGTTTTTCGGAGGCGGTTTGGGGGTAATGGAACCCTCCATTTGCTTAAGGCTCAAGCCCCCTCAAAACTGGGAAACAGTTTATGTGTTAGATTCCCTTCAATTGCAGCAACTTGGAACATCAAGACCTGAAGTCTCCATGACCGTTTAAAAATGGAGTCATTACCCAAAATTAAGGGTCATGACCCCTTTTCTATGGGTCATGGAGACTCTAGGGGACGCCCGCGAAGGAAACTTTTCTCGGAGCTCCGATCTGCTTCGATGCCCCAAAGCTGAAAGGTCTAAGTCCCGTCTCCGCCCATCCAATTTGTTTTGCGAGGATGTCCCATTGGTTGAGTATATTCACTTGGTCAAAGCGCATGGAAACAGAACAGGGCTGTGGGAAACGGAATCCACTTCTCTGCAACAAAAAGGGCTTCCCAAAGACGAACCCCCCATATGAAGAGGGGATTCCCTCCCTTGTATCACAGAAGTGGTTGGATAAACTTCTTGTGATCCCAAAGCGCATGGAAACAGAAGGTTCAGCCTTTGGAACCTTGACAGAAGGATAAAGGCTCGATTCGCTTTGAAGAACTGCGGGAAACCACGTTGGAACCCATGGAAGGGGGGTCCCCGGAAAAAAAAAAAAAAAAAAAAAAAAACATCCGGATCAAACATAAAATTTCAACAGGATCCCTTGGGTGCCCCTCATTTCTACAAGCAGACTCCAGGTCTAGCCAAATAGAAGGGCTTCTTGTTTTATCGGGAAACCAAATGAGTTTAAGAATCTCAGCCCAAGAAATAGGGGAGGCGACTCCAGGTACCTAGTGTCTCCACGACCCCTAGAAAAGGGGTTCATAACTGAGTCATAACCCCTTAATTTTGGGTAATTCCCACATTTTCACAGGGTCATGGAGACTCCAGGTCGCTACGGACAAAAACTCCCGCCGAAGCCTCCCGAAAGCTTCCAGCCGACTCCGAATCGCCGGCCGAGGCGCCGAGGTCTTCCAACTTGTTCTCCGTGCCCCGGAGCTGCTCCTCCAAGGCTGGCAGCCTCCAGCGGACCGCAGACCGAAGACCGAAGCGGCAGCCAGCGCACACCGCAGACGGTGGATGCGAAATCCGCTTCTCACACCACTTAGCCATACGGAAGCCATTACGTTTGTTGGTGCTTACAGGGGAATCATCTGAAACCAGGGCCTTTAGGTGGTGCAGAATTTGTGGGTGGTTGCGAAATCCAGAAATCGCACCACCTAAGAAACCTTGGAGTGATGATTCCGCTGTAAATACCAACAAACTGTGGTTTCAACCATGGGTTCTTTTATTGGGTGCAGGATTTCGTCCATCCACTGTATGGGTCAAAATTGGAAAGGGAGGACCTCCGCCTGTCTCCATGACAGCAAAAAGGGGTCATGACCCCTGACTTTTGGGTCATCCCATATCTTGAAGGCGGTCGTGGAAACTCCAGGTGCAGGCAGCACTTCTGGTTTCCAATCGTTCCTTTTAGGGGACCTACTTGTGACGCCCAAATCTCACTTATTGTCACTATCCTACATTTGTCTGTCCTTGAAATGAATCCGCGGGCAGGCGAAGGAAGTATCATGACGAAGAACATGCGTCTAATTTTCAATAGCAAAAAGAAGAGAGGACTAGAAATGCTTGACTGGTAGGTGACCTCCTCCACCTTCATCCTTATCACCCATTCTCCCATCTCCAAATGTTAGCGAAATCTGTGTGTTCCTGAAATGAAGGATGGCCAGGAAAGATTCCTCGCTTTCCAACTTTTCCCACGCAGTCGGTCAAACAAACTCCAGCCTCTCTCTTCATCCCATGTCCGGAGCCAACTGTGGGCGAGAGAGAGGGAGGAGAGAGCCTTTGACGGCTGAAGGCTGTCCTTGAAGTCATGCCCCGAGACTCGGCTGTGATGTTGAATGGTCTTCCTTTGTCCACTTCCAATTTCCAGGATCAACGAATAACGGGAAGTGGCAAGACCATAAACCCCCCAAACAAAATATGCTTAGAAGACTACAACTACCAGGTTTGCCATCAATCATTACTTTCATGTGCCTTTACAATACTACTATGTCCTTACACAACTCCTGGTAGCTCCTTAGCTCCCTCTTTACAAGCAAATTTGGATACCCCCATCTCCCTGGCTCCCTTCGAACCAGCTAATACCGTGGCCTCTGCCCAATCTTTTAGTGTTGGATGGACTGGCTTTACAAAGTAATTCTTGTTGGAACAGTTCCACCACCTTCCGCCCCTTTTGGTGGGCGACGACTCCGCCTCACTTTGGATGAAAGCATAAACCTTGAAGAAACCAGCATGAACTTCTACAGGAAGTGGTATTGCGCGGAGTATGTGTTGCTTCTTAGTTTAGGGCATTGGCTTTTGTTTAGGGGCTGAGGCTGCAAACGAGCCTCCAGCTGGATTCTGGTATTGGATCTTCAGGGCTCGAGTCTGCAAAAGAGCCAATGTGTCCATAGCACTCCTTCATGGCTTGCTCCGAAATCGGAAGGGTAGAAACATGGCAATGGAAAGAAGAACAATGATCACCAATGTTCCACCCAACCATGGCCAATGGTCATTTTGAGGCTTGCACCAACCCGTCACACCCACAACGAATGCACGTGAAGTAAGATGCAAGCCCCCGTGGAACCAAGTCTTCCACAGTCCTGGGAAGGAAACCTCCATGTTTGGGAGTTACGCACAATTTTGACACTAGCCACTAGCCACGTCTCACTTCCTGGATGCGCCAAACAACATCCAAACCTTTTGTTTACCACGATGGTTTGCTTAAAACAAAGCTAAAAGTCCAGGACCTCAGCTCAGCTTGAAATCGACCCGAGTCCGGCGTCTTCTTGGGCTTCGTGGTGCTCTCCGCCTGCGGGTGGTGAGGCATCCTGATTGGCTCAAAAACGTGGAATTCCAACATGGCACCGCAAGGTAAATGGAGCCAAAGACTAAAACCCGCGTAACCCGAGCTCTTCAATTTTGAGCCATACCCGTATGTTTGCCGATCCTTCCATTTGCTTCTTCCCCTGGAAAACATATTTCCAGTGATAGATTCCCTTTAAAACCAACAAGGGACAATTCTTATAATATGATCTTAAGCAAATGGAAGTATCCCAGTGCTTCCAGGCAAGCCGTTATAGTAGATGACCAGAAGAAACCATCCATGGTAAAACCTACAGGTCAAACAAATGCTTGGTTACCTACTGTTGATGGACCAAAATCCTGCACCACTTTGAAACCATGGGAAACCACTGTTTGTTGGTATTTACAAGCAACCAGGCTGTCTTGGGTTGTGCAGGATTTTGTCCATCCACAGTACTATAGGAAGCACTGGACCCATGACTACCGAGGGTGGTTGCAAAATCCGCTTCTCGCACTACCGTTCAGACACCATGGCTGAAACCATACAGCAACGTTTGTTGTCGTATTTAGAGGGGTTTCGAATCATTCCAGAGTTTCTTAGGTGGTGCAGAATGGGAATTTGTCCATCCACAGTATGAACACATGGTGGTACGAACAGGTGATGAAACAAACTGACTAACAAGGGACTTGTAATTTCAAAACAAAATCGACCAGCTTGAAACAAATGCAGGACGGTCCTTTGATCACAAGCGTTCAATTGTCCGATGCACCCTGCGCTTGCAATGTGCCTCATGCACATCATACCAGCTTGCTTCCTATCTCTCTCAATTTCTCCCTACACACGCACACATGCCCTGGTGGGCATAATCTCGTTCCTGATAGTGACGATGCAGATTGGCTTGAGTTTTGTTGGGACGTTCTGATGATCCAAGAACTCCCAGTGAAAGGTCAAGGCAAGAAGAACAAAGATATCTGGAGTCAAGCCAGAACAATCAGGCCGTGCAAGCTTTCATGGACAGGCATCGCAAAATCACCAATTGCAGGAGGATCGGTGTAACAGTTTGGCATTCCCTCGAAATCACACCTGACTTCCATGGCTCATCTTTAGACCCAACCATGTGATTTGCCAAATCGCGGTCGCGATGTCAGAAGCTAGCGGAGATTCCGAACAAGCCATGCTCAGATTCATTCACAAGTCTTGAGACAATCACGTAGCACCGTTTCTATATGGATTGGCCAAAAATGGTAAATTCCCTTCTTTCTCGTGAGCACCATCCAATGTCTCTGATTCTGGGAGCTCCCTAGATGCTCCCTGGTTTATCTAACCATCTGGGTGAATTATAATATTTCACCAACCTGAAATAAGGTGGTTGGGGGGTTATTCCCCACATAACCCACCATTTGGGGTGAATTCGTGTGAGGTCGTTATAATTCACCCAGAATCATGGAACGGATGCCGTGGCAACTACGCCTTGCCGACGATTAGAGGACCTGCCAAAGGCAAGCCGCTCAAGTCGACATGTTTCTTAAAGCCAGAGTGAGTGAATGACATGTCTTGGGCTGTTAAAAAACAAAGGGGACCCTTCTGTAACCCAAGGTGAGGATTAAGGATTGCCTTTGAAGAGCCCAGATTCAGATTTGACCTCTAGTCCTAGGATCACCATACACCAATCAGAAACCAGGACTAAGAAACGCCTGGTTGATTCATGCCGGGAGTAGGGGGGGGATTGAAGAGGGAAGCCTGTACTTGTTGAGAAGTGGCAGCCTCCCGGCGCCTTGTCTATGAGGCGAGTGACCTGAGCCTGCGAGGGGCGAAGCAATGGGAATGGGTTGTTAGAGCAAGGAATGGCCGTGGGTTGATCGCTTTTCTGGGTGACGCCCCCTATCAATAGATGGGCCTATTCATCCGTTCCTATCAGACGTGAGCCTGGGCTCTGGATACATACCTTCCCGGCTCTACGTGAGTTAGTGGGAAGAAGGATGACCCGTTTGTGAGGGAGAGCGAGAGAAAGTGAGAGAAAGAGGAAGGAAACAAACAACAACTAATCTGCAAAGGACATCGCCCAGATTGTGCTTGCGTAAGGCCAATATGCCTTCCTTCAGCAAGACCTGGCCTGAAGGCTCGCTATGTCAGACACGTTCTTTCTGTTGGCCACTGTAGTTTATATTGCTGGTTCTCAAGGAATCAACCGGGGCTGTGAGAATGAAGCACTGAAAGTTCCGGGAACGCCCACCCTTCAAAAAGGTTCATCTCGGTTGCAATCTTTCAGACTAGCAGTGACTACCGGCCTGTGAATGGACGAAATCCATTTCGCATCACCTTTGCTTGTTGTTTTTTACAGGTAAATCATCAATCCAGGGTTGCTCAGGTGGTGCAGGATTCTGTCCATCCACAGTGCTTCTCAAAAGGTACCTGGGGGTGCCCCGAAAGGAAGAATATGGAACCGGAACCTCGCATGGGCCGTTTCACTGTGAATTCCCCTCGAACCATCCACGCACAGGATACCTGTTGGCAAAATAGATGGTCTTGGTAAATGGACTAGCACCAATCTAAACCGAAAGGACACCTATGCGTGCCCTGAACTAGACTCACACACCTCGGACCCTCCATGAACATCGTCTTGCATTTCCCATGCGCCTGCTGTCGGTCCACGGCTTCGCGCATGCGCTCGAGATCTCTCTGCCTGAATGAACACATTAGCTTTCGCCCCTGTCCACATCCAAAATAGCAAGTTGTGCTCACCCATTACCTCCGTGTTTGCCAACCAACAACAATGGGTGATTCTGGCCAAAATACAGAAGGGAACCTTGAAATGTCAAATCAGATTAGCACAAATCCAGATATAGAGCCGACGTTGGCCACAAGCACGGGCCAGCCAAACGAATCGATCCATCTCCCGATTTCTTCGGCTCACTCGCTTCCGGCTGAGGTGTCGGCTGCTTCTGCACCTTCAACAGCAGCGCCTGACGGGTCTGCCGGCTCCAAGCCCCTTTTGTTCTACCTGGAGTCTCCACCCTTGAAAAATGGGTCAATGACCCCATTTAAGGGTCATGGAGACTCCAGGTAGTGCTGCCTTCCATTTCTGAATCCAGGGATCCGGATCCTTTCCGGAAGACCGGAAAGCCCGGGAAAAGGATCCGGTTGTTGAAAAGAATGATGGTTGAAAGAATGGAAAAGGAATCACCCTTAGATTTGTAGGTTACCGTAGGTTTAAGGTACAGCCATTTGCTTCCAAAAGGTTCCAAAGGGGCCGATTCGGTCACACCAAAGACCGGCCAGGGTTTGTTTGAGGGTACCCATGCATGAAAATAGAGCCAGACTCGCTCTTGGAATGTTGCTGCCCATGAAAACAACCGCCCCTTTTTGGGCAGCGAGGAACACTTTATGAAAAATACGCACCGCATACCCAAAAGTTTAGGGGGGCAGTGCTCCAACCCCCAAAGTGGGCTGCAACCAATGAGGGGGTCCTCTTAAACTGGGCGGTTCCCAGCCCTGCCACAAGTTTTTAACTTTTGGTGGCATGGACACGCCCACTCAACCCCAACAACCTAAAAACCTCAGGGGATGCCTGGGAAGCACCAGGTAACGAAGAGCCCGTTCGAAAAAAAATCGGACGGGGTCTACAATCTGAGGGGTGATTTACGTGCACGTAGCAGATAAAATAAGTCAAAACCAGGAGTATACCATACGAACCAAGTAGGGTCACACCCTCCTGCCATAGAATTGACTGAGGGGGTATAACCATGGCGGTGGAAAATGCATGCGGCGTTCTGCATGCAAAGTTGGATTTGCATTCCTACAACTTCGTCAATTGCAAGAGGTGGTCCCCTTGGTACCGCAAATTCGCCAAGCTTCTCTTGCCCACATGCTTGGAGCCCCACTCCAGCAACCCAAACCAAATCCGGGCAGGGCAAATTGAACCCTACCCCTTTTCCCCAACATTCAAAGTTCCGCCCGGTACTTTGATCCCTTTTAACCGCCCAACCATCTTCTGAGGGTACTTGTTCCCTCTCGGTTTAGGGGTCCGAAAGGGTCGCCGAAAAACAGCCCCCCCCCCCCCGGTCAACTCTGATTGCCACGCGACCTTTCTCAAGCACTCCGTGTTTCCCAAACAGCACATGCGCTGTGGAAGACTCACTTCCACATTCACATGCTGAGGCCAGATTACAAAAAGGACTATGGCAGCCATTTGATTTGTCTTTCATCACGTCCAAACCCTTTCGACACTCTCAAAGCAAATGTCCCCCTGGCCCCAACATCGGTGACAGTTTGGCAACATATACGACATATATGGCCCTGGTAAAAGGGAATAAAGCCCATCTACACCAGTGCCATCTGGATCTATGTCTAGCCAAGCTAATCTAAAACGGACACCTATGGGCCGCCACTGTGCAACTTGTTTTTGTTTTTGTGTTGTTGGGTGGTGCTCGAAGCCCGACCACTCACAAAGGTGCACCGACTGGCTCTGTTTATGATGAATGAGTCACCGACTGCGCGCATTCCAGTGGAAGCCCGGTACCGGGACGGTTCTGCAGGTAGGCTTCATGAGAAATCCATAAGCAAATCCATAGAGACTCAATGAAATCAAGGTTCTGCAAAGGGATCCCCTCCCAAAACAAACCTGCAATGGCTGTATCCCAAACAAGGGAGTCAAACGCCCAATTCAACCTGGGGGTTTAACATGTCGACCAACCGATAGCTTCGTGCTTCGGCTGTCCGCCCCATCCCATTTGGGCATGTTTTCGACATGGGAGGACACCTAGTCATTCTACGTATACGCAGGTCGGGGGACGGCAAAAAGCGATGTCGAAAAGCAGTGGGTGCCGTGTCGACTTCACACGACTGGCCGAGCGGTGAATTCAGCCTGGCTGACGCTGAGCACGTCCTGGCACAGGGCAAGTGCACCAAACGCACCAGTTCAGCTCCTATCTGGGCGGCCTTTAAAATGGCGCCGTGGAATTTTGTTGTTACCTTCTGCTTTTCGAGTCTCAGCATGTGGGTGTGTCTTTTTTAAAGGGCCACCAAAACAGTGTGGTTTTCGTTGTGGTTCCCTTTAAAACACACAAAACAGGGCACCGGCTCAAAAAAGACGAGCCCCCCCGGATTTTTGAGGCTGCTTTGGTTTGAACTCCCATCCCTTTGGCCCTTTGGGTGCCCCTCATCCTTCTGAAGTACCGTGTTGCCCTTTAAGCGAGCAAGTTTCTTTCGAAGCCCCTGTTGTCTAGGGAGCCCGGTAGAATAAGCTATAGACTAGGTCCTCCAGTAGAGAGGTTAGAATAAGGGTACCCTTTTTTCTGCAGTCTATTGTAGGGACAGGCAGTTGGAAAGCGGTGCCACCCATGGTGGCGGACTGGCTGCCAGCACCTCTTCCTTGCAAAATTGCGCAAACAGGTTTGATATAGACTGACAAATGCATGTGTCTTATGAGGGAACCAAAAAAAAAATGGTTCCCTTTGAGGTTCCTTAACTACCAAAGCTAACGTCAAGAAAGACACGTCCAAAAGAACCTAAGACATGTTTCAGTTTTCCTGAAATGTCTTGATTACCAGTGCTTTTGCCCATGGCAATAATATGGCTCCAAGGGGAAACACCACACCGGCACACGCCTGCTCCGGACTCGCCGCCCGGTGTTGACCTCAGGCCAAAGGAACGACCCTCTCATTCATGGTCTCACTTGCGTTATCCTGAGTTGATGGGCCAAACAAAAGGTTGCCACCAAAATGGTCTGGCTGTGGCTCAAAAAACCGGTACCAAAATGGAACCCTGGTAAGTGGAAACGTGAGCCTACCTGGCTTGTACCAGCCTTACTGGAGGTGGTTGGTCAAGCTAGAGGCTGGAAATGCTGCCTCAGGCCCCTGCGTTTGGCATCAGGCTCCTCGCAGATGTTTTGCCGCGCGGTGTGAACATCTAACATAGACCCATTCACCTCTCCGTGCCCTACAAGAAAGAAAAGGGTTCCGCTCTCCATTCAAACAGTTCATGACGAAATGTGAACCCCCCGACCTATGGCGAGCATGTCAAGCGGACTGCGAGGGCCTGGAACATGGAACCCTCCCGGCTTTCAGCTGCTCCAAAACGCACCTGCGCTTCGGGCAAGAGCTCCCAAAACCTTCAGGCGTCGGGAAACGAGCCAACCCATGCTGCCATGGTAGCCGGGTACCGTGCTGAAATCAACATTCCCCAAGAACGGACCCTTGCGAAGTTGGTCGCAACCCAGTGACGTCGCAGAGAAAACCTGCTGCATCTGACAGGGAAACAAAAACCGCCGGAACACCCTGGGAGTTATGGGCTTGAGTACGCCAGATATGCTCTGGGAATTTTATGGGCCCAGCAGTGTCCGCCTTTGCAAAAGCAAAACAACACTAGTAAAAGTTGGCCAGCGAAACCAGCAGCATAACTGGTCTGCTGTTTCTTTTGTTTAGCCCTTTATCTCCGTGCAAACACTTTGGGTGATCTGGTACAAATGCGAAAACATGGATGGGTAAGCGCAATACCATGACCTGGCGCAAGCGCATGACTGTGTGGGCAAGATCTCAATTTCGTACCTACTTCTGAAAGGAACTAGTTCTACGATACAATATGTGGCTTGTCAAACTCATTCTGTGGGCAATCAATTATCTACAGGCCTCATAATTGCTCCTTACCCGCAAGCCAGAAGGCAGCTCAGTGCACCAGGATGTATCACCGAATATCTACATGAGGAAAGCGAAGCAAGACTACGAGCGCCTTGCAGGGTCCCTCCCTCCCTCCCCTCCCTCCGTCCCTCCCCTCCCTACAAGAGCCGCTCCGTAACCGGCGGTCCTCTGCTGACGCCGCCTGCCGGACGACACACACTCTGAACCCTCAAACAAGCATGAAGAGGCAAGGCCGAAACAACACCTACCAGGACTATCTTGGATTTCCCCCAAGTGTCCATTCAGGGGGGAAGCTTTGGAGTAAATAATTTGCCCTAAAACCACCTGCTCCGGCGGGGGGGATGATTGGGTGTGTCAAAATAGGGCGACCAGAAAATGCGGCTGTTCCTTTGAACCCACCGCAAAAAGGGCACCCTCAATTGAACTGTTCTGCGAATCTGCGAGCCCGTTGACCCCCACCGAAAGCGCGTTGATCAGTTTGATTAAGGGTGGTGCCGGAAGTTGATCTGTTTGGATTCCTGAACGCCATTTTTCGGACAGGGCCCGAAGGCCATTTCGAATTCAAAAGCAAACCAAAGGGCCAAAAGGCCACCAGCTCCTGAAGTGCAAGAAAGTGGAATCTTCCGACTGCCCACATGACCCCTCAATTACCCTCTACCCAATCATAGATCCTGACGCTCGGGTCCTGGTTTGGACCAGTTTCCTTAAGGGAGCGGGTCCCGAAGGTCAGGTTCCATGTGAGAAGGGTGGGAGGGAAATTAGCTCTTCCTGAGTCCAACGCCAAAGTGGTCCAACCCAAAGTGCTTACCAAAATGGTCCAAGCCCAAAAGGCTGTGGCTCAAAAAACCAGAATTCCAAACTGGCTTGCCCTGGTCAGTGGAAACATGGGTACCAAAACCTGCGGTCTGCCCTCGTGTTGAAAATGTTGATTGCCACGCCCAAAAAGTGCCCTTACCACCCAAATCCGCAAGCTGTAGATCACATCCTGAGTGGATTGGCCAACGAAGTCTGAACTTTTGGTTTACCACCAAAATGGTCCAAGCCCCAAAAAGTGCGACTCAAGCCCCACTCGCTCGGATCGCTCCGAGTAAGCCCCAAGTCGACTCCACGAGCCCGGCAGGCCCCGAACGCCACGCCTCACGCTGAGCCTGCATGGCGTCCTGTCGCGCCGCCGCCAGCTCCTGGCACCCAACATCCAGGAGACTCGAAAACGGGCGTAAAAACCGAACGAAAGACACGAAAAAGGGGAGAACGCCTCCAGAAAGGCTTGGAGAAACCCCAGAGAAAACACTGAGAAACAAAAGACTCTCAGGGCCTGAAAGTTGGCGCCAACAGACATATAGTCTGCCCGCTCGCCGTTTTGGGAAGTCAGGGCAGCATGACTTGGGACATAGCAACATGTTGAAACAAAGGTTTCAGCCCCAACATTTGGATGTGGCTCAAAAAAACGGTACCAAAATGGAACCCTGGTAAGTGGAAACATGGACCAACACCTGCGTAACCCCTCCTGTTTAAGTTCGAGCCACTGCCATTTCTTTTGGGGGGGGGGGCTGTCAAAGCTATCGCAGTGGGTTGATACCCCACATCGGGCGTTTTGCACTCCGCAGGCGCATCCTGATTGGGCTCAACATTAGAAACATCAAATGCTCGGATGATCTGGCTGTGCTCAACAAAAATGGTACCCAAATTGGCCCCTTGGTAATTGGAAACAAGGACCAAAACGTGCGCAACCCTGACTCTGTAACTTTGAGCCACAGCCATTTATGGGTAAATCGCAAAGATTCAACGGGGAGTAAGAAATGGATCCCCATTTGCAAGCGCTTTGAGGACAAGAAGCCACTCCTCAGGTTGCCCAAGCCCCCAAAGTAAAAGGTGAAAGCGTTCGGGTTGGGGCACATGCACCAGACAGGTGGAAGAACTTGTGGCACAAGAAGCGGGGAGTAAACAAAGGGGACTCCAAAAGGTCAGATTTGGTCGCCAGCTTGGTCAGCTGGAATTTAGCGAATTTCATTGCTCGAACGACAATTTTTAGACAGAAAAACAAGAAGTGCTCTTTTTTCCCGGAAGCATTGCGAAGGGTTCTTCTTCTAAAAGCGGCTGCCAACTTCACCTGCCAACTTCTCATGCCAACTTGTCGAGAGTTACTTCACCTGCCAACTTCTCATGCCAACTTGTCGAGAGTTACTTCACCTGCCAACTTCTCATGCCAACTTGTCGAGAGTTACTTCACCTGCCTACTTCTCATGTCAACTTTTTGAGAGTTACTTCACCTGCCAACTTCTCATGTCAACTTTTCGGCTGTTATCTCATTCTACTAAAAGCACAAGCTAATTTGTCGGGTGTTACTTCACTATCCTAAAAACACAAGCTAACTTTTCTGTTCTACCTTCACATCTCGACTCTTAATTCTTCTTCTTTTTATGGCGGGGGTAGGCCCGACGGGAGCTTACGAAACGCACCCCTCTGCGGAGATCGTGCGTGTCGAAGCGCTCTCGCTGTGGCGCCGTGCGAATTTGTCTTGACCCGGCGAACCCTCTGCGGAGATCGTGCGTGTCGAAGCGCTCTCGCTGTGGCGCCGTGCGAATTTGTCTTGACGCGGCGAACCCTCTGCGGAGATCGTGCGTGTCGAAGCGCTCTCGCTGTGGCGCCGTGCGAATTTGTCTTGACCGCGGCGAACCCTCTGCGGAGATCGTGCGTGTCGAAGCGCTCTCGCTGTGGCGCCGTGCGAATTTGTCTTGACCTTGGCGAACCCTCTGCGGAGATCGTGCGTGTCGAAGCGCTCTCGCTGTGGCGCCGTGCGAATTTGTCTTGACCTTGGCGAACCCTCTGCGGAGATCGTGCGTGTCGAAGCGCTCTCGCTGTGGCGCCGTGCGAATTTGTCTTGACCTTGGCGAACCCTCTGCGGAGATCGTGCGTGTCGAAGCGCTCTCGCTGTGGCGCCGTGCGAATTTGTCTTGACCTTGGCGAACCCTCTGCGGAGATCCTGCGTGTCGAAGCGCTCTCGCTGTGGCGCCGTGCGAATTTGTCTTGAGCCCGGCGAACCCTCTGCGGAGATCGTGCGTGTCGAAGCGCTCTCGCTGTGGCGCCGTGCGATTTTCTTGCTCGCGAAACGGCTTTTGGAAGTTGTCTCGTGGTGCGCGCGCCTGCTTTCGCAATCCCGCGGTCCCGGGTTCGATTCCCCCCTGGTCCGCGGCAGCTCCGGCTTGAAAATCGCAGCTTTTAAGTACAAACGTAGTACGCGGAGCGTGCTCCTGCAGCTCCGGCTGGAAAATCGCAACTTTTAAGTACAGACGTAGTACGCGGAGGCTGCTGCAGCTCCGGCTGGAAAATCGCACTTTTTAAGTACAGACGTAGTACGCGGAGCGTGCTCCCGCAGCTCCGGCTGGAAAATCGCAACTTTTAGATACAAATGGCTGGAAAATCGCAACTGTAAATTGCAAATGTAGCACGCGGAGCGCCTCCGCCGCTCCAGCTTTTTGAGGGTTAATTACTTCACCTGCCAGTTTCTCATGCCGAAACTTCGAGAATTACTTCACCTGCCAGCTTCTCATGCCACCTTTTCGAGAGTTACTTCACCTGCCAACTTCTCGTGCCAACTTTTCGAGGAGTTACTTCACCTGCGAGCTTATCATGCCAACTTTTCGAGAGTTACTACACCTGCGAGCTTCTCATGCCAACTTTTCGAGAATTACTTTACCTGCCAACTTCTCATGCCAACTTTTCGAGAAATACTTTACCTGCCAACCTCTCGTGGCAACTTCACCTGCCAACTTTTCGAGAATTACTTCACCTGCCAACTTCTCATGCCAACTTTTCGAGAAATACTTTATCTGCCAACCTCTCGTGGCAACTTTTCGAAAAATTACTTCACCTGCCAGCTTCTCATGCCAACTTTTCGAGAGGTACTTCACCTGCCAACATCGCCTGCCAACTTTTCGAGAGTTACTTCGCCTGCCAACTTCTCGCGCCAACTTTTCGAGAATTACTTCGCCTGCCAACTTCTCATGCTAACTTTTCGAAAGTTACTTCACCTGCCGGCTTCTCACGCCAACTTTTCGAGAGTTACTTCACGCGCCATCTTCTCGTGCCAACTTTTCGAGAATTACTTCACCTGCCAGCTTCTCACGCCAACTTTTCGAGAGTTACTTCACCTGCCAACTTCTCATGCCAACTCTTTGAGAGTTATTTCACCTGCCAACTTCTCATGCCAACTTTTCTCTTGAGTTACTTCGCCTGCCAACTTCTCATGTCAACTTTGCGAGAATTACTTCACCCGCCAACTTTGCCAGCCAACTATTCGAGAGTTACTTAACCTGCCAGCTTCTCATGCCAACTTTTTGAGAATTGCTTTGCCTGCCAACTCCTCATGCTAACTGTGCGAGAGTTACCTCACCTGCATCAACTTGCCTCTATGCTTCCGGGCCACTCGTCGTCTAGTGTTGGAAGGTACCCTTTTGGGCCTGTCTTGTAAAGGGAAGCGAAAGAAACGCGAACTCCGCAGAAAACATCACCCGGCTCGAGCCCTTTGCCCAGCGATCGCCACCCGGATGGCCGGATCGCGCCTGGGTGGCCTCTTTGAGGCGCTCCTGCAGGGCGGGCACCTGTGACGAGGAGCGCCGCGTGACGCTGAGCGACGTCTGCAAGATGTCTCCCTGGACTTGGTTACCCATATTTCCCCTTGAAGGGGGGATTGAAACATCGCCTTTGGGCCAGCTCAATTTGGTGAGCTGATCTTTACAGGGGTAAAAAAGGAAGTCCTGCTGCAAGCTGCCTGAGATTTTGGTTCAACGCCAAAAAAGGTTCGACCGGAGGTTGTTCAACGTAATCTGTCCTTTTGAGGGACCAGGCTTCTTCACTTCTCGGTCTGAGACGGAAACATCTCTGCTGGTTGCGTCGGGGATTCGATGGGGTCCAGTGGCATGGCAACAGGGGATTTGAATCAGGTTGCATACCTGGTAAATCCCAGATGGGGTGTCTATTTTTGACTATACAAACAACTCTGTTTGGCTGCCTTTGTTGATTCAGAATGCATTGTACACCTGGTAAGCCTTCTGAGCTCAGCAAACATAGATGGCCAAAACGAGTCCTTTGGCGCCCAGGCTGCTTCTCTCCTGAAAGATGTTGGTCAGGGCAAGATTCCCCCAAGCCTCGACCCCAGGCAACTCCAAGAGCAAGCCCGAGCAACTCCAAACCCCGCTAAACATGAACATTTACTTTGGTCTCAAAGGATCAACTTCGATGTTGCGCTCTCAAGTCCGAGCAACTGCAGCAATAAAACAAAAACAAAACTCAAAACCTTCAGGAACCCGAACCAATTCTTAAACAGCAATGTCACTGGCCTTTAGCCGAGCAATCATCAAAGATCCAGCGAACACGTATTGACCTGCAGGGAAACGGAAAAGGGGTTGGTCAAACCCCCTCCCCCAGCTCCATGTCTAACCCGGGACCGCCGGTCTAGGCCAGTCTGAGCCGCTTTTGCCTTCCTCACGCCTGGCCATGGCACAAAACAACACCCCTTCGAACCCTCCCACGCTCGGCCGGGCCTCAGAGTGCGCCTGGCATGTTCCAAGCGCCGGGCTTGACTGGAAAGGCATGTAACGGTGTGTCTTAAAATCGGGGGACTCCGCAACATGGCTTCGGTTTGAACTTTGGGTTTCCCTGCAACACAACAAAGGTGCAGGGTACCTCAACAAAGACCCGCTGCAACCATCAAAATCGACTCGTTTGGGTGGTCTCATAGTTTCCGTGGCCATTTAAGTCGACATGCTGACCGGTTCTCACAAGTGCTTGGGCGATTCAAGTCAGCATGTTCGGGTGGCTCTCACAATTGCATTGGCAAGGTAAACATGCTGCAAGGCTTTCACAGGTACATTGGCGTTCTCGCGTTCTCACAATTGCTTTTTCGCGGTTCTCGCAGTTCCTTTGGCGATGCAAGTCAACATGTTGGGGCAATTCTAACAACTGCTTTGGTAAAGTCAACCTGCTGGCAGGTTCTTTGGCCGGAAAATAAAGTTGACCCCATATTAATCAACCCCAGTTCATTCATACGGGGGGGTGGTTTTGGCCCCTCCAAAAGTGGTCTGATTCGACACATGTCACCCAGGGAAAAAGCACCCCCTATTAATAAACAGGTGCGTTGATTGATACTGTGGATGGACATCCTGCACCTCAGAGACCCTGGTTTCGGATGATTCCCCTGTACATACCAACAAACAATGGCTTCCCATGGTTTCCAAGTGGTGCAAAATTATGTCCATCCCCTGTATCGGGTCAACTGTACTTTTCGGAACCCTCCCGCTTCAATTAGCTCCGCCAAACCTAAATCCCCTTCGCACTGGCCTCATGGCTGTCTGCCCTGTCTGCCTTGGAGCAATTGCACGAGTGGCCCGGATGAACCAAGTCGTTGGACGCAGGCTTCACTCCCCCTGACTAGGTAAAAATACACCTGAAAACTCGGTAATTAGTTGAATTCCAGGTTTCACTCTCCTAAGATTTGAATCAATCCTCGCTTGCCCCCCTCTGCTTGACCCCTGTTTTGATTCGCAGGATCGTAGCGTCCAAGGGTTCCCTTGCGCTCGGCGGGCGAACCGCGAACGCGCAAGGCAAGCCCCCGGCAAACGGCACATGCACGTGGAAGCCACTGGCGCCGTCCTCAGGCGGAGCTTCCAACAGATCTCAGATGCGTTCAGCGCTGCTCGCTCGACACACTTGGATGTTCAACCCACTTAGGGTATAGCCATGATTAAACCAAGGCAACGCAGATGGCGCAATGCCGGTAAAGATGGGGAAGCAAAGGGGATGACTCACCCAACTGGGGGGGGGTAACCCTAGTGCCAGTTCCAAACACTCCAGCAAAGCCACCAAACACCACAAGCAAACCAAGCAAAATCCAACATGAGTTGTTCAGCCAGAAGGCTTTAAGCCACACACCCACCAACAACCAACTGGTCTGGTTTTCGATGGTTTCCCTTTCAGAGCTGATGTATCTTGGCGCGTGTCCCGGGATTCTGGAGCACTGGGAAACTAAAGCCACATTTAGGTCTCATGCGAGCTTGGCATGCCGTGAAACCATTGCCAGAAGGAAGGGCGCTGTCAGATCACTTCCGATCGAGTGGATGGTATAAAACAGCAGCCACACTTTTTGTCTATGCCACTAAAATGGTCCAACCCCCGAAACTGGCTTGAGACAGAGATGGCTACCAGATGAAGCTCCAACCGTTCTTGCCAGGGCACTAACTATCAAGCGAGCAACAGGCAAGCGAATCAGTGCTCACCTGCATGATCCCCCAACACCCCCGCAAGCTTACGGGGAAACTCACAACACAGTTGTATCAGGAAGATTCCTTGCGGGGAACATGATCTGTAGGTTTGCATATTAGTGCTGAGGGCCGTATATGGAAGTCCTTGTCGCCAAAGCGAAGAAAGCAACAGCATCACTCGCACCAACAAGTTATAGCTACCAACCGACTACCCTCGCAAACAAACGCAAACATGGATCCTGAAAGGGACATTTCCGCTGGAAGTGGGACAATAAAACTAGAACGAGATAAGGAAATCGATTTCAGTAGGGTTGCGCAGCCAACTTGCAGGATTGCTCCCAGAGCCTTTTGTCAGCTTCCCTTCCATTGGTGAGTTGGACTTGAAATTTGGAGGTTCAGGGTTCACATGTAGCCTCTACAAGAACCAGAGGTTCAAATCCCCAAACCACCAACTATGGGTCACTTGACTTTCCCGAGAGTGCAGAAAGTATGTCCCTGGTGAAGGAAAGCACAATCAAATTTCTACACGTGGTCATTGTTTCGAGGTTCGGAGCAACCATGACGTTCACGGGTCCTTCCTTTCCCTTTAAGCCAGTTTCAACGCCACCTTTCGAGCAAATTCTACATGATTGTTTCACTCGGTGGGGTGATGTTTAAGCAAAGGACCTAGATCATAGTGAGCTTGTTTGAGCCACAACATGGGCAGCATGACTCAGGCCAAGGCTGCCAGAGAATGCGTCAGCGAGGCCGCGCGCTGTCCAATGGCTGCAGCCGCGGACACGGCTCCTCACGAGATCGGGAGAGGCGGGAGCCAGCCGGGCCCAGGGTATGGCAATTTCAAGAGGCGGTTGGAGGACACTCCTCTCCCCTGAAGAATGTTCACCGAGTAAAAGTCCTATCCAGACCTCCTTTCCCTGCAAACCTGCCCCAAGAAGGGCACCCTCAAAACAAGACATTTAACAGACCCTTATTTTTTGAGTACCTCAACGTAGACTCGAACCCGGGGATTCCCCTTCTCGAAGTCAACCTGGCTTTAAGCCTACCTCGTAGTCAAGACATCCAAGGTCCTACAAGTAGGAACCTTCGAAATACAAAGAATATATCTTTTGATGTCGGGCCCCACATGTTTGAATACTGCACAGGCGCCGTCTGAACCGTACAAACCCAGCTCACACACAGCAAGCAAACCAAAAAGCAAGCCAGAGCAAACCACGACAAGCAAGCACAACACAAAGCATCACTTGAAATTCATTCAACCCCCCCTACGAATCCACACCAGGCACCAGTTGAAATGGATAAAAAGTAGAAAAACAAACTGCCTACCAACCGGCGCAGAACTTTGTCCATCCACAGGTTGAGCGATCCGCATCCAGTTCCTCAGGGCGTGCGGGGGATTTTTTTCCGCGCAGCAAAGGAGGCCCAGGTTGACCCCGAAGTACACGCCTGATTTATGTATAGGGGTGCCCCTGGGCTTAGTGGGGATTTATCACTTTTGGAGGGGAGCACCCCCTCCAATGACAAACAGGGGCTTGTTTATCCGGGGTCAACATTAGTTGGTTGGCGTATGGTGCAGTGGCCCGGTGCGACACCTCTGGTACCCAAATGACTCGCTACGCCAGAAGGAGCGCTGGCCATATCCAGTATTTATGGGCTCAGTCCATCCCATTATTGTCCGTCCACAATAGCTCTCCCAAACTGCACAGCAATAACTCCATGTCAAGACACCAGAATCGTGGCTGTCACAACCGTCCATACATAAAAAAGTAAAAGGGTTTGACGAAGGCATCAGTTCGATTCGATTCAAAGCACCCTAAAAAACCAAGGCACTTGAATCAAATGCGGGTGTTGTTCTGCCCTTTTTCCAAGTTGCGCACAGGGTCCAAGCACCTGACGTTCTTACCCTCGGGTCTACTAACATGGAACCCACCAGGGAGTCCCTTTTGAACGAAATTGGGTGCCAAACCAGGACTTTAGTTTTGAGGTTCCATGTTAGTGGACAGGCGAAAAGCCTTCCAAGCCCGGGCAGTCCTCAAGGACCTCCATCACAAAAAAACAAACTTTTATACCCCAATAAACATCAGACAGGTAGCAATAAACCCCCTGCGGGGCACCCCGGCGCTCCTGCGCCGAGGCCCGCGCCGGCCTTCCGCAAGGCCTCACCCAGCTGAGGCTCAGCCGAATGCCTCGCCAGCCGCGCGTTCTCCTCGGCGCCCGGCGCTCGGCGGAGCGAGCGGCTGAAGCAGACGTGGGGGTTGACGTTCGTTTAACACCGCCGCAAAAACAAAGGGGCAACCTCAAAGAATACACAAACCATATTTTTGGGGAACCAATCGGAAAAACGCGACTTGTGCAAAACGGACCCCAAGAATCGCCAACTACACGAAACACCCTCGTGCCGCGCCTCTTTCAGCTCTTGAGTCTTCATCTTCAGGTAGATCATCTCCTGGCCAGCATGACTGTGATTCTGCCGCACTACACAAGTGAAACTCATCTGGCTGTGAAGTTTATTGGGGAACATCCTCAAAAGCGGTCTGTGCACAAATCACCATGTAAATGATGCCCACCAAAGGGTCCCTAGTCAGAATTTGTACCCATCGAAGTAGTTCACGTAAGTTGCCCGAGTGGAACTGAGCCTCCTTATGGCTCACACATGGCATGGGCCAGAAACAGCTCTGGCTGCTATCCTTCCCAATATGCGTGCCCTTGAATAAGCAACATAAATCGAACGCTTGCTCAGACAACTGCTATGTGGGGAGAAGAAATCAGCATAAAAAGAAACTTAAGAAGCCACCAAACCGCTTCAGCAGAGCTACCAAAGCCTAGCTGAAAGGCCACAGCTGCAACTTAATGGCAGCACAAACTAGCGGCCAAGCGATCAAGCAAAGCGAAGGAAGACCCCTCTCGAAAAGTCACTTGCAGTGAACAGCAATCATTCATGTACACTAGGTTGAAAGTAGATGGTACAATTCCGACTCTCATGTGGGCAGCTATAGAGGAGGACATTTATCAGGGCTTCTTAAAGAGCACATTCAAAGCCACTTCCTTTTTGTTTTAGTGGGATCCCCTTAATCAGTGGAAGCATATTCTTCACTGGCCTAATCTACCCTAGGGACCCCTCTTCATGACTGTGCTGTCCATGATTGATCATTGTCCGATTCCAGTGCAACGCATTGAGCGATCAAAACCAACTGGAACCAAACGCAAGCACCAAATCAGCAAATGCTTCACCGCACAAATATGGGTGTTCCATGGTGTCCCTTTTTTGAAGCTACCCTTTAAAGAATCATTCCAAAACCTGAAATGAGAAATGGATCCGTCAAGTAGAGATCCTTCCTGGTGAGCTCGTTTTACCTCCGGATCGGTTAGCTCGCCATAAACTGGGCAGACACGTCAAGGAGCACCAACACGGTTGACCCTTTTCTGTCACATCAATCATGACTGCTTTGGCCTAAAGGGGTACCCTCGGAATCACGGAAACGGGAAGCCGACCCATTTTCCACGGCCAAACCTGCCACATTTGTCCACCACTGGTCCTCTGGCCCTAAACCTGTGGCTCGCGCCTGCTGCAGTCGCAGGAACTCCTCCTGCGAAAGCGACATGGCCTGCGCCGAGTGCCGAGTGCCGGGCGGGAGGCGAGATGTTGCCGTAGGGAAATGGCCCCATGTCAAAGAGCCGGGGTGCAAAGAGACGGCACAAGTCCCTCCATCTTGAAGTTTAGTATATGCTGTCGTTTTTAGGGGAAGTTGATTCCCATCTGGGTTGAGTATATGCTGTCACTTTTTTGGGACTTGGTACGCGTTATTTGGTGAATTCAATGGGAAACCAGAAGGAAATCAACCAGTTTGGAGGTTTCCCTTAAAAAGGCACCCCCATTATCTATTAACCACTATTGCTTTTTGGCCCCCTTTCTACCCACAATATTGTTTTATGTGAGCTCCACGGGAACCTCAAGCCAAGTTGCATGTGCTACAAGTAAAATGGCCAACCAGGGAATTGAGAGCTGCACATTTGAGCCACGGTCAAACTTACTGGTTTCCCAACAGAACACAAGATAATTCCTCGACCCCTGCTGGAAAATTGAGTAAGTCACCCATGTACCTCACAAATGAACCATAGCCTACCAGTTACCAAACCTCATCCAGAAGACGCTTTCTGGATGGCAATGACAGAAGCTATGAAGGCAAACCAGATTTGGGTGTCTGTTTTTGAGGGTACCCCTCTGCGTGGTTTTAAAGGAAAGCAAAAGAACAACCACGCATTTGGTGGGGTGGGGCGGGGGGGGAACCCCCCCCCCCCCCAAAAACGGACACACCCATTTATCCGGGGTTGCTGCGCTGCGCGAAATGATTTTCATGTTTGCCTTCTGGCCTTTTACGCACTGCCTCGCAGAAGTCGTTGGGGCAACCCGGGGAGCGACTCGAAGGCGAATACCCTGCCGCTTCTCATCACCCCAAGGTCAGAAGCACACAGCTTGAAACTATTCAACCAGACCCACCGAAGGAGACAGTCAAAGGACCACAAATTCACCCGTGTGGATGGGTCCCCTTAGCAGACTGCAAAACGCCAGAGGAATTGATCTACCATTCGCCTTAAATAAGGCCATGGTTGCTGGGAAACTGGACAGACAAAAGGCTCCGAGATCAAGTTTGACTGATACTTGTTGACGCTTGGCCATGCGGTCCAGTCTAGGCGCGTCCTTTTGAACAAAGACATGGCCAATTGCAACCAATGAAGCCATTGACCCATGCAACTTAAGCTGACACAAAACGGACACTTCCATTTGCTTAACCCCGCGGGAAAAAATCAAGTAGTGATAACAGGGGGGGAAAAAAAAACTAAAGCAAATGGAAGGACACCCATGTCCATTTGGCTCCGCCTGGTGCTCTTGGAGCTAGCCGCCGAAACCGTCCCATTCGAAGGCTCCGAAACCCCAGAAGACCCCGTGGGACTGGCTCTGCGCGTTGACGCTGTGACCAAGGTTGGGTGTCTGGTCTGCCCAGACCGCAAAAAGGACACCATTAAGTCTCGTTGGATTTTGAAGGGAACCCCACCTTGCAAGATAACAAAGACGAAAACATCATCATAATCAATGGAACCTTAAAAAAGAACAAGTATGCAAAAAAAAAAACATGTCAAAAGGACACCTCTGGAGCCCTGGGTCTTGATTGAGGTCGGTAAGGGGTCAGCCCAGACTTGACATCTGAGCCCAAAAGGTCGCGGCAAAGTCGAGGCTCGAGCCCTTGGCACTTGCCGCTTCGAAAACGCTTTAGGGCTCCTGCGAATCGGTGTGTCCGGTTTTTGGGGGACACACCCAAAATGGTTGTCTTCCTCTTCGTTGCCCTTTAGCACCCACGAAAGGACTAACCCGCAAAATAGACACACCCATATGGCTATGAATTTTAACAAGGGACCCTTTGGTGGACAAAACTCTGTGGGATTCTTGTCCAATCACTTTTGAGGTGGTTCCCCATTTAAAATTCATGGCCATATTGATTTTTGCTGACAAACTGCCCACCAAGCTCTAGCTCCAGTTTTTGAGCACCCAGAACGGCCTTCTGGAGCACACATGTGGCGTTTTGGAGCCGATACCCCGATACCTTTTGATTGAAATCCCCCCACATCATTTGCACATCCTGCACCAGTTCGGATTCGTGGTTTCTCCCATCATGTATGGGGCTTCATCCATCCAAGTGGTGCAAAATGGATTCCGTCCACCCACTGAGATGGGCGGTCATCCTCTTGGGAGTTGCCACTTTGAAGGGGATTCGAATCTGGTATCACAGAAAAGAAAACACTTGGGCCGAATCACCACAACCTACATTTGGCTGTGGGTCAAAAAACGGTACCCAAAATGAAACCCTGGTAAATGGAAACATGGACCAAAACCTGCGGCCCCCTAGTGGTTTAATTTTGACCCACACCCATTTCTGTGTGCGAGTGGTCTTCTCTCAAGAATCGGCAGATTCCCTGTACAAAACTGGAAGCCGCCGGACACGCGCTGCGGTAGGCGGGAGGTTGCCGCACAGAATGCTTCAGGCCAAACCACACCCACACACGCAAGAGTGAAGAGGTCTGGGCAAATCCGGAAGGCCAGCAAACAACTTGGGATTCACCGAATGAAAAATAACCAACCAGGTGTGTTTCTTTTTTGGGAGGTAACCCTGTGTTGGAGTGGTGTCAAAGGGGAACAACATGAACACCACCCACTTTTCGGGCCCCTATTTTGGCCACACACCCAACTGGAGCCCAACCAAGTTTGGCTCCTGGAAGTAGGTATTCTCCAAGGATCCATCATGAGCTCATTTGACGCCCTGTGCTACTTAGAGCCCAAAGAGTTGGCTCATTGCCCAGAACATTGACTTGGGTGAGCCCCTTCAAACATCTTTCAGCCAAAATGGTTTAACTTTAACAATCTTAGCCTGAAACCTGTTAAGTAACAATTTAGCCCCAGAACATGACTTGGGTCATCCCCTTTAAACAACCTGTAGTAACTTTAGCAACTTCCAGGGTATGATTCACAAATTGCATTCTGTCCAAGTCGCCGCAGCACGCTTCTGAGTCTGTCCCAGGTTGGGAGCCCGCTTTTGAAGATTTGGGATACCAACACACATGTTGGGTCTGTCAGAGTTTTGAGGATACCCACGTTTTTGATGGGCTGGTTTGAAGGGAAACCATATGCAAAACCACCCCTCATTTAACGCCAGCCATCTTTAGGGCTGTCCCCGGTTGAAGTCCCTCGCCACAAGGGGGCACCCAACAAATGGTGCGATTCGCCTGTTTCCCCTATTTCCACTATCACCAAAACCCAAAAGGTATTCAACTTGGCGCAACCCGCCGCGCAACGTCGGGCTTAAGCCGACCCCGACGTCCCAATCAGAGTTGCCAGCTGTCCTCAAGTTGGGGCGCCCACTTTTCGCCATTCAACAGGGTGTTCAAACGGCTGCCTTTGTTTTGACACACAAGGCATCAAACGGCTGCCTTAAAGGAAACACGACACCTCGTCGGTCAGAAGTCAGAGAAAAAAGGGGGGGCGCCCCAATTGGGACATCTAGTCGAGCTCGTTCACCCACTTCGCGGAGTCCTGCGAGATCGATTGGCCGATCTGCGCCGGGGAAAAAGAAATAAATAACACCAGCATAGACCCCAGATAGCACACCACGGATACGAACCATGACGCAGCATTATCATGATGATGTGGACCATGATGACACCACAGCCACGAAACAAACGCGCAGACAACGTCCTAATGAGATCAGCAGCATAATGATGATTTTGAGAGCAATCCGGCAGGAAAAAGCAAAAACAAGGTCCTGATGAGTTCGACAGCATCATGATGATGCGGACAGCATCATGGTGATGCGGACAGCATCATGGTGATGCGAACAGCATCATGCTAATGGTAAAGGCAGCATCATGATGATACCACAGCCATGAACCATCTTGCGACAGCTTAATGAAATTCTGCATCATCCTGATGTTGACAGCATCACGGCGCCACTACACCCACACACCATAACGTGGGAACATCATGACGATACACCAGCCACGAACCGTTACACGCGAACAGCATCCACCAGCACCCCAAACATGCCCCCTAGCACCCGGCATCCACCCGCGCCTCAAACTGCATGCCCCTTAGCCAAGCTCGCAAAGCAGCATCCACCAGCACCCCAAACTGCATGCCCCCTAGAACCGGCCGTCAAGCTCGCAAAACAGCATCCACCAGCACCCCAAACTGCATGCCCCCTAGCACCCGGCCAGCTCGCAAACAGCATCCACCAGCAGCCCAAACTGCATGCCCCCCAGCACCCGGCCGTCAAGCTCGCAAAACAGCATCCACCAGCACCCCAAACTGCATGCCCCTAGCACCCGGCCAGCTCGAAAAACAAAACAGCATCCACCAGCACCCCAAACTGCATGCCCCCAGGACCCAGCCTTCAAGCTCGCAAAACAGCATCCACCAGCACCCGAAACTGCATGCCCCCGAGCACCCGGCCGTCAAGCTCGCCGGCCAGCTCGCAAAGCAGCAGCCCCCCACCCGGCCGTCAAGCTCGCAAAGCAGCATCTACCAGCACCCCAAACTGCATGCCCCGTAGCACCCGCAAAGCAGCACCCACCAGCACCCCCAACTGCATAGCACCCCGCCCCCAATCTCGCAAAGAAGCATCCACCAGCACCTCAAACTGCATGCCCCCTAGCACCCGGCCGTCAAGCTTGCAAAGCAGCACCTACCAGCACCCCAAACTGCATGCCGCCTAGCACCCGGCCGTCAAGCTCGCAAAGCAGCACCCACCAGCACCCCAAACTGCATGGCCGTCAAGCTCGCAAAGCAGCATCCACCAGCACCCCAAACTGCATGCCCCCCATGCCCCCTAGCACCCGGCCGTCAAGCTCGCAAAGCAGCACCCACCAGCACCCCAAACTGCATGCCCCCTAGCACCCGGCCGTCAAGCTCGCAAAGCAGCATCCACCAGCACCTCAAACTGCATGCCCCCGAGCACCCGCGGCTGTCAAGCTCGCAAAGCAGCATCCACCAGCACCTCAAACTGCATGCCCCCCAGCACCCGGCCGTCAAGCTCGCAAAGCAGCATCCACCAGCACCTCAAACTGCATGCCCCGTAGCACCCGGCCGTCAAGCTCGCAAAGCAGCATCCACCAGCACCTCAAACTGCATGCCCCCTCGCACCCGGCCGTCAAGCTCGCAAAGCAGCATCCACCAGCACCTCAAACTGCATGCCCCCTAGCACCCGGCCCTCAATCTCGCAAAGCAGCATCCACCAGCCCCCCAGCACCCGCCCGTCAAGCTCGCAAAGCAGCATCCACCAGCACCTCAAACTGCATGCCCCCTAGCACCCGGCCCTCAAGCTCGCAAAGCAGCATCCACCAGCACCTCCAACTGCATGCCCCCTAGCACCCGGCCGTCAAGCTCGCAAAGCAGCATCCACCAGCACCTCAAACTGCATGCCCCCTAGCAGCCGGCCCTCAATCTCGCAAATCACTTTCCCCTCTTTATTAGAAGTTAGAACCCCTATAGCTTTCAGCTATCTGGGGGAAAAAAACATGGGTGTCAGCCAAGGATTCCCAAATAGACCTTATTCAGGCCCGACCAAGGCTCGATTTTGGAGCCCCCAATGGCTATCAATTGGTTGTCAAGTCACCCGATTTGGGCCATTTTGGGAACCACTTCCGAGAAAAGCACGAAAGCAGCACGTGCAACTGACGGACATTCACGAGACAATGCTAATTGCAATTGGTCGGTGTCCATTTGTTTGTGTCCTTTTTTGAGTCCGCCTTTTCAGGCTGCTGTGCTTTCTTGATCTCAATGACTGCATGTTTCGCAGAAAAGCGGTATGTCAGAAAGCGCAAGCTCCACGCGCACTTGGGAGCAGGAACTTGCAACTAATCTTCAGTCACACGCCCTCCAAACAAGCTACGCTTGATTGCTTAGTCCATATTTGCCGGAAAATGCTGGTCTTCCATGTGCTTTTGCCCGCTGGAAAAACAACACGTCCAGCGGCGATAGACTCCCTTTAATACCAATAAGGGGAAAAATAATACATAATAGTCTTATATAAGCAAATGTAAGCGTTAAATACCAAAGACATCCGAGTTGACAGCCCACTCCTCCTCGTGGTCTTCATCATCCGAGCTGTCATGACAAACGTCTCGGCCTCGGTTGCAGGGCTCGGGGGCCCCAAATTCCATTTCTCCGATCTATCCCATAAAAGGACAAACACAAGCATACATGAATTTCCACGCAAAACTTCCCTTCTTTGGGACACTCACTTGCCAGAAGGACCCAGAAGAACGCCATCGTTCAACGGCCCAACAGAAAAGTAAGTCACTACACAATCGCAGCGCAAAGACAAACAAAACCATTCAAAATCATAATGCACTAAGCAGGAACCCGACAAATGAAAAGCACGTATCAAATCAAACGGAGTAGAGA